AGCAGTAAATTTTCCTTGTAGAGTGATGGGTAACAAACAGAGGCTCTGAGAGGTCCCCCTCTCTTTTAAGCCCCCCCCCCCTCTCTATTACGCCACTCCTTATCAAGCAAAATTTTGAAATAAGCTTTCACTTTGTTAGGCCACCCTCTATAGCCAATAGCCACCTATGTCAAACAAAGAAAACATGCAGATTGAGTGGGTCTCTTGACGGGTGTGATTTTGATAAGATCATGTGCAATGATACAACTAAAGCTGACTAATATCTTTTTATCTAGACTAAAATAACTTTTTCCATGGCACGACTATGTAGGTTGACTTCATATGCCATTTAATATTGTTGTCACATCTCAATGTTTTTTCAAAGAGTCCAAGATAACCCTTATATGGTAATATCCAATGATCGAGGTCAAGTTTCTAAGTGATCACCAGGGACGCCTGCACAAGATAAGGGCAGGAGGGGCAGTGTTGGTGCCGAAGGCAAATCGTTTAGTTTTTCTATTAACATAATCGAGCATTCCTAGGTGGGAGGGGGGCGAGGGTGAGGTAGCAGAATAAAATATTAACTTGAATATGTGCCACCCATACAGCTGGGTTTTTTACCATCAAAGATTCTAAACATAAAGAAAATGTTGACGAAATTATCCATAAATGAAAATGATTATTAAATGGCCTTGTCATTCACTATTCACAATATTTGGTTTTATAAAAATCATGGCTGTTATAAGTGGGCTGGTTGTAAAATTTTGATTGCCCGCTAAGTTTTTATACCGATTTATCCTTCTTAGGTTCCTGGAGTACTTCTGAGGGTACACATCTTTTGTTTATCATTAATTACCTTTGCCGCTCTCCCTCTTGTGGCTGACCTTGTCACAGACAAACTTTTCATTCTCTGCATTTTTGTGCTAGTGTTTACATCTTTCTAGTATTTTCTAATAGATATTAAACATAACGAGAGTAGTCGAAGTGGTCATCATATTTCAGGGCACTTCTTGCCCCCTCTGCCCCTCTTCGAAGAGGGCAGGAGGGGCAGCTGCCCCTGAGTAGGCGCCCCTGATGATCACGAAAAAGGCAACCAAACGGAATTTCCTGCACATCATCAGCACGAGAAAGAAAAGAGGCTTTAGCAAAGGATTTCATTCCAGGTTCATAAACTTTATAGTTTTTAACGGAATGAATCAGAATTTTAGTTGTGACTCTAGGTTTTACAAAATTGTTATGCGTATGCAAAGATTCCTAATTGCTAATTTGACAGAAAAATAGAACATTGGTTAGTTTAAGTTACCAAAGAAAGTAAAATTATAGGGCTTCGATTCCAAATATTGCTATCCAAAGTAAAGAAATCTACTCAAAGTAAGCTTATTTTTTCAGAACAGACTGTCCAATCTCTTCTTGAAGGCATAGGCAATAAATACCTTGAAAGAAAGTAGCCAATCAATAGGCTGAAAGCTCGTTTACTTTTGAAAAACTGCGTCTTGCATTAATCTTATGCCACAACTTTTATTTTATTCTATTTTGACAATACTAAAAAAACACTTATTATAAAAACTGGAAAAGGTTCAGGTCAAACAGATCCTTATATTTTGAAAATGTCACCTCACAAAAGGGGCAGATAACTCTTTTCAGGAAATATTGAAGCAAAACCCACCTTAGAATGTGGAAACCACACCATCAGGCTCCCTCAACCCATGGGATTAAAAGCTATTTTCAAAGATAGAGATATATTTTTTATTTTAACTTTTGTATGCATTTTGTGGTTTATAAAAATAATGATAATTTGAAGTTATAAGAAATGAGATGCTGCCTCAAAAGCTTGAGACATCACAATCAAAAATGGAACTCAAAGCAACGGTAAATAAAACTACATCAAAGAGACCAGCTCTAACCATTGCAAGCCATAAAACAGTTGGCCCATCTTCAGCCCTTCAGTTACAAATTATGAGTTTCGTTAATTCGCACTAAATTTTGGATCATAACTTCATTGCAACACATAACCTAGGAACTACAAGGCAACACCTAACGTTTTAAGTAGCGTAACAAAGGCAAATGCGAATTAAATTAAATGAAAAATTTTTTCTAAGAACTTGAACAGAGGATAAAACTTATTTTGAACAAAAGCTGTTAAAAGGAGTGATGTTTAGCTTTTTGCATATAGGCAAATAGTAGTAGGAAGCTGTGCGGCAGCGTTTGATCACCAGAGATATTTTTACAATCAGTGGCGGAAACAATTGCGGGGTGTGGGGAGGAGGGGGTAAATTACGTCATTTGTCGGAAAATTTTCTTGTTTTTGTGGACATTGCCCCCACCCCTCGACCTGAAAAATGAATTTTCACCACTGTTTACAATTGCTTGATTCGTTTGGCCAGGTCATAAAACATCGTCCAACAATGTTGGGTAATCTTTTACGGATGTTTTATTCATTTAGCCAGGCCTTTACAGACCAGGCGGAGAATAGGGGAATGGTCATCCGAGAGCAAAATTCATGGGACCAAATGCTTTTATTCACTTCAAAGGTGCTGATTTTCAAAAATCGATGTTATACGGGGATTTTAGAGGCCATCAGCCTCCTTTTCTTGTTTGAAATCTCGTTTTTGCGTATCTAAAGGTAATCAATGAGAAAATAGTTTAAAAAGAAATAAATTTCAATTTTGAAGTTGATTAAGCATATTTCTTGCGCATAGATGCTTCAAATTGAATTCTTTTCTGTTAAGGGTGGCCAAAAGTTTCCACAAGGAAATTGCGTAATCTTAAAATTTTTATCCTTGAATAGACATCTAAAAAGTTTAATATATATATGATGGGACCAATAACTGTCGTCCATAGGAACTATGCAGCGGTATTCATTACTAACTGATAAATAACACTAATGGAAAACTACCAGATCAGCAATCGTTTCAAAGTTCCTCAAAATCGTCACCTGAGTTGGAAGTTCTTGTTTACTTCAGCTTGGCTTTTCGAAAGTTCCCAGGTATGTTTTTGGTACTAGGAAGCCCAATCGAAGCATCAAATCACCTTGAAAATCATAGCGATTTAGACTGCATGCAGAATATGAAGCCTTTGGTTTTCTTTGCATGGCAGCAAGAGATTGAGATGTGTGATTCCTTTTTGTCTTTCAAACTTCTCACTAAAATTTTTCTTTATTTTCTATAAAGCACACGACAAACTTCGCTTAATCATTGCCCGGCTTGTTCATTCTCAATCAGTTGTGTACCCAAGCTCATCCGAGTGCAGGGGCGGACTGGCCGGTCGGGCAACCGGGCGAGCATAAAAAGTGATGCAACAAACAACTTTTGGGATTCCCCTCAAACTTATTTTTGATTTTCGAGGCCCTTTCCCGACAAATTGGCCCGGGCCCTAAATTTGGAGACTGTCCGCCCCTGTCCGAGTGATCTAAAAAAGACCCTTTCCTCTGACTTCTATGTGAACTTGTTATATCCTGAAGTTCAAGTTATATAAAGCTTATTTTTATAATAATGAGTCAAAAAGGAACACATTGTAAAACAAAACTGCCAACATTTCTATTGTAAGTTGCAAATAGCCTCTATACATACAAAAATCCATTCTTGCAAATGTTGCACTGAATCAAATTGAGATGGTGCTCTTTCTAATAAATTTTTGAGATCCTGTGATATTGTCAGCAAAGAACTTGCTGTTGCCAAATCTTGGCCTAGACTGGTTGTAGAAAACACTTTTTTAGTGATTTTTCCAGATTCAAAAACGTACCTGTTCTTCTAAAGCCCACCCATTTATCAGAGGTCTTCCAAATGAGCTTGGGTACACCTGACAGGGTTGTCGGAATTTCCTAAAACCTGAAAGGAGAGAAAAAACCTAACAGTGCCCTTGAAAATAATTGCCTTCTATTTTCAAAAAAACTGGAAACCATGTTGTTGCAACCTTCAAGGATTCGTCAGTAAAATTAAGTTGAAGATTAAAGGAAGAAAAAACAATTTTAAGGGAGACATTCTTGGCCTTAAAGTTGTGCATTCGAACAAGAACGTTGCAGGTGTTGATCTCAAGACAACGCTATCGTATCCACTTGCACCTGTGTCAATGGCTCTTAGCATTGTAGATGGTGCCATCAGACAGACTGTTAGAGCTTAATTGTATGAAACTGGCACAAGTGACCAATGTTAGCTCCGATGAACTATCACGTGCGGATAAATTGAACAGGTACAACTTGGAACTTGCTGCAGCCGAATGTTTGGTTTGCACTAGATCTACCAAGAGATAAATGGAGACCGAAATACTTCTACCAGTCCAAACAAGTACAAAAAGATTGTGACTGTCTGTGACTGATATACTTTGTCGTCTATTTTGTAGAAATAAAATAATATCCTAAGCTTATCTTCTCCAACACAAGTTGTTTGTGCAGAAATTCGAAAGAAAAAAGGAAATCATAGATCTGCCGTCATGTAAAGAAAACACAAGACTTCATATTCTTTTGGAAACTCTATCGCTATGATTTTAAGAAACTTGCTGGTGTTTCAGTTTGATGTTTCAGTTAGACTTCCTAGCAGCTATATCATGGTTGGGATTAATGAGGATTCGTTCGTCAGATTGATTCTTTGTTACAAAGAATATATCTGAGAGCTTTCCCTGAAATAAACATAAGTAAAAAAGAGTTTTGCATTTAGATATCGTGTGCAGTGACTCAGAAGATGATCTTGAGGTGCTTTGAAATGATTAAACGAGGCTTTTGGCCCCCTTAACAGGGCAAAATTCAATTTTAAGCATTTATGTGCAAGAAATATGCTTAATCAACTTTAAAATGGTAATTTGTTTTCAATTAAACTGTTCTCTCATTGATTACCCTCATACAGGCAAGGACAAGGGTTCAAAAACGAAAAAGAGGCTGATGGCCCCCCAAAATCCTCGCTTAGCATCGATTTTTGGAGTAAGCACCCTCGAATTGAACAAAAGAACTAATACTACAAATTTTGCTCTCAGACGACCATTATTAGGTTTGCTTACATTTCAGAGGTAGTCGTCAAAAAATGACACCGTTGATGGTATGGTATGGATTAATATTCAATTCAATACAAATTCAAATTTGCTAATAATAACAGGCACGCGTCCGCTCGTGTGGTCGCGTGCCGTAAATTCAAAAAAACAAAGTTGGCAGTTTACATTTCGAAATATGAGACGGCAATTCATTGTCTATTTACAGTCATCGAAAATCAGCTGTTCTGTATTTTTTCGTGTCCAAACAAGCGTTCAAATCAAAATGGAACAATTTGATCAACTGGTTTTTCGACGATGTTCATTTTCCCTTTCATCAAAAATAAATCTTTAACCAAGGCAGCTTTCTCAGTCTCAAGTTGCTTGATTTGCCGTGCCTGTCCTTCAACCATCTTCTCTAAAATCAACGTCGTTGTTGATTTGCTCGGCGAGGAAGAGCACTGGCTGCCCTTCTTTTCTTGGACACCTTGCAAATGCTTGTTATAGTAACTAATTGTGTCTAAAGATCTTTTGACATCTTCGTACCTAAACGAATCCCAACTATCTTTCATTTCTGTCACCTTTGTTTCTGTGTCGCTCACTGTTTTCCCCAGAAAAACCGAACGACGTAGATCCATCCTGTTCTGCTGCAACGTGGATATTTTCCTCACGTACCAATCTCGCGTGTTATCGACTGCATCTAAACATTTCTGCATCATTCGTATCTTTTCACTAACCTGGCTAACAATCTTGTCCAGGCTCGTCTTCCTGAACCCTTGGTATTTTGGGTCTTCAAATCTTTTTGAGATTTCGTTAGACCTCAAGTCTTTAGTAACATTTTCCTTCTGTCTTGGGTTTGTTTTGAGATAGGAATAAGCAGCAAGAAAACTCCCATCATTAGCTGTGCAGTCCAAAGCCTTTGAGGTGTAGTCCACTGTATCACTAGCGCTGATGAAGGAGTCTAAAGCTAAAGACTTGCGAGCTTTTGAGTCGCTATACGTATCTGTTGAAACACTCGTAAGCTCTTTCGATTCATTCACCGTATCTTCATCTTCAATTAGAGGGCTGAAAAAAGTCTTTCTGGTTTCTCGTAAAGGACGATTGGTAGGTTGCAATACCTTTCTTCCAGCGTAGCCAGCAAGGCTTGTGGATCTTAGCACCGACTGGCTATCAGATTTTACCTTACGTATGAGGGTCTCTAAATTCGTAGGCTGATTCCCAAACGACTGGGTGCGTTCGCATGCTTTCAATGTTGTACCACTTGACAATTTCCTGAGGCGCTCGTTTTTCGCTCGGCTCACAGCCATCTTCATCCCTCTGATGAAACGCCTAAAGTTGAACATGCCATTGGGAGGGATGATCTGCTTCAAAGAAGAAATGACATTGGCACTTGAGACGCCATACTGATTTTTCAAGAACGTGTCATAGCCTTGCTCGTTTGATTTCCAATGCCTATCCAAATCTTCAAGAGATATATACCCCGTTTGTCCGACGTCCAGATTTGTGAAAATCTTGTTCATGTATTCCAACAACTCAGGAGCAAAATTCTCTTGGCCTGATAAAGAGTCACCATTTAAACTCTTGTACTTAAACGAATCCACTCTCAGAAGACTGGAATTTGAGATCACGTTCCAACTCATTTTGAACGTTCTTCTTAGCGTTGGTCGCGTGTACTAACTACAACGCCCAACCTCTTTTGAATATAAAACGTTTTTCTAAATTACCGGCACGTGCCAATAAATTTTTCGCACGCCTATCAGTCGGAAATCGGGTGAAAAATTCAAGCAGCACCTGGCTCCTATTGAAATCAAGACCAAAGACAAGATCGTATTTATGAATAAAAATACAACAAGCGCTCCCAGGGGCAATGTATCAAAACAAGCTGAACATTGTGATGACACCCAAAGACCGCAACGCGACACCAAAAGCCAATTGAAGTAATCTTTAATAACAACGATCAAAATTGGATTGATTTTACATCTTCTAGCTGAAGATTATGCTGCTAAGGTTCAAGAAGGATTTGCATAACATTTCAGCCTCGCAAGAGAGATCAGAATTATCCAAGGCACGTGTCTCCAAGACCAACAAAGGTCAGAACGATAAAAAAGAATTCTGGACAATAAACAGACCACTCGCAGAACGCAAACTTTGGCCCCATACATTTTAAAACATGATAGGCGTAAACAATTGTGGCTTTGGGCAACCGGTCCCCAGGGACAGGGAAATACCCGCCGACAAAGGGGGCGGAAATCGACGTACTTGAGGTCAACATAGAAAGACATGTAACTCAATAATTTGAATAAGCCTCCGGGAAGGGGGGAACTTGTTTAACACCAATAATGGATTTTGCGAACAAAATTTTTATCCCAATAATAGGATAAACAATTTTGGGTTCTTAAAAACTCCTCATTCCTCCCGGATAAGTCTTCTTAGTATGTCTGTTAAGACTTCACATCCTTGCAATGTGTTTTGTTTTAATCTGTTTGGAAGTACTAAAGTCTTTTACGAGTTTGACAGTTCGACTCGAGTCCTTAGATGCTGTTGTACTAGGATACCGTTGCTGATAAGCCGCCCTTGACTATTCGTATTAAAACGAAACCGAGAGAAAAATTAAAAACCTCCTTTAAATAGAAGCTAAACTTCCATTGCCATATCACAGCTAAAACACAAAATGTAGAAAGGCCATAAGAGAAAATTTCGTTTGAGATTACAGTTTCATTTATATGGACTGGTATGCACTGGTATACATTGTTTACTCGTGCAAGATAAGAAATACAACGTCAAGACACAAACTAAATTCAACAATACTGTTTGCATTATGAGACAGATTAAACTAACATAATAACCCCTATAAAAATTTATTCGCTGCTTGAAGTTTTTTTTATCTTTAGATGGTACAATATAGATGATTATGGACATTTTGTTGGAGACCGCGAACAAACCCTCCAGAAAATCAGATTTTTGCCACGTATAGTTCTATCCCTAAAATTCCTTTAGATCCACATTTGTAATACATTCATAATGATAAATTCTGTAATAACAGGACGAGACACTTATCGTTCGAAAATGACTTCCTTTATCAGTCTATTAAAATTAGAAAATATATACCTTCTAATCAACATTAACTCTTTGGAATTCATTACCAAAGACAAAATTATAATACAGAGATTTAACATTTTTTGCACTGAGATCTGACACCCTAAGCACACGGGGCCTTATAAATAAAAAAATTCGGGCAAGTAAACACCATAAAACGGCCACCTGATACGATAATAACAAAAAACAAAAAACCCCTTACATATAAATTTAAACATTATTCAAGTCATGTTTTTTTATAAAAAATGTGAACACTCTAGTATGCATTAATGTTTGCACTCTTTTATCAGCAGTTCCCCAGCCTGGAGATACAATTAAAGATCTTTACCGAGTCTCTCGATTTCATCGAGAACGAAGTCCATATCCTCATGAGTAACAACCGAACTGATCACAATCATGCGAAAGAAATTCACATGGTCTTTCAGAGGCTGGTATCCGACCATCATTGATCCTTTCAGAGTCATCCTCTTCTTTATTTCTGGTGGTATCTACAAAACCAAACGAATTATTTCATTAAAATGTTTTTTTTATAGAAAAAGTAACATGAGTGGTACCATTTAGATATAGTAATCTATCTTGATTAGAAACACCTAGAAAATTGTTAGTCAGATAGCCGATTACTATTATTATAATCAAATCTAAAGTTCTTTTAATTATTGTATAACAAAGTGGTTTATAACAGACTAGCTAATTACACATTTTCTAACAAGAGTGAGGTGTGTAATTAAAAAGTAAGTTGTGCTATCTATGAAATGAAGTTTCAAAATTAAAGTTATCATTTTTATTATCCTTAACAGTCAGTCTCTTGTATGTTGGCAAAGCAAATTAATTTATGTAAAGCTAGTTAACGCCAACAAATTAAATTAAAAAACATTAATCTGCAACTTTTTTACTTGCAAATACCCTAAAAATCTAAAATTACTCTAAACCTTCAATGAAATATTTGCACAATATGCATATAAAATTTTTATCCTTCATTTTAGTTCAGAAAGTATTTTGGATTCTTTAATTTCCTTCGGCTAAGAAGTCCACAAAAAGGTGACCTCTGTACTGGACACTTCTCTATTCCATAAGTTAAAGCAAACAGTTCTCTCGGAACAAATAATTTAAATAGAAGTGTGCTTCAGATGGTTTCTCATTTTCAATATTTCAACCATTAGCAAATGCAGATAGGCTAGATTCATAGGTAAAAATCTATAATTCAACTTTTCTAGATCTGAATAACCATCTTTGTACATCAGTCGCAGTTCAAGAAGAAAGTTTTCACTTCGATTTGAACTATGGTTAGTATTGAGAAACTAACACAGTGTTTTGCAGAACCGCTCGATTTTCACAAAAATAGTCATGAGGACAGAGACAGCAGTATATCAATAACAGAAAGATGTTTCGCAAAAACATAGTTGTAAACTTCAAAAGGGAGTGTTTTATTACAAAAAAAACATTCTTATATCTTCTTTGAACATTATCGCCCAGAACAAAAATGTTAAACGTACATTTATCATGTTGGGTTTTTAACAAGAGACTATCAATTCCATGATTAAACTTAAACAACCTCAAGTAGCAAAATTTGACCAAATACAAATAAAAATTTTTCAATTCGAATGCATATTACGCTGCCTGCATGAGAGCAGAGACAGTATTTTCAGAGAAGAAAAGCGAGCTACTTTAGAGTGAATAAAAATAAACGAGACTTTTTCTGAAACATATATTTAAAAGCAGGGATTATGCAAATATGGATAAGTAGGGAATAGCGTTTTGTGCACATTACGCTAAACCAAACACTCATTTGACAGCCTAATTGCAGAGAAAAGTTGAATTGGCACTTTTAGAGAAACGAACTCAGTTGAAATAGCCCAAGTGAAATAGCATAGGTGAAAGAGTACAGGTGAAAGGGTAGAGGTGAAGAAATAGGAATCTTACCTTGTGGAGCCGTTGCATTTTTTCTGGTCCATCTGGCATGTTCGTAAGACTTGGTGGAATATACCGAAAGCAAACATTGGTGCACTGGGGCTGGAAAGACAGAAAAGGCAACACAATAACCCTTCAATTCCATACCATAAATAAGGCTGCCTTGCAACTGGTGCAAATTACTAATAAATATCTGTACTCAAAAACAATGAATAACTCCGAAGCAATCACAATAAGAGCCTGTTGCTTCTAGTCCTAATAAGTTATGAAGAATTTTCTTAAGAGGAAACAATCATTAGAAATTAAGCTTCTTAATAGTGGCTGGTTTTTTACAAGAAAAAGGCCTGTATGTGCATTAGCTATGTTGGATTTAGAAAGCTTCAGTGGTTACATTATCTCATATAACTGTGCTACTAAGAAAGTAACATTTATATTTAAATGAAAATCATTTGCACATACCCAGATTAAAAGTAATGGTTGGTTGATAAAAAGGAGATCAGAGAAAGGCCCTAACCATTGAAAAACATTTTATTGGGTCACATCAAGTATTGGATATAAAATTTCAATGCTGAAGGTACTTCAAAAATTAATTTAAAAGAAGGAAATAGAAATAAAGAACAACAAATGGATATCACTAGCATACAATAACAAACACAGAGCCAAGATGTTTTAAGTGTACCAATGATGTTATTGTGGGTAGCAAGTCTACCAAAGTCATCTAACTGGGCAAAAACCCCTGACATGCAGTTACAGCCATCCTACATGAAAATTAAATAGCTTTCTGTAAAAAATAACATTCAAAATTTAGAAATTACCTCAATCAACAACTCAAATCCATCTCTCCTTTTGATTTGTTCTGCCAGATATCTACAAAAATTATTATGTTAACAAAATTCATGAGCATCCTGCATAAATCTGCAACATTTTTGGCTTAACAGTAAAAACAGCTTCACATAGTATTATATTAATAAAGAAGTCTAAAACATTGAATTTGCTTAAATATTTTTTTCAAAACAACAGAAAAATAGCAACAAAGTTATTCAAGCCACTTAAGCTAAAAACCATTGAACCATTATTGTTGTAAAAACACATACCGTTCAAAAGTTTTTGGAGAAATTGTTTGGGAGAAATTGGCTGTCATGCAGAGACTGTGTGGAGTCATCAATGAAAATGCAGCCAGCAAATTTTATTGTACTGCATTGATATATTTTACCTCTAGCTAATGTAAGCTATAAACTGAGATAAAACTTTTGCATTGAGCAAAATGCTGGCTTAAAAACAATACCTTGAGTTATCAAATGCTCTGTCAATATGCGCCTCAAATCCTCTAGTGCCCTGCAAATGAAGTAAACAGATATTTATTTATCCTTTTCATTGCAAGCCATATGACACTTGATCCCTTGCAAACAAGCAGATTCAGAATAAAGTGACTAATCAAAAAAGATTATTTGCTCAAAGAGGGAAAGTATTGGGGTACCAATGTGAGTTCATCTGCAAGCTTACTGGATGCTGTTAAGTAAAAGGGTCAGGAAATGATCATACCCATCGTGCCTTAAATCTACTGTTACCTCTACAAGATATTTTCAATCAAAAAGAAATAATAACAAATCAAGGAAACTGATTGGGAAAAAAATCAAGAAAGATAAAAGATTGATCTGAAATTAGTACAGTCAGAGAGATGTCAAAGATTTCAAAACATTTATGGAGACCATTTTCCAGCTTTTTTAGCTTATCAACACAATAGTGGCTTTGCCATCTTCCTTTTAATAAATCCCAAGATAGCATTTAGAAAAGTTTTCAAATACAGAGATCTACATTAGATAACTGTGTACACATCAGCCAGAAAATTTGACAGTACAGAAAGAATTGCTTTACCTTTGCTTTCCACATCAGCCAAAGCTTGAAGGCATCATTGGGCCTACCACATTGGAATGTTTTATCTCCTGTGTCCCAAACAGCATTGTATAATTTTTTGTCTTGCTGGAAAAGATACTTTGCCCCTGCTTTGTTGCATTGCTGAAGAAGACCCTGTTAAAAAAAGTTAAAGCAAGTCATGAGCAAGGACTGCTAAATAGAGAAACACAATGAAATGAGTCTAAACTAATCCTTGAATTGTTTCATATTCAAGAAACTGTGTTCTTTCTTACATTTTCATACCTTTTATAAAGGTTTCATCCTTATATTAAAGATAAATATACAGTTGAGGAAAGAAAGAAATTTTCATGTAATGCTGTTTCTTATATATAATTCATAAATTTGACTCACTGTTATCTAACTTCATATGTATCAAAAATGTTTATCATTTCTTAATAATTTCATGCTTCACTGCCATAAACTCCTTTTAATATTCTGACAGAAAATTAGCCACAAGTTCCAGTTAAAATTTTTAAATCGGACAAGCATTAATTTATATATCTATAGCTATTATACACACATCTTTATACACAGGAAAACATGCCAAAATGAGAAAGAACTTACATGTTCCTTAATAAGAAGCACAGAGCATTGGACTGGTACTGACATCAATTTATGAGGATTCCATGTTGCTGAATCAGCCCTGGAATCAAGAAACTACAGATTAAACCTGGCTGATATTAAATAAACTTATCACACAAAAGTTGCAAATAGATGTGATACAGCTATCAGACAGACAATTTATCTAAGGACCTTGATGTAATAGATATCAAAGACTGCAAAATCTTAAAGGGAGTTAAATAATGACACACTGACCAGCAGGTGTAAAACACAGGTCATGCAGGTTAAATCTTGCAGGTCAAAATTAGTGGCCATAGGTGTGAGGTTCTTGGCTGACAACCGTTTGCGTTAAAATCAGAAGTTGTGCAGGTCTTTGGTAGAGAATACAGCAGCAGTAGGCAAACATTGGCTACGCTAACAACACTCTTTTTTGTAAGAACAATTTAATATGAACAGAAGCCTCAAAACTGGTCAAAAGCACAGATTGACATAAATCAAAGAAAAAAGCTCATTATATATATCAACAAATGATGATTTTTTTCTGAAAGGATGATTCTAGTCATTAATTCTAAAATAATAGATAAGTCAGTTTTACTGCAGAGATGCAGCCACAAAAACATATTGGGGAGTCAAATGGATTGAATCTTAGGAATCAATTGTAGGAATCTGCATAGCCAAAATTAAAAAGCATCATAAAGGTATTTTAGCAACTTGTTGGGGGCACAGTCCCCTTGCCTTATTCTCTAATATCAAAGGAAAATAGTCTACAGGGATTTGTCTATAAGAATCCTCAAAATCAAAGAGTTTGTTAAAATGAAAGCAAACCTTTCTATTCCTTTCAGAAGATGCTTGTATTTTTTTGAAAGTAAAGCACCTCCTCCCCAAGCAGCCTGAGGTAAAAACAGCATAAAATAAGCAAAAATACATTTATAAACTTACCAATACAATTTTACTCCAAGAAAGAAAATGAAGAAAAACAAGTTAGAAAAGGCCAACTTTTACAGAATATAAATTGTAGAAAAATTATATTGATAACTCACATCAACATGAAACCATAGGCCAAATTCAGAACAAATATCAGCAATTTCTTCAAGTCGATCAAAAGCACCCGCAACTGTTGTGCCAGATGTTGCACAAACATAGAAAGGTCTTTCTCCCTATAGAGCAAACCATCTCTGTTCAATGTCTCAATTTCCATGTTTATTAAATTTTATTGTGAAAAGCTTTTTCAATTATGAATTGCACTTTAAAACTTTTTCAAACAATTGGTACAAATTTCTTCATTTAATGACTGTATGTACATAAAAAAGAATAAAACATTTTAAGTATGAAAAACATAAACACATGATACGGTGAAATTTTGTGATTCCCTGTAACTTAGAACTAAGAGATATTACAGACAATTGTCAAGAATAGACTTTTAATCAGAAACAAAAAATTCATTTCAAAGTTTGGGAAACTGCAACACTAACCTGCGATTGGCTGCTGATGATTTGTGCCCTCAAATCTTCAAGTATCATTTTGCCACTACAATTTAACCATAGAAATTAAAGATATCATTTTAAAGTTAAAAATTTAAAGTGAAAACAATCTGATTTGCAATTAAACCAGCCAAATCGATCTATTACCTCCTAAACCCAAAAACTTAGCCAAAAGGAGCTGAAGCTACGTGTTTACTATAACAGGAAACAGCAAGAAACAACTTTAAAACGAATACAAACGAGAAGAAACGATAAGGAAACAACTTTAAAACGATTTGTGACTTTTTAGAAACGACTAGATCTCCAAAACAAGGCAAGCTTATCCATCCACGTGAGCATTGTCATCTTCGTTGCAGTGGCCTAAGTGTCCGGTCATGTCGTTCTCTCCCCAAAAGCTGTTGTCTTAGATGAGGTTACGGAAACTCAATGATAATGCTTATTTATGTTTCTACTACGCTAATTTTAGCAAAAGAAACAGAAACTAAAAGAACAAACTCCAATATACTAGAGGAACAAGCTGTATAGGTTGACAATCTACTGCTTGAACAATGTTTTGTTTGGGAGCCTTACCCTAAAGCCTCTATAAAGTTTCAGTAAGTTCCTAAAGCAGTTGAATTCAGGGGGGGGGGAAGGCTTGATTATTAGCCGAGAATTTAAATTGCTTTATTTCGACCTTCCCGGTAGTTGTTCCATGTTAATCCCAATGCCAGTGAGATTTGCTCTTACAATGCTGGCACTTCATATCAGGCTTTCATAGTTTAATTCCTCTTACAAAAATACCATATCAACATCCACTATCATAGTTATTAATGCAGGAATTCCACTAAATAAATAAAATTGTTCCCCAGTTAAAATTTTTCAAGTCGTTTCTACTTGTTTCCTAGTTGTTTCTTACTTGTTTCCTAGTTGTTTCTACTTGTTTCCTAGTCGTTTCTACTCATTTCCCGTTATCGTAACCACGCTGAAGCTACCCTTAACAAAGTTGATGAATAAATATTTGCAGCACCAAGCAAATGATATAAATCAGGCTACAAATTTGGATTGGATACTCTTCCTGTCAATTAGTTAAAGGAACTATGTCATGGCTTTGTAAAAATTCTAGCAATGGACTCTATCAATGTGTGTTTCAACCGTTATTTTTAAGACTGAACACTTAAAGAACAGACTGAACATCCCAAGAACATCCTAAGAAACGCTATAAAATCCCCATTAAGCAACTGAACACCCTTTATAACACTTCCAAATTGGCATATCATTCAAAAATAAATGTGATAGATTGAAGAGAGAGCCTTTATTATTTGTTTCCTTTCATAAAACATACAATACAAACTAGACTAAAAGTGATTGATTTTCCAGCTTTTTTAACCGCAATACTATTGCAGGCATCTGTCTACACAGGTGATATACTGGACACCTGCAAATATATCCTGGCAAATATTGCCACATTTAAGAAGGTTTAGTGGTACTTAAAGAAGTATTCAATGAGAAAAATGAGGTTTCAAATAGTACTTACTTTTCATCCGTTTTTATCTTCTTTACAGATTTGGTTCCGAGGCCAAGGGTGGCAGCTGCCTTCATTGTGGAGTAATGTGCCTACAAAAAGATTTTTCCTATTGACTGATAAGAAAATCTTTACAATGTCCAGGCATGACTTACCCTTTTTAAGGAACCTCAAATAAGGGATCAAACCTTTATTTGTATAAGAAGGGGCCAACAGTGCGTGATTTGCAGGACATGTTAATGGGAATGCCAAGGAGGGGGGTCATTTTGCTATAAAGTTTTGCAGTGAAGGTTTTCTGAACAGCTAAAGAAAAGCAGAAACTTCATTCAGAAGACTGGCAGCTGACAGCATCTTAGCTAGAACCACTGTTGTGCAAGATAAATCTTTAACATGTTCATGACATGTTAAAAATTTCTGATTTTTTTAACCAAAGATTCTTGAAAAAAAATATGAACGAGAGCTTTTTTCAGAACAACTGCTTGCAGCTTTAGTTGATGGATAACAAGACTTTGTTTGGAACATGCTTTCAGGCAGGACAATGTGAGCTCAAAGCATTTACATATTCATGGTAGCCATGAAGTTTGAATGGAGAACTTTTGGACCTATTATGGTTAAGTCACCTTTGTCACTTAAAAGGAAAACATTACCTACTGTGTAAACTAACCTAACTGTTTTCAGCTTTAATTGGTTTTCTTTTAAACTTTATATTAGTCTCACATTTAGGGCAGCAAAACAGAAAAGGAGAATCAAAGATTTATATATTGCATAGGCTGTGGATAAAGATGTTACATATCTTTCTGTATCTTAAATTGCTTTTTTAACAAATTATGGTATGTGCTTGCTTATGCTTTGGTTGTTTTCCGATATCTATCAGAGTTTTTTTTCAATTGAGTAATCACATTTGATAGAGTTACTCGCTATTTTTGGTTGACAATCTAAGTTATCCTAAACCCATAGTATTTTTGTTTGTTAGACACTACTAGTGATATTCTATCTTGATATATGAACATTGAGCAACTGGTTATTTTACCCAGCAATGATTGTTTCCCTGACGTCAAATAAAGCAGATAACACACCTCCTCTGATGCAAAAAGTGCTAGCCTTGGCATTCCAAACAGACCCTCTTCCTTGATGTTTGGGTTAAACCTAAGAGAGAGGCTAGGTATTAAAAACTACACCAAAAAGAGTTGAATCATTGTACCCCTTGATCAACACACAGAGGTATAAGACAATAAATTCTACTTACCAAAGGGCCGACATAATATAAAAGAAAACAGAACAAACATTTTAGAATTAAATTACGTTCTCAAAACTAAAAACACAATTTTTTTATAATATCGTCAGTAATAACATGGTTGACATGCATAAAATTCTTGAATATAAGGAATTCTGATTTTGAAATATTGTTTAGCAAAATCAATTTCTAAACATACAAATAGAGCCAGACAAGAATTTTCTTAGCAGTAGATTCGTTTTCAGCCAAAAAAGGTTGAATTGCAAATTATTTTGCCAAAAATGGATTGTTGCATAGCATAAAGAGACAGTGATCAAGGAACATATTTTTGTATTAAAACATTTTCCAAAGATTTGAATCTGCAAATGAATGATCAATTTAATGAAAATATTGTATTTTAAGCCCATATTTGTCAATAAGAATTTATGACCTGGGCACCTTTTAGACAGAAGAAAAAGTAAAACAGTGAGCTAGGGTAAAATAAGAACAGATAGAAGTAGAAATACATTAAGAAGGAACACCACAAAGAACTTCAAATTCTTCCCATAAAAGAGTCTCTAAGAGCATCATAGAACCTTTCGAGGCTTTATTGTTTATCAGAACAAAAAAGTGACAAGAGCGGAGTAGATAGGTTTAAAGAAAACACAAGGAAATAGAAAGGGTAAATAGTAAAAAGAGTGCCTGAGCACTGTTGTGTGGAAACATCTAGGTACCACATATCTTACTTGTATCTGGCAACGTTCATTGATTGCATGTTGGAGATGGAGCCACCTAGCAGATAAGAAGTCAGTCAACAGTGAAACTTTGTTTTACAACAATCGGTAACATGGAATGTAAGTTACTGGTCAGGAGCAGTAAGCAAAACAGCAGTCGCTATAGATGTAATTAGCTGCATTTTGATTTCTTTAACTTTTCAGTTTTATTTTCATAAATACAGATTGGAGGTTGGTAAAAATAATGAAAACAATCTATCCTACAACCAACAAAAAACTTGTACGTAATGAATGATTTCAAAACACAGCTATGATAGGGTAAAGTATGTAGCTAACTCCATCACCAGTAACTCTACATTCCATGTTCAAAGGTCAGTTAATTCATTTTCATACATTTACAAGCTAAAAGTATTATCTTTACCTGGGAAAAGCATTCCATCACCATTTTTAAAACCAACAATTTCCAACATCTTTTTCAGAACTGATTTTTCCATAGTTCCAAACACAGGTGACATCTCATATGTATACCTGTGATTAAACATAAGACAAAAAATTACCCATTGAAGGCAGGATATGAAATTCACAGGGGATTTCCTTTTAATGAACGAGTACTGACAGAGCAAAACATTGTTATACGCCTTGAAAGGATCTTGATAAACACAGTAAGTGATGATATGGAAGTGCTGAGGGTCCTCGATGTGGAAGGTCCAGAAAAACTCAACTTTTGCCTTGGCTGGAAATGTTTTTAAAATGCAAATTTTGAAAATAGAGGAGGCCATACCCCCTGCCCCGACCATGATGCCCCTGGTAGTTCCATATCATTGACAGTTAGATATCTAATTCAAAAAGAGGCTAAACACACATGGAAGTATTGGCAGTTGTTCCAATCCACTGTCCCATAAGTCCAGTTATATCCAGTCCCGCAAAAAGTTGGTTGAAAAAGTGTGGATGACCTACAAAATCAAATGCAATTACTTTTTAAACACTCAAAAAATTAGAAAACATTCCTAACATAAAAATAGAAGACAAGATAAAAATTGACATCTGCAAAGAAAAACTCCATATCCTTGTCAATACTAACTTTTAGCACAAAACAAATAAGTAAAAGGATTACCAAAATACCAAAGCAATCAAAAAGTTGAAATATTTTTGGCATTCTTTCCCCTTTTTAAATATGACTCATGGGTTGAATTTGCCTTATCAATTTACAGCTTTATTAACATTTTATGACAAGACAACTCAAAACTAAGCATAGAATCTTCATTGAAAAATGAGATCCTTTTCAACTGTAACATAAAAGCCAAAAAGTTTTAAAGGTTCTTTTGTCACACTCATGTGTATTTCTATATACATGCTTACTCCTATCAGTATTGTCAGATGTGCGAAATTGTTGGTAACCAAAGACTTCAGGACTTCACTGCCAAAGTCAGCCAGCCAAAAAATATTAAAACTCAGATAAAATTTCTTTAAATGCGTGGAATAATAGTTCAATAAAAATGGCTTTGCACATTCAATTGACATACATTTGGATTTTTTTCTGTTGTCTGTTATTTTTAACTTTGTTTCATCACTAGAAATTTAGACATGATAGCAAGCAATTCTTGTAGAAAAATAGTTTATTTGCAATGCATCTTTTTGGTTTTTCAGTTTTGACCAAAAATCAGCCAACTTCTGCTTTTTCAGCCAAATCGATAATTGACAGCCAAGGGCTTTGAAAAAAGCCAGAATGAAGGAATTTGGCTGTCAAAACATGCAAATGGCAGCCCTGACTCTAATGCGAACCAAGCTTAAACAGTGAAGCAAATTCCCATAAAGAAGAAACAGCAAATCTTTTAACACTAATATTCTGAAATAAAAGCATAATTGTATTGTAATTGAAGCTGCCATTGTATTTTTGTAAACTCTCTTTCACTGTAAAAGCTCTATAAAGCCCCCTCTCTATTAAGCCCCCTGTGTGTGTGCATTGAGTGGGTCCCTTGATGGGTGTGATGGCGCATTGGATGGGTGTTAAGTTTGAAATCCTCTTTCGCTAACTTACAACACACATGGTAATTTATAAACTTTAAATGTATAATTACCTGTCTTTACACTCAAATCAAGGGCCTTTTTTGATACATTCAATAGCTCATTTAAGTTTGCCCCATCATCCTTCACCTCAAAGTCAATTTCCTTCACAACATCTTCTGGACTTCTAAAGTCTATAACTTTTGAATCTCTATTATATGTTTCATGAATAAAATTCGTGAGAATCTCAACAGTCTTCTGGATAAACTCATCAGTAACTTCTGAATTTTCACCACTCCATGGCAGCATATCTAGTAAAAAAATAAGAATACAATCTAGTGATACAGTTAATTTTTACCAATAAGCTACAATTTATCCATTTAGTAAACATATTGACCAGGACTTTTTATTTTGTAAGGCAGGGTCATATCCCATGACACTTTTAATGATGTCCAGTTTCAAATTTCGCAATGCATTCAACTGCATTTTTCTATATATAGCCCTTTTAAGTCCAAGAGGTTCCCATTTCAGCAAAGGAGAACAATGTATAGAAGAATGACCAAGGTACCTCACCTATATAAACATTGAAACATCTCATCTTCTCTATTTCTTAATAAATAAATTAAAAAGAAAATCACATCAAACCTTTAAATGTTTTTCCTTCAAGTCCTTCACATTGATTGTGACTCTTGATTTCCATTTTAAGTTTCTTTGCAAGAGATCCATTTTCTTCTTGCGACATCATCAACGATGTTCCATTTCCATGGTTAACTCCATTACCATTGTACATTTTCCCATTAGCTGCTGACATTGTTAAGAGCTTTTTTGTGCTGTGAAAATGAAAAAACTTTGTTAATAGAAGTTGCTTATTTTTCATTTTGGTTTTATTTTGCCCAGGAAAAATTTATGATCAGCAAAATGTTGTTATTTCCTAGCACAGAATTCCATTTTTTAGGCTGCAGGCTGGTGTGTGTTCCACACAGGGTCATCTTAAACAAATATTTATGATTTTGTTAGAGTATTGTGGCATAATTTGTCAATATTGCTGTTTTTCATATTTTGCAGTATTTTGCTCTATTTAGTTTTATTCATCTTGTTTTGCTGATTAAAATAAGCCCTGCGAGTATGGTGAGTCTTCTTTGTAACAATAAGCATTCCTACTCTGTATGTGATTTCTGTATGTGATATTATTTTGGTGTTCTGGATCAGATTGGCCATCCCTCTCAGTAAGGTATGGTCATTGTAAATTATTAAAAGGGATTTATTCCCTGTTCAAAGCACCTTAATGCAAGAGAATGCAAGATAATGAAGCAAAATAATAAAGGAATAGTATGTAGCAACTCTTTATAGTATTGCGCTTGATAGCATGAAGTTTTTAGAATTCATACAGTCTAGAGTGGGAAAACATCAAAACAGAGGAAAATGTAAACAGGAAAATGAAAAGCCAGAAAAATCAGGGGGAGGGATGGCCATGTCCCCCTCCTTTTTTTGCAAAGGAAGCAGTTTAGAAGGTGCACTGAAAGGGGAAAGAAGCCTTGACACCCCCCCCCCCCCACTTTCATTTGTGGTGTGGAAACTGAGAGTGAAATAGCGTAGCGTAGCGAAGCGAATGAGCGAATTAGCATTCAGAGAGTTTGTATTGAAATCAATATGCCTGTTCACATCAAGAGAGAGTGATAGCGACACAAGCAAGAAGATTACTTCTTGTGTATTTGCTCAATGCGAACGGAAAGGAATAACAGCAATGGACGGTGATTTTACTGTTGCCATACAACCGATTAGTAACTGGGAATAATCTGATGATACTGGCCTTTAACCAGTGGCATACCCAAGGGGGGAATAGGGGGGTCCGGACCCCCCCCCACTTTTCTAAAATATGATCCTTGAGATTTGTCCAAAAACGATGTAAAACTCATTTGCTTGTGTCAATAACAATTGAAAAATACTTTGCTATTAACCATAGCTAAAATGAATTAAATTATGGGGGAAAATTCTGCAAAAGGGCGTTTCCCTGCATTTGCGAGTGTCTGAAGGGCGTGGTCCAAAAAAACTTCTGGGGGCTAAGCCCCAGACCCCCCGACAGTTACAACCCTGGGTTCGCCACTGTCTTCAACCAGACCAGTATGAAAGGACATGGCCTCATATTTGGGGGAGGGGTGGCCATCAATAATTGCCAACTGTACTTTATTTGGGAAGCAAAACAATGGACATCCCCCACCAATAAAAATTTATTTCCGACTACAATAACGAATCAAACGTAGATGACTATGTTCTGAATCTGAAATAGCCTCGTAATTTCTCAACTGCGGCACCAAATGATGATATTCCCCAGATAAAAGCAAATATTCATGAAAATCAGGTCGTGCCTCTTTTTTTTCGTGAACCCAAAATCGTCTTCGTTTTGAAAATAGAGAATATTTAAGAAATCAACTTTCAGATAAAATCATTCTTTTTGTTTTAAATCAGCAACTGCGTCATCAAACTTCACTCTGCAAAACTGTTTGATTCGCGATTTTTCGCTCACAGCATGTTGTTCCGTTAGCTTCTGTTCGCCCGTTGTCTTCGCTTCTCTTTTTCGCTGCAGTGTGAACGCGATTTTCTGATCTCTGCGCTCGACGGGGGTTTCGTCTCGAATTTTGTCGTGCCCTGGGCCTTTTAAACCTTTCGCCTCGGCAGCAGTTGACACTTGACACTGCGAACTCGGCACTGGTTGCCTGAACCAGGGTAGCCAAGTGCTAGCAAATCCTCAATCCCAAAGTTTCTGAAACTCAATCCCAAATCAGTCCCAAATTTTTCAAAAGTAGATTCCTTCGCACAGGGTATAGAAAGGGATAGATATCCCTCTGCAGCTTTGCCTTCTATATTTCCTGGGCAATGAATTACGCATTATTCACTGTTACGGTTGCTTAATTTGACATAAATAGTCTAGTTAGTTGCCATAAGAATTGAAATATAAGTATGAAGGCTTGAACTTGGGCATTGTGGAAATAAAATGTACTCTCCCTTCTCGAATATATTTGAATGGGAGACAATAACAAAAGCAAAAGGAATATTATATGGCTTATATTTATAGAATGACAAAAGGAAGCACTTTAAAATTTCAACAGATCATGAAACAAACTATAAATTACACAAAATTTCACATTCAAGTCAATCGTTCTTCATTTTTTGGCTCACTGCATTGTCTTTACCAGTGCTCAAGGGGTTACATAACAGTCAATTTGAGCAATCCATGGACCAATTATAACAAATTATCCATTCATGTCTGATAATCCCGAAAAAATCCCAATTTTTACTTTGAATCCCAGATAACAAGAAACAGTCCCAGTTTCGTGAAATCTGGGATCCCAAATGGCAACCCTGGCCTGAACCAGCAGCGGTTTTAGGGACTGCGGGGCCCGGGGCCAAAAACATCTGCGGGGCCTTTGTTCTTTATAATTTCTATGGCTACCATAAACGCGGGGCCTGGGGCCATGGCCCCTGGACCCCTCTTGAAACCGCCACTGCCTGTAATGGACGGTCCAGCAACGAAATTTTCGAGAAAAACGTAACAAAACTCTATGAACCCTCAAAATTGATACACTTCTGCTATTATTTTAGTCAAGCTGAGGTTTTTCGTTATTCTGCTGTGACGTTTTAAAACAAATTCAAAGGATTTTCTTACATATCAACAGCAGGTCGGTATGCGTACCATACTCAGAAGAAAAATACTACTAGAAGGAAATAAGGAAGTTTCAAATGCAACAACAACTAAGGTTCTTGCGTAACAAGCATCATTTATGTATTCTTCTATCGGTCTGGAATTTCTTTAGTGTCCTCAATATCAATTAAGTAATGTATACTATACTACAGCCATGTATATAGTATTAGCGTACAGGTATTTATGTCTTCGTTCCAAAGGTCGCAGCTTTGCTCAGGATTAGGCCTAAACACTTGCTTGCTACCAAGTTTTGCTAAATATCGATGGAAAAAACTTAAATAATGCAAAAAAGATGCAGGGAGACATACGTGATTCTGAATTAAGACTTTCTTGATGATTCTACTCTTCTGACTCTTACCAAAGATCTGACGTGCTTCTGTCCATTTGCATGAAATTGGGAGGATTGTTCTTTATATATCCGCCCTTAAACATCTGCGCACGTTTTCAGTAATTTCCCAGCTAAAAATTTGAGCAAACAATAGTGTGATCAGTTTCTTGCAGCGCATGTGATCAGTTAGCCTGCACCAATGGAAGCGCCTAGATGCCTGACTGAAAATACTGGCCTACACCAGTGCCTTTACGAACGCCGCAGCAAGAATTTTTTTAAAAAAATCTTACAACTTCGTTTACCAAATCAATTTATAGCCTGCGTCACAGACCAAAAACTTCCGTGAAGTGTATGGAAGTTTTTGGTCTGTGACGCAGGCTAATCAATTTATAGCAGGCCCTATTTTATGGAAATGTTTCAAGACCACAATTTAAGAAATAAAGTCTGTATATGAAGCATGGAATTTCAAAATATCGACTGTTGCCGCAGAAAGCGTTTTTCTTTATTCGCATAAAACAAAAATATTCAACACAACACGATTACAACTACATATGTTTCTATTATAACCTATTAATTATGGTCAGTAACAAGGTCGACCACAAGAGGGAGAGCGGCAAAGATAATAAATGATAAGCAAAAGATGTGTGCCCTCAGAAGTACTCCAGGAACCTAAGGAGGATAAATCGGTATAAAATTTTGTTGGGCAATCAAAATTTTACAACCAGCCCATTTATAACAGCCATGATTTTTATAAAACCAAATATTGTGAATAGTGAGTGACAAGGCCATTTAATAACCATTTTCATATATAGACAATTTCGTCAACATTTTCTTTATGTTTAGAATCTTTGATGGTAAAAAACCCAGCTGTATGGGTGGCACATATTAAAGTTAATATTTTATTATGTTACCCCACTCTCGCCCCCCTCCCACCTAGGAATGCTCGATTATGCTAATAGAAAAATTCAACGATTTGCCTTCGGCACCAACACTGCCCCTCCTGCCCTAATCTTGTGCAGGCGTCCTAGAAGCTCTGTAATTCACACTTATTTTAATATTGAAGGACACACTGAGCCAAAAAATTCAAAAAGCGCAGGGTTCTTATAAGAGCAGGGGCTATAAGATTTTTGAAAAATTAATAATGGGGGAGTCCATTTATTGGGGGCCTTAGAGTAAGCTGATTAGTTTCAATTATTTCAGATTTCAGAAATCGACATCAGGTTTGCCTTTTTATTTCTTCGGATCCTTCTCTCTTTGTAGGCATCATCTGCTTCCGGAAATTCTTTAAGGAACCATTCTTGCTCCTTATCTAAAACAAAGCAGCTGAAGTAGGGTCAAGTTCTGATACGCTTGGATTTTGGCATGTGTTGGATTTTGTTCTTTTTTATTACTTCGGACCCCTGTGGTCAGTCGAGGAGAGGGAGTCAAGAATCGAACATAAACGGAGCGGTCACGCAGGGAGTTGTGTCCTCATTTAAACTCAACGAACGGTTTTTTAGCAATTACGAATCATACATTGTACTATCGAGTTGTGTAAGTCACCCAATTGGTTTATTTTACGATATATAGATAATATAGCACTTTGGGGCATTTTTCAGCTTGTGTCTGTTCAGCATCATTATCAATGTGTCAAATTGCCCCAGTGTACCCATTTTCATGCTGGTACCACAATTTGCACAATTCATGTCAAATACTGTGCTTAGAGCCTAGACTATGAAGGTAAAACCTAAATTCGAGAACTGGGTTCCAGTACCCCATTCTAAAAATAGCATCAAGGGGTAAGATTGTCAATTACATCTTTTCGTATTACTTTTCAGCTTGTTGAAAGAATGGAGAAAGCTACATTTCATATTCATATAAAAGAGAGTAATTATTTAGAGAAGAATGCCTAAAGAGAGACATGGGTACCAATTTCATATTCTAAAAATAGCATAAAGGGGCAATTTTTCATTTCCTTTTCTCTTAATATATTTTAATATATGATAATGCACCTAAATCTTTACTTTCCCACTTTTTTCATAAATCATTAATGACATATGGAGATTGGCCCATTTCGAGGACTGGGGCCAGGTACCCCAGCCTAAAAATAGCACTTGGGGGCATGTCGTCATCGGCATCGTCATCAGCGTGTGAAATTACCCCAGTGTACCCATTTGCATGCTGGTATCACAATTTGCACGATTCATGTTCTAACAGCCCGTACTATTTAGATTAACCAATAAAATAGTGATGTCTGCAAGATAGCCAAATATTCAACAGCATGTTATAAGGCCCTATAAGGGGTATTTAGAATATGAAATAAGTGCGATTTTTGGAGAAAAATATAAATATTTAGGTTTTTTAGCTTTGAAATATGATGTAGAAAAAGCCCCTAAGTCACGTGCTATTATTGCGACATAGACGCTCGTCGAATCATGCGCCCTATTAAACTCGTTATTCTGGTTTGCCCAGTTTCAAGTAACTCGTTAAAATAACTTGTTTATATCCTGTTTGTTGACTTGTTTATGCCTGTTTTGTAGATATTGCTATTACCAAAGAATAGAGATTACTATTACCTACTGCTATTACCTATTATATGTAATCTCTATTCTGTGCTATTACCTAGTGCTATCCATATTTGGTTATCGTAAGACTTGTGTACGCTGGGACCATCCCTTTCGCGCTGTTAACTTTATGTTTTTTGGTAGTAATTTTTATGTTAGTATTCTTGTCACGCCTTTAGATGTTTTCTCAGTAGTCAGTCGATTCTTGTAGCCGAAAGTAGAAGACATGCCGCGCATATAGACGTTGTTAGAAGCAAAGAAAGACTTAAGACGAAAAAGCCGAATTGCTGTTGTTTTCTGAGGTCGTAAGTCCTTTGACGTCTCTCTTTTATGTCCATAATTATTTGCGAGGCTCGCAGTAGCTTTACACTACACTACTTTTTCCACACTCCCCGCGCGGGAATGTGATTCAACATAACCAGTAGCGGGGTGGCTATGTTTTCCCTGGGGTGGCCAAGTCGATTTTTGCGCCCTATCTATATATCGTCACAGAATATCGTGGTTATATAAAGCATGTGTTTCTAGAAGGGAAATCGATTTTTGCAATTTTAATCCAGAATTTCATAAATAAGGTTTGACTAAAAATGCGAATATGAATGGAAAAGTTATGTAATCCTAACATTTGACCTTCTCGTGGTTCGGTAAAATATGAAGCTATTTTGAATTGGCTTATTTTTGAGAGTCGGCTTTTCAAGGAAATACGGTAGGCAAAACTTAAAATACTAATCAAAAGACATTTTATTCAATTACACTGATGTTTCATACAGGCTACTCGTTTATTATATCCAGAATACCAGCTTCAGAGTAAATTAAAGTAGAGCAAATTATTGTTTCGGGCTCCTTAGTTTTTTTAACTAAAGGTAACCTTTGTCCATTTCGCCACTGCTTATGGTCGCGTTTATCAGCCTAGTGTCATCGCATATATGATGTATGATATACAAACATGGTTCAAGTTTGTTATTCTTTAGTAGTTATTAAATAGTAGTTTTTCAACAACTTGAAAGTTTCAAGCATTGAATCGCACCATTGAACCGGACAGAGGCGGCGGGCACAAAATTGAATCTGGGGTTGGGCTAAGCATCAAGTTTAGTGAGGACCCACCATGGTTGGGACAGACGCGGAAGAAAATTTTTGAAATCAAGCCTTCTAGAATGGCTAAAAATGCATCTCCCAGACTAAAATTTAACAAATTACTACACCGCTCAGAATAGACAGTTCGACGATGCTCAGAAAAACATTGATTTTTGATTTTTAGAAAAAATTTGGGAGGGGAGGATTCATGCGTTGGATTAGGAAAGAAAGGGTGATGGTCACATCGATGTTAATAACAAGAAGCTGCTATATTGATTGCCAGGGTGCATTCCATGTACTTGGGTCCGAAGATCTTTAGCGTACACTCAGGCTTTTTGACGTTCCGAGTACAAACTAATAGATAACATTTTTGGCATACGTAAAATCTTCGTTAGTTGGCGTGCTAAACATGAAGTCACGTACATAGTTAACACGAAAACATATGAAACAAATGTTGATTGGGTCATGGCAGCACAACATGCTTCGATTGTAGAATCTCACGTTATTTTAGATTGTTCACAGCAAGTTATAGCGAAGTGTCCTACCCGTGTACGATCAGTTTTGATGTTCCTAGCCAAATATTACAAGCAAACAATTTTGGCGCCCCCTTATCTTCATTTGCGCCCCTATTCAGGGGGGCCATGGCCCCCTGGCCCCCCCTGCCACCACGATACTGAACATAACAGCAACACGGAATAAAATGAAACAAATTAATTATACTGATTATTGAATTCTTAGTGCAGTCGCTTAACCTCGAAAAATGGACGAATTGTGCATTTTATGATACAAGCATGAAATTTGGTACAAGTATACAATTGGACATGCTGATTAAGATGACATGCAGACCCCACTTCAAAAATGCCCCAAGATGCTATTTTTAGACTGGGGTACCTGACCTAAGTACCCACAGTCACTCGAAAATTGAAGCGATGATTGACTAACGAGAACATACCCATTGATAATCAAAATCAATTGCGTCAAAATACCACACCCAAAAATTGAAATACCTTAGGCCACGCCCTGTTTTGTCGGCAAATTTGTGACTAGCACCCCCCTAAGTGAAAGTGATTAGCGACGGCCCTGAAAGAGATAAATTGAGTACATAAACGTGCACTACGCGCGTTGTTTTGTGACTATGAATCCACCTTTGAATGTCTCCTCGCAAAGAACAATGAAATAGCCATCCACACCAAGAACTTACAGAAATTAATGACAGAGATATACAAATCATTAAATAAGAGTCCCTCATTCATAATTTGCGAATAAAAAATACGCTGCAACTTTCGTCTACCAAAACGATATCATTTGGGATAAACTTATTGGCATTCCGGGGGAGCATTCTCTGGAACACCTTGCCTGATACGATAAAAAATGTGGAAAACGTATCTAAATAGACAAATGTAGCTGTTAAATATGTAAATAGATAGATTAATATCATACTCTTCTCTTTTTATGTATATAAATAGCTGGTATTAATAAGTTTTACATAATTATCTATGTATAGTAAAGGCATCAAGTCGTGGTAAATACTGGTTCTCCGCGGGGGGTTTGTCTGTTCCCATGTGATAAGTTTGTTTTCATATGATCAGACATTCTTAGTCGACAGCGAAAGTCATTTGAAAAGCCTTTGTGGCATTTGAAAGGTACAAATGGGGGAAGAAGTTTTGAAATCTTTTGTAGAGAACAAGAGAAAAGAGAGAGAAAGAAAGAACCTTTAGAAACGGCGGAACAAAGAGCACTTACAACATAGTGTGTGCAGTTTGCTTGACAGCCAATCAGATTAGCGAAGCTATCATAATGACTCAGCAATTTGGGAATACCCTTCCCATTCACCACGACTCAATGCCTTTAATGTAAATAAACGCTCAAACCAACTGTAAATAAAGAGGTTATTGTTATTATTATTATCAACATTTGACAATTTCGAAATATTTTGCTTTGGTAATTTTGAAGTATGAAATAATTGAAAGATATCATCATGAAATATGAGCCTCATAGGTGGTCAGAAAATTGAAATGGTTACTAATAAAAGATACTTAGACCCCGTTTACACTGTCCCGTGCAAGTTTGGAACCGTGACAAAACTGTCGCGGTTCGCCCTTGCGTTTACACTAGAGTGTTTATGATTCTGGACGCGCCATCTGAAGACGCTCTTTGTAGGCACGTGACTTTAGCAGACGCGTCTTTTCGAGAAATTTCGATTATGATTTTGAGAACGTAGATCAGGACGTGCGGCGAATTTTATCTTCAGATTAGCCATGGACGATTTCTTGCTGGAGCTCCATTTTTTAGGTGATATCGACGACGAAGAATTCATACACTTGTATGATCTAAATCGTCGAAGAAATTTACATGTTAATCTGCCATATTGGCAGTATCCAAAATTTGGACGGACACAAAAGAGTCCATGCATTGAAGTTTCAATCTGTTGTGGCTCCGAATGGCCTTATTGCGAATCTTTTTGGGCCCGTTGAAGGACGCAGGCATGACAGTGGTATGCTTGCTATGTCAGGGTTATTAGGCCAACTTGAACAGCACTCTTTCTCTGAAGAAGGGCAGCCCCTTTGCATATATGGTGATCCTGCCTACCCAAACAGGGTTCACCTGCAATGTCCTATCATAAGAAGGAGACCTTTAACAGAAGACGAACAAGCCTTTAATACCTCAATGAGTAGGGTTCGTGTTGCTGTTGAATGGGTTTTTGGGGACATTGCAAACTATTTTAAGTTTATAGATTTTAAGAAAAACCTTAAAATTGGAATGAGTGCTGTTGGGAAAATCTATGTAGTTTGTGCCCTTTTAAGAAATGCTCTGACGTGTTTATATGGCTCCACAACATCAACATTCTTCAATGTGAAACCTCCAAACATTGATGAATATTTTAGGTAAGGTTGATTTTCGAGATATCAACAAAGATTCTGGCAGAGGAGACAAATTCATCTTTACTCATCTTCGCAAGACAACAGAAACGGCTTTTTTAAAAGCCACCAATAGTACCAAGACCTGTACACACACGACAAGTCATGGCATTGTTTTAGGCAATTTCTCAAATCATGAAAACAGAAAAACACTATAAAAATTTTACAAGGGGGCCTATATCCCTATTTTGTATCTCCATCTGAAACTATAACAAACTGAAATAGGTGATAGTTCAATGGTCATAGAATGTAGAAAAAAATAACATTTCACAGCAGATATGTCAATTGTAAGTACCCAAGGCCAAATTGTGATATTTTAGAAATTTACAAATCAATAACCACAACAATGTATCATAATCATCAATTTTGCCTGTTTAACCCCTTTCAAATATGAGTTATCAGACTAATCTGAAAAGTGTTTTGTACAATGATTTAAGTTGCAATTTGATTACAATTGATAGAAAAAAGCTTAAAGGTTCCACCAACTCAAGCTTAGCCTAAATGTTCAGTGATTATGTGTTGTTTCTGGATTCTAGAGTCAAAAACTGTATTGTCCACCAAAGAAAATTAGTTTGCCACTGCAAATTTTAGCATTGAAAATCTTTTCCAGTTACAATAAGGCAAATTCTATAAATATTTCATTTTGTTGATGTGTCTTTAAAGGATGTTTGATGGTTCGCCTATTGATAAAACATTTTTTTACTTTAAAAATCATTTCAAATCTAGTTCTGTATTTACCTTTGAAAATATTTCTGAGTACATAAAAGTTAGGTGAAACTGAATAACAAATCACCATAATTTTTGTGACATTAAGAAATTAATTATTTTGAAACTAATGATAAAGAAAGTACTTATGACTTATTGTAATCACAGCAAATTTATGGAGATTTAGAATTGGCAACAGCATTTGTCAGCATTGTACTAGATTTATATGCAGGCTGATAAATTTTTCTGAGTTGCCAATGGGATAATTGTATCTCATAAGGCAAGTTACAAAAATTCAAATCATTTTTCTGTACCAAAGAAAAGCAAAGGTTACACATTACTTTTCAGTCAAATTTTTCAGCAAATTGAGTATCTGCACATTTTGCTGAGAAATTTGACTGAAGAGTAACTGCTGTTGCTGAATCAAATTAAGTAATTTGGTTTCTCTCTGTTCCATGATTAGAAATTCCTTCACTTTATCTTCCCTTTCCCTTTCTTTTAATGCCAACTCCTGTTTTTTTAGCTCATAATTTTGCTCTTGTTCCTTTTCTCTCAACTGTATTTCCCTTTCTCGTAGATCTACCTCCGCCTTCCTCAAATTTACGTCCTCATCGTGCCTTTCCTTCAAATAAACTGCTGTATCCATTTTTCTTTCCATTCTATTCTTTTTAAATCCACCTTCAGATGTCTCCCTCTCCCTACTTTCTCTAATACTTTCCATTGCCCTCTTTCTAATGTTCTCTGCTGCTTCTCTCTCTCTCTCCACCTCTTTACACCTACTTTTATCAGCTTGTGAAATTTCTTCCTCTGCTCCCTCCATTCTCCCAATTATAGACTCAATAGCCTCATCTAGCTCGGACATTTCCTTAGTTATCCCACTTGCCTTCTCCTCTGCAGCCATCTTTCTCTTAAAGTCCCTTATCAATTTAAGAATATGGTCTCGAACAGCCCTCTTATCAACAATGAACAGAGGGTGTTCAATACCATTTAAATTATTTGCCACCTTTTCCCAACAAGCACCACGTTCCCGTGAGCCAATCTTAAATTTGTAAGGCTCTACGACAAGAACTTCTCTGCAAAGCATGTTGTTGTGCTCATCAGTCCAATTCATTTTCTGGCTGTATGGTTAAATAATTCAGCAAGTCAAGGTCAGGCAGTATTTGTAGCAATCAAACAGGAATAAAAAAGATAATAACTTCCCAAACTGCATACAAATTTTTGGTGAAGTTTAGATATAAAAAGGAGATGCGAAAAAACGAAACTGTTCAAAATTTAACTCAGTTCAAATCAGTTCAATCATTTTTTAATTCTACTAGATACAACCTTTAAAGAACTAAAAATATAGTTGAATAAAAATCAAATTACAAAAGAAGAAAGCATCTGCTAATTCGAAAACCTAAACCTTATCAAAATAATAATCCTAGAGGCTATGAATTAGTAACAAATTGTTAGAAATTTACCATTTCAATATCCATACTTGAACAATGAAATAATAAATGTGAACTAAATACACATTTGAAATGTAGTAACATGGTTTTCATTTGAATTCCAAAAAGCTATCACTGTGGGCATTTATATTGCATTCATACTAAGAATGTTTCTATATTAGCTTCAAGAATATTTACTGCAGTGTCTCCCAGAAAATAACATACAGGCTTTAATAAAGAACAAAAACTATATCACATAGTTTAAATGTATCTAGTTATTGTATTAAATTTTTTAGAGCTACGAACGTCTGGTTTCTCTGTTCGGCATTTCCTCGATCATAGGCCATTTTTTCGGTTGTCGTTTATTCTGTAAATAATAAAAAATAATTGATAATTCAAGATAAAACGTCGGAAACTTAAAGAATGAAATGTTTTCGATTGTTCGTGAACTTTTCATAGGCTATGAATAAAAGATAACTGAATACTTACAGCAAAGTTCTCTTCGATAAAACAGGACGTCGATTTCCTATTTTTCACGTTCACTTTTGGTGAAGACGCTCTTGCTGTCAAGGGGGATGTCGCGACCGCGCTTGTTTCTAGACCCCCCAGGCGCGTCTTCATGTGGCGCGTCCAGAATCATAAACACTCTACTAGCACTGTGGAACCGTGACGATTTTGCTCTGCTATCCGGAACAGTTTTGACCCTGCTTTGAAAGCGAACGAATTTTGTACCGTCACGGTTCCGTTTTTGAACGGGACAGTGTAAACACCTATCCGAGACGATTTTGTCACGGATTCACAAAGAGGCCTTTTGTATGGCTGTTTCAGGTAATCGAGGCTTTGATTGTGGCGTAACTACGTTCTCAAATTCTGAAGAAAAGGAAATTCTGAAGAAAAGACGACCACAGAAAAGGCTTGTAGTGTTTCCCAGTCCAAGCCTTGATTGGACTTGGCAGTTTTGTAGTCTAAAATAACACTGAAAATTAAAGCCACCTTGTCTTTCGTCCAAGTAAAGTTTTAATCGGCCTTCCGCTCCATTTTAACTCACAATAAAAATTCGATTGTTGACTTCAGCGGCAAAATAAAAGCCTTGGTTGACTAAATACAGCTTCTTCTAAACAATGTTGTCAAGTAGACTAGGACAAACCAAGATAAAATGATAGACACTGTTATTTTATCTCGGACAAACAAATTGACAATGTTAAGACCAGGCTAATCGAGACTTTGGATGTATTCAAATAGATATCTTCCGTCCGATCCAGTCAACAAAATGCATATCTTCCAAGAAATGTACTCAACAAAATGTATAGAGGAATTGTTGAGCAGCATTCGAGTTAATGTTGTCCTGTTTTAGCCTTTGCAGTGGACCAAAAATCAAAGCCTTGCAGAACATGCAAAATAAAGCTGCAAAGATTGTAACAAGCAGCCCTTACGATCTTCCTGCTACTCTGCTTCCTGTCCAGAAAAGTTCCCTTCAAACCAAAAACCAAAAAGACACTTTGATCTTAATCTCAGACCAAAAAATAACTCAAGATTTTGCAAAAAGCCCAAGAAAAAGTGCAAGATTAAATTCCAGGGGCATCTCAATGCATTATTATAAAATTTTCACTCACGAAAATAATATTTTTGACAGTGCCCAAAATTCGGGCAAGAAGCTAGGGGGCAAAAACTGAAGCTTCAAGTCCTTTCCCAAAGGAAAATCCTTAAATAAAATCTATGAAGGATAATTCAAAAATGGATTTATAGCTTACTCTAACGTCATATTAGAAGATTTCTTCCTTCTAATAGATGTCACTGGCCTGTCAAAATGAATTCGAAGTGAGTAAAAAGTTCAGAATTGGAAAATAATTGCAGGAAATGTCATTATTTACGGTTGGCCAGTTCCAAGCAAATTATCACGCCTAGCGTTGATTGTTTTTAAAATGACGTAGGCTAGTGACAGCGCATTTCGGAATTCTCATTTGGCAAAGCTATGTTTGTCAATAATGTATGACATTCATTTAGTTATATTTAATTGCAGAGTCAGGAAAAAATTACAGTCTCACGTCCACAATAGAAGCTACTATGACACACCCAAACCACGCCCACTTTCTATTGTTTTGTGAGGAAGGTTTGTTTTTGTCTGGAGGAGGTTTTACAGCTTTTCTGGACTCTGTTTAATTGTATCATCGAGCTAGCAGAAAAAAGTTCTAGTCTAGAAGTTAATTAGACACAACCGATATAAGGCCAGGGTTTTCAAAATAGCCGTAATCCAATTCAATATTTTGTCTACTGACAACCACGCACGATGGAGCATACTGATCAGAGACCCCCGAATCCGAAACGCTCTGCATTGGGGATTAGCTGACAAGTTAGCATAATATGTCCAGATCTGCAATATTGTGTTATATAACTACATATAATAGAAAATTTAGTTGTCATACAATTAAACACCTTTATGAAGTATTTTTATATAGCCTTATTTAGTTAGAAAGACCGCGTGGAGTCACAGAATAGGAATCAGCCAATCAGCAACTCTTGCCAATCAGGTGAAGCCTTACCATTCTAGTGCATGCGTTAACTTACTGTATGCGAGGATTAGTATGTATTTGTCGGGAATCTATCGGAACAAATTGGTACATCACCCCTGTTTAGCATTTCCTGACAGGGGAGTTTGAGTCTCCAATTTTTCCATGTCCCGGGTGAGTCTGGTATCCAGGGTACATGTCCCCTTAAAGCTGATAGTTTCCGTCCCCAGCTCTGGCCCTTGAGTGATTGGGCTCTCCAAAAAAAATTTAAATTGTCAAACCCTCCGGTCTCCTGGAGAACTAGGGAAACGCCCTTTTAGATACTATTGTTGAAAAGTTTTTAAGCGTTCTTAATAAGATTGTAGATAATCATTGCATTGATGAATCAAGAATATGTTGACATCGTTTTTCGCTTTGATAAACATTGTTATGCAATAAGTTTTATGTTTTATTTAGTTTCGTGATATTCAGTTGCCTGTTCTTTTGATGTTCTTGATAGTTCCGTTGTTTGTCACCTTGCCATCAACATTCCGTGTTATTGCATCATTCCATCGCCACTATTGTTGTCATCAGTCCTTTGTTGTTTGAAGTAATTATTTTGTTATCCTAATTAAGGTGTGTTGTCATGTGATTTTTATGCAGTGCCCTTGTTTGTGAATTCAGTCGTTATGTGAAGCCGTGGAGTTGAGTCGAGTCGTATCGTTCAGTCGAAGTCGCCTATATTCGCATTTAAAGTTGCCGTTAAATAAAAGTCGATTAGTTATTGGAAGCTTGGTTGAAACCGCAGTCGTTTGATAATCAAAGAAAACTTTTATATATATTTTGTTGTCCTTCTTTGTCTACGTTCATCTGTAAAACCATATAGTTTTACAACATACAGGCGTTGATTCGATATAAGTAGCTGAAAGAAGTAGCTTTTTGTGTCGTAAATAGAACTTGGAACAAGAGATTATTGTAGGCCCTTTCAGAACAAGTGCCCCGGATCTTTTGCCCATCCTTATCCCCAGGGGCGCCGGAAGCACGGGGGCAGCTGTCCCCCCTGCCCTGACTCTACGGGGGCAGCGGGGCAGCACTGTGCTCTTGTGAAAATGGCACTGTGTTTTTGCGAATGGAATAGGGAGATATAATATTAGTGTGGTTTCGAACAAAATGAAAACAATTAAAACCTTCGGTGCATTTGTTTTGAACTTATGTGGAATAATGTTTTTTTCGGCAACACTCTAAAATGTACGAAATTACTGTAGGATAAGATGAGTGGCGTAACGGAATCATCTGGGGTCCTAAGGGAAAACAGAGATGGGGCCCCTTTTAACGGACTCTAGTAGAGCATGTCAAACACTAATGAAATACGCAATACTAATTCAAGTTAACTAGTAGAAACTCCAATTAATGCCAACAGCCCACGGGGTGAGGGGGGGGGGGGTTAACTAAGCCTAATTTTGAACGGGGACGCGTCATTTTGGTTGAAAAGTTTGAACCCATAATTCCGTACATTTCTGAAAAATGTGAACCATAATTCCGCAATCATGATGAAAACTATATTCATAATTCCGCAAAGCAAACAACATTTTTAAAGCGCAACATAATCATCAAACAAATTTTGCATGTCATTTGCCAAAAATCTCAATATTGCACATATTTCATACTTTCATTTCTAACTGGACATTCATTTTGTTAATGCTAAAACTCCCTCCTAATAATTTTCAATATTTTTCGAAAATGGTTCCCATTGTTCTGCACATATTTCAAAAACTGATGCCGATAATTCCGCACTTTTCAGAAAAAGGTACCCCCAAAACATTACACCTCCCCCTACCTTCAAGCATGTTAAGGTACCACACCCACCCACCCCCTCCCACCAAGCAAAAGCCTAAACAACAGACTGACCTTTTAGATTAAACGTCTTATCGGTACCAAAGTATTATGTTACATCATTTTTTGTTATAATTCTAATATTAGTCATTGAAAATGTGCCCTTTTTGAGTAACTGCCCCCGCCGCCTCAAAATGCTTCCGGCCTCCCTGCTTATCCCTCCTCTCGACACCCATGATCCCCAGTCAGGCTTTTGACTATATCTTCTTTATAATGTTTATAATATAGGACCTTTTGAGATTATATACATCCATTTGCTAGATGATTGAATAATTGAAGCTATAGTTGAGACTTTGAGCCAAGGCTTCTAATAGCATAAGCTTTTCTCTCTTTTCTTGAAATGAAGTATTTATGGATTTCCAGATGCAATTTTGAACAAAGCATTGTATGGTTTCACTCGTGAATACTTGGTACGATTATCTGTGGCCCAGTGCAATCTAAATCCAACATTCAAGCAAGACCATCAATGACAATTTAAAGCGTAATAATACACTCTATGTGGCAGATTACATTTTATCTATTGAAGTTAAAAGGTATAAACCCATGAAATTAGCCTTTCATGTTGGTGGAACAACTAATCACGCCATTGTTGTTTCTAGGTATGCTACGTTCTACCCTTCTACATCAAATCTTTCTTGATTAAAACATTTCGATAATTCATATATTAACTGCTGCCCTTTAGTGTCAAAAACGCGATGAGTTGGACATTAGATAACTTTTCAAGTCTATTTGACCTCTCAATGAAACAACAGATTGCTAGAGTCGAGGCTAGATCAAGATAAAGTTGTGGACAATGTATGGGCCAAAAGAAAAGAAATCATTTCTATGGAAAAAAAATACTTGGCTGCTTTGCTGAAAAAGTGAATTGATTAGAATGCCGATTACCATATGTTTAAAGCCAAAGCTAAATTGTACGATGCAATGGTTCTATGCTCCTCTAGTTGAGTTCCAGAAATCTTACTTTATTATTTCGTGTCAAAAATTTCATATTAATATTTTACATTTTTTCGAGAAAAAGCATCAACTTGCATATTTCGTTAAACGCATTAAGCATTATAAGCATTAAATTTTTGTTTTTTATATTTTTTCTATAGGCTGCTCAGCTTTCTTAAAAGGCCCCTCCTATTTTACATTTCTAATAACCCTGGAAGAGGCTCATTTCTTCCTACGTTGTCAGTAACGCGTAAGCCCAAAACTCAATAATTACACATTGGTACAATTTGCCTACAGAAGTAAATTCTTACTGTGAAGCGAATTGAAATTATCTTACATTTTCAACTTTTCAAGCTACCAATTGACTACGAGTTTCTGAGTTTTTGCATAGTGGTTTTTGAGAGTCTGTTTTTCGCTTAAGATAATTTTCACTGCATAGCTATAGCAAATGTCAGCAAATTTTTGGTTAAAACTATTAGAAATGATTGATTCCCAAGTTCAGTCAATCCCAAGGACGTGTTAAAAACATCCAACCGTTTTTGAGAACTTCCAAATTGACTTTTTGTTTGACAGTAGGGGCGCCCTAACAACCCTCTCAACAGCCCGGTTTTTGAGATATGCTGGTATTCAAGTCTAGAGGAAAAACATGACTTTTGGTAGCTTTATTTGATTGGGCTGGGTGATAATGAAACAGCATTGCTGACATCTAATTTCCAATTATTCATCATGACGTTGGTTTACAGAGATTCCTATTATCTTATTATGCATATGGTAACTGATTGTTAGTGGAACAGTAAAGCAAAATTTAAAGCTTTTTCTGTAAATAATTAATATATGCCTCATTTTCAATGGATAGAGCTTAATTGAATGAAAACATTTTCCTCCGCTATAATTTGATTAAAATGCAGAGAAATATGATCGTATGAACGTGTGAACTACCATTATTCTGCTTTTGGTCGAGTGAATGTGGTCGGCTAGCCAGTATGCAGCTACTGCCTTTCTTTGTCGCGATTTTTACTTTAACCTCCATTTTAAATCCATATGGGGCAAGAAGTTTCTCTATTGGTATAGGAGGACAATTTTTCAAACGAGACAAGATCAAAGTAAGTCATTTTTTGCATTGATATTACCTTCGCAAATGTCAATCTATAAAATCTCATTTCTTTCTTTCTCCATTTCTTGAGGTGTCAAGTCACAGGCAGAGTTTATCGATGAATGTAGGTGTGTATTTGAGTATTGGTTCTGAGTGTGGAAGTTTCTTGAAGTATCGCCCTCTTTTTAGACTATGATGACTTATAAGGAATGGAACGGAAACCCGTTCATAACCGTAAGTACCCAATAACGGCCGCTTGACGGGCTTACTTTTAACCAAAATTCATGATAAAATATTTGATAGAAACTTAAGCTTACTTTTTACCGAAGATTCTGAGAAGAGGAAAATATAAAAAGTTAAAATGTTAAAACTGATCTGAATCCGAAACAGCGAGATCAGTCAGTGAGAAACTTCATAGCAAATGAACAATAACAAAAAGCATAGACTACACAAAATGACAGGGACAGCAATTCTTGGTTGTAATCGTATAAGGGCAGTGCTAATTAAGAACCTATACAGTTGTAATTATGAAGTCTATGAAAGGCTATTGAAAAATGCGTATGAAGACTGACTGAAGAGGGGGGCTTGCGGGCTGCCCCTATCAAATATATGACAAACCTTGTTCTCAATGCTATCAAGATAGGGGGCGTGTGATACCTTGAGAAAAAACCCCGTTTTAACAAAGAAAAGTTATTTACCATCTAGGGGTGCTTTGTCGGCGCCAACTATTCCGTTAAATGGGATCTGGAAACCCCCCTTAAGAACAAAATCTAGCGACAGACCTGCTTTTTCTATCATTTTAAAAACGAGAAATTAAATGGGAACACTTGTATGATCAATGCTTCTTTAAGAAGGCTGAAAGTTGACGAGAGGTTTTCATTCTTAGTAATTTTCACTTTATTTATTATTGATGACATAACACTATAATCTAGTGCAGTACTTTTCCGAACAAAAAGGCAGTCATGTAACGCGTGCACAGAGCTGTTATAGAAACATCCTCGTTTCCATTTTCAGCCTCGTTATAATGTAACTAATGACGCGTCTGATTAGTATCTGAATTTACAACATGTATTTCGACACCTTGTCAGTTAAGGACTTTTATTGACTATGAAACTGGAAACATAGTCAAAATTATTTTCGCGTCGTCGCGCTTTTTTCATCAAGATTGAAGATCGTATTACAACCTTATTGGGGGGAGGGGGGCAGTTTCTGGTTCAAGATCAACCAACATCCACTCGGCTGGTGGCTTTTCAAAGCTCTTTTACCTTTATAAAAGTTCTTACATAATTTTAGACTTCATTATCATTTTCACTTCATAATTTCTCTGGGCTAGGCCAACTTCAGTAGAATTTTTCTTTCCCTTCACAGTTCGCAATATCGGGCTTTACCTGACATATCTTAAAAAGGATCAAAATGCGAATTTTCAAAGGACGTTCACCAAAAAATACACTTTAAATTTTATAAAAATTTCATCTAATTGAGAATCTGTAGCAAATAAAATACTTACTTCTAAATAGCTACTACAGCAACACTTGTAGAAAAACATTAGATTAAATATTAGGAGTATCAAAATATCTTTTAAACGTAACGAAAAACAGTGAACAGGCCTTGGTCCCACCAAGTTCCACTCTATTTTTAAAGACAAGTGCAGGGCCTCCGACGAAGGAGGGCGGTGGGGATGGGGGGCTATGGCTTCCTTGCTTTTTTGCAAAAATAGAGCTTTTTCAAAATCTGTTGTTATTGGTGTTAAATTTTCCCTGGCCCCTTACTTTTCAACCTCTGTCGGAGCCCGAAAACGGAATTTTAGTACAAAATTTGACAATTAAATAACAGCTCAAAAAGCCTTTTGTATTACAGTGTTATAATATTACTCGAAAAACAACATCATTTTGCAACTTATTTTTTAACAAGAGGCTACGTGGCTAGAGGTAACGAAGCAAGATGTTCAATTACTCATAGGTTTTAGAAATATTCCTGATTGAGCTGTCATTTAGGTCTGGGCTGGCCCCTGAATTGAATTTCAAAAGTACATCTACTCTGACTGGAAACAAGGGCACTTGCAGTAAAAGGGAACAACGAAGAAGGTGCTTCCATTCCTCCCCAGTATTGTCATAGCTATGTGTACACGAGGACAAAGACGCATATTTTCAGGGTTGCAACGGGCTGTGCCACACTAGTCCTCAATTTCGGCCACACTTGATAAGCCAAGATTGAGTTTATGAAGAAATTCAGTCTTAATTACTGAATGCTATTTATAAAGTTAAATTGCTCTGATTGGAGAGTAATGTTATGTTGTCAATGTCATATGACTATCCAGGGAAAAAGGTGTCATTATGCCAGGGATGGATTTCATAGGTTTATCATATCTATTGGTTTAATTTTTTCTTGTAGCATCGACAACATGCTGATACTTTATCTTTTTTTGGGAAAAGCGCGAGGATGGATGATAACAAGCGGAGAAGATATAATGGAAGCCTTCTCAGTACGCTGTTGAAGAGTTTTATCGGAGAAAGCTCCTTCACAGAAGGAATGAAAAAGGTGTTGAGGCGAAGCTCCACACGGATAAAGTCAACTGAACGGTAAAACGAAAACTGAGAGAATAACTGAAGAAAAAGAGATCGATAAGGAGATGTAGGACCACAACGAAGACTCTGTAACATTGCTTTTGGAAATATGCAATTAGAATGTAGATTTTGACTATTGGGTGTCCAGGGTTCTTCTAAAGTCATCTAAGTTGTGAAATAATGACAATATAGTAAACGAAAAATAATTTGTGCCGGGTTATGCTGTAGTTTCAACGTAACTGATCCTTGACTGCGGCATTTATGCTGAAAGATATGACAGTGTAAAAGATAATGGCATGGCAGAAGTGGCCTGCGTCGCAGACCTTCTTGCTAAGCACCTTATTCTTCTTTAGAATATGGTCTGCGACGCAGGCTAAGGCAGGAGTGGCAGGTCAGAATGTGCCTAATTGTGTGTGAGATGGTTGAGCTTATGAGAAATGTGGGTGTTAGGAGCGAATATTTTAAAAATCCTGTCTGACCGAGACTTTGCTCGCAAGCAATCAAAATCTGGAAACAAATATCTTTTTAGCAATGTTTATCAGCATGATTTTCAAGCCATTGCAGGCTAGCAAGTAGATATCGTGTTGGGAAGGATATTGAATTTCAAATAGCGGAAGTTCTGGGGCTTGGCACAAACTTGCCATCACACTTTTCAGATTGTAATCGCCAGAGTTTTGGGAAATGAGATTGCCCACACCATTCTCTACTACGAAACACAAGAGTTTTGCCGAAACAAATGTCTATACTACATTAAACAAATGGCATTCAATCTCCTCTCTATGTTTGCAAATGCTCGTAGTAGAAGGACACAACATTAAGGCATTTTGAACACCGACATGAACGTCTTACCAAACGAAGATTAATGTGATTTTTCAAACCCCTGGGAGTATTTGGCTCTTAGAAAGTTTATGAAGCTTGAATTTGACAATGTCAGAAAAAATGAACTGGTTCCTAAAATGCAACAAGATCCACTAAAGTTCAGTATGGTATAAATTCTGCAACTTTTATGTATTTTATAGACCTTGTTTAATGATAAAAACAATTTTTTTGATCAGGCAAGAGAATGTTTTTAAACAAAAGAAAACAAAATACTTACCAGTTTCTAATGACTCTGGTGACAGCAACTTTGAACTCATCTACAAATGTTTTGCATTGATTATAAAATAATTTTCAAAAATGTATTAAAACAAACTAGGATATATCATATATGCTAAAGGTCTAAATGCTTGGGTGAAAAGAGATTTTTAGGCAAAAATCTTCTTCCTTGCATGCTTTGTCTGGATTCCCTTCAAGGGTTTACAGTATCGAGACGTTATAGAAGGATTATTTAGTAAAAGGGAAAGTATGTTTCTTTTAGGTATTTGCAAAGACCACTTATGCAAGTTTTTTAAAGACTTTTAAGGGTTTTATTTGAAATAATTTTCTTTTGAAAGAGAGGCAAGTCCCTGTCTTTTAGGATTTTTATGCCTAATTGTTCTTGGATATGTAAAATTTTCTGGAGATTAAGACATTCTAACAATGTGGATCATAACGGTGCTAATCTTTTTCATAGCGGAGGTTACCGCGCACGAAATAATTTGAAAACAAGAAAAAAACAGGTATGTCCAGTTTCGTAGATAAATAAATGAAAAAAGGCCATGTACAAATGCCGCATATTTGTAGTTTTAAACAATTAGTTAACAGTTGATAAACTAATACTACAATGTGGAAAGTAAATAAATATTTGGGCTCCGATACAACTTGAAAAGTAGGGAGACAAAACGTGGGGTATACCAACCCTTCATCCTCTTTCCCTCGTCGGCAGAGGCCATGAAACGTAACTTTCTGTCCTTTTGTAGCTTCTTTTACAATCATGCGAGTTACGTTTTGCACCACATAAAATAGCAACATCGCTTCCTAGCTACGCTTCATAACTGGTTTTTCACCACAATAGTTCCTACCCCTTGATAAACTTTTACTGATTTAGAATAAGTTGTAAGCAAAAGAAAAATCATATATAAATCATTTATACAACTATAGGTACTTACATTTACAGATTGCTTTTTCGAGCTCAATTTCCATTTTAAGAGTAAAACAACCGCAACTGCACCAATGGCTACAGTACCAATGGTTATTCCAATAATTTCATGGATACCCAATGAGTGAGCTGCCAAAGATATAATGCATGGTTGTTTCTTCTCCTTTTTTATATATTCTCAGCAAAAAAGCTTAAAATACAGTACAAGCTATTATTCTCTACAAATCACTGCGAAGTTCACAAATTAATGTGAAAAAAGTAAAACGGATTTAACTTTTTCATACTTGAATATTAAAGAAACTAAGTTGAGACATGGTTGAGAGATTAATTTCTACATAACTATTTGACTATTCATAGCCTTAAAAAGACTGTTACTCTCAACTGCCTAACTATTGAATGAGTTATAACTATGAAAGCCTTTTTATACAGTCATCATTAAGGGGGTCATTGAAAACATGTTTGATTGTGTAGAGCAATTTATTGATTGCAATAACAACTGTATAAGATATTTCTTATGCTTATTCCTAACCCTTAATACCCATAAATAAAAGGGTGAGGTAATTATGAAAAACTAAAAATTGGTGGTGAAGTTTTGCATATAAATTATTGTAACCAGTCCCCTCTTTAATATGCATAGGATAGAAATACAGTGGGTACGTGGCCAAATGGCTCTGCAATGGCAATTCCTACAAATGCATATTTCGGTAAATGTCTAAGCAAGTAAAACTAGTATACTACCTACAAATCTATGGTCTAAATATTTGTATTCTATGACGTCATCACGACGTCATATTCTTGTATTTCGCTAGATCTCGTATCAATATGACTATTAGGTAATAAAACCAGTAGGAGGTTGCAATTTTCGGGATCGTGTTTACGTTTCTTTCTTAATGGCTGTGAGGCAGTTTCATTAGCCTATAAGTATGAAAAAACTACATTGGTTAGTTGTTAGTTGACATAATTTAACAACTTTAGCAAGAGCCTTTTGTTTTTACAAGCAAGTACTTGTTCCGACAGCGTTACTTTACGCAAAGATGTTTTAAAACAGTGTATATTGGAATTGAACCTCTTTCAAAATAAATTTACAACTTCATTTCTAACTTCAGTTTCGCAAACGCTTTAATTGAAGGATACATACATTTAGTGTGCTTGAGGAACGGAGCTGATGACCCTTTGCCTGCAGATTTATCTGAAATTTTAATAAAAGTTTTACTTCTGCAGTTCCAATCAAAGCATCTTTGTAATGGGTAGCTTTACGCTGTAGCAAAACAATTCTAGGACATACTATAAGTTCATAATAGTAGCTACACATTGATAAATATAATTCTAAACGTGACAACCACTAGAGACATTCTTTTCCAAGAGCATTTCTTCTTCCAATTCAAAGAAGTTTCGCTAGGGGTTCTTTTTTAGCGTATTTGTATTATTCTCATTATTTGGGTGTCAATTGTCATGCTTCAGTTTGGTATTTAAGTTCTTATGTGCTTCTTTGATGCCATTGGGAATAACATAGAAAAAAGGAGTTCTGTAGTTTGGGCTTCTGCGCGAAAGTGTGGGTCGCTTGACTCAGATGGGTGTACTAAATTGCTTTGGATCGGAATTATCGTGCTTACTTCGTATGCTGTTTCCATGCTGTTCTCTTCTATGATTGATAACTAATAATAATTAATAATTAATAATGTAAGAAATTAATAATTATAAACCGGAAATGTCCCTCGTGAGATTCTGGTTGATGAGTTGCCTGTCCACAAATTTTATGTTATTTTCTGCCTGGCCCAGGCTAATCTGCTCTACAAGATTCAAGGGGCAGTTATACCCGTTCCCTGGCTGAGCTTGAAGTTGTACCCAGGTGGCTGTGACTACTGCCTGTTCCATTTTCCTTGTTTTTTTCTTAAAAACTTGTTTTTCTGTTTTTACAAAGCTCTATCAATAGTTTAAATTTTTCACAACAAGGATTGAAAACCTCATAACGTCAAAACCATCCAGTGAAATTACGATGTTCCACGCAGCTGTCATGGATTTGCGTCTTTAAAAGCATTTCAAGCAATTCAACTCAAATATTCAACTCAATTCGGTGCCCAACTAAAGTAAGGTCTAATTATCAATATAAGGACCTTGCAAGCAATTTATGTTAGGCAGAAAATACCATTCGCGTTTTGAAAAAACATGGCTGTTTGACACTTCCTTTCATGATGCAAAAATAAATTACTGCAAAGGTTCCAACTCTCCAGATTAGTGCGGAAGTCTCCCACTTTGAGACTTATTTTCCTGCTCTCCCGATTTCAAACTCCCGCTCTCAGGAATTTTTTATCTGTAATCAAATCATATCTTGAAAAAATATTGAGCAAAAATAGAAAATTTTAAACCATAGCAGACAGGAAATGCACACTTTTCTTTGGTTCAGACGTATCCAGTACCGTGAGCAAGGGTACATCTTGTTTACCCAATCAGATGTGTTTTACATGTAGGCCATCCAGCCAATCAGAGGCCGCCATTCACAAGTAGCCTGTGTCCCAGACCCCTATTCACAAGTTGCTACGTTTTACGGCGTTGTGACCTGCGCTTTCTGTGGGGATTTAAATAGAAAAAATACAACCCCCCCCCATTTTTTGGCGACCAAAATATGCTTGTCTTCTTGCAACAACAGGGTTTTAAAGAATTGATTTTGGCAAGACCTTAATTCAGTGAAATTTTCTTTTGCATTTCTGGGGATGGACCAAAATCGTATATTTTGATTGTATTTGTTAAAAACTCCCGTTTTTAAATATTCTAAAGATGGAATGTCTGGCACTGTTAATAACTGTTGCTTATCCTACCTTCTTTCTATCAAAACGTGAGACATACCGAATAGAATTATCCTCTGTGTGACGTTAGCGCAGCTGCGACTCAGCATTGATCCAAGACACGTGACAGATATTGACGTTTCGTTTGCAAAAATGTACCTTCTTAAAGAGATGGTTAGATTGTAACTTCCTTCAACCAACGCAAATTTATCAATTTTAGCCACCTGCACCTTATTTGAGTCTTTTAGAACCGTGAGAGAACTGTGTCTAACAAAGTAACCATCCTCGAATGGCCTAACAACACATGTCAACGTGATATTGTCGGAACCATTTTTTACTGGAAATGCTGGCTTGGCTGTAAAGATTTCCAGATGCGGCGAATCTTAAACAGAAAGAGAAGAATGCTGTTACAAGAACAAACATATTTCATCAATAACAGTCATCAAAAATTGACATATTTTTCTCTCCCAGAATACATCTTACATAAACGTTTACAAGTACACTCTATTTTTATATAAGAAGCTGACTATAAAAAAAGGGTACTGGACAGTCAGAAAAAATTAAGAAACTTCAGTACTCGAAGCAAAAAAATTCAGAAACTATTAAATTGTGATAAAACTGAGAACTACGAGATTTTGTAAAATCCAAGAACATGATTGCCCTGTTGGCCTAGAACTTAAGACACAAGGGATAAAAATATACTTCCCACATCTGAATACAGCATCAGAACGGAAGCGAATCTTTTGACGTGATAAAAAAGGTCACAAACATTTTATAACATCATTCATAACATCATAATTAAGAAACTCTTAAGAAACAATCAGTATTAAAATTTCCAGAACATTAAGAAACGGCGTACCGGAAAACAAGGACCCAGGACCTTAAGGCAGGACCCAGGACCCAGGACCCAGGACCCAGGACCCAGGACCCAGTACCCAGGACCCAGGACCCAGGACCCAGGAACTAGGACCCAGGACCCAGGACCGTATATGTTTTCGATGGTGCACTCGTTGTTTCATTTATAAGAATGCCAAGTTATAACATCACGTGCCATTAACAATTGTCCATAAAATCCAACATCGAACAAAAGACTGCACATCATAGTAAGGAGGAATACTTCCAAAGAATACAGCTGATTTTTATTTTTGGCCCTGTGTGAAAAACATTTGCTGTCTAGGTGATCAGAAACTTTGCCAAGTCATTGCTGCTACAAGTGTTCAAAAGTGAAACTAGGCGAAGTGTCGCCACTGTGCTGGTCTCCACTTTTCTCTTTCAGAACAAAAACGCTTTCCGAAAGACAAAATTTTTTAAACTTTTTTCAAATCAAGATCATGATTTCTAATGCATGTTTCAGCAGGCAATAAACATACCAATAAGCAGCCATTCCTGCTTCTAGAGCAAAGAAACTTTTAAAAGCCTTATCATTCCTGCCTTTAATATCTTTAATGTCTAGCATCTTTTTGAATATATCAAAATTACTTACGCTTTGACGGCTTGTTAATGATGTGGGCTTACTAATGATGCATACATCTTACCATAGAATAGTAATTGCTGTGCTAGCCAACTATGCTAAAACAACCACGTCAGACTTGCTCGGCCAAAAAGAGTATTTCACATTGCAAGGCGTTGCTTTAGTTTAATCGAGTTTTCGTTTTTCCCACAAAGCCAGAAATAGAAATCAAATTCATTTCTGCATTCATTAGAAGTATTCCCCCTTACAACGTCCTGGGTCTTTGTTTTCCGGTATGCCTTAAGAAACCGGAGTAATCAACATCGACCTTTGTTTCTTATAAAAAAATTGAGTGAATTATTCTATTTAGGCATTGTGCGACACAGAGAAGATTCGCTGACATCATCACTTCAATCGATGGCCTCGTTTAAAATAACTTTTCCGTGCGAAATTTCAGATACTTGATTCGAGTTTGATTTTATACTTTTAAAACGCTCCGCTATTTCATCTTTATATAACCTTTTATATCAACGTCAAAGAAATCAAAAAGAAAGTTTTAGAAATGTCATAGCTATTCTTTGGTGGCAGATTACAAGGTAAGTGGAGATGGAAGATAAGAGGGGGTTAAGGAGGGGAACAAAGGAAGTGACTTTGTTTTTCTTTTCTCTTGTATCCTTGTGGCTGTTTCTATCCTTCTAAACATCTAAAAATATTTTTTCCTTTGCCTGATAAGTGAAGTGGAGTCCAAAAATTTAGAGACAGTGTCACGAAGGAGTTCACTATATTCTGATTGTAGAACTGATTTCATTCTATTTAATTATTCTTGACGATCAGGTCTGTCGGAAAAGGGATCGAAGGGTATATGCCCCCGACACACTTAAAAAATATTAGATTCTTGAAAACTTTAATTCAAAATTTTCTGCTATGGAATTATGATAAGCTCTCAATCCCCACCATGCTCGTTTATGGATTTTATACACTTTCCTTTGTTGAGTCGATCATTAAAGGAAATACGTAAGAGTCGTCACATTTTAATTGGGGTACATATTTGAATTGTGTATATATTCTAAGAAATTTTCTTTCCTGCTATCAAAGTTAGGATGATTATGTTTGGAGTTCAAGCATGATACTATTTATCTAATGTTCACTTTTTAACAAATAAACCTATGACTCACTTGATTCATGCCAATTAACCTATAAATTTAAAGGCCTAAAACCGCGACTTGGAAATAAACAGCTTCCTTAAAGTTCTCGTCTCCGCATCTTATGAATTTCCGATATTTTGTAATCGTGTTTGGGCTCTTGGTAAAGCACAGGCAATTGTTTACAAAAATTGTGAGAAAAATCAGAAATCATTCTGACGATATTCAATTCTTCTTATTACATAAGATCTAAGCAAGATTCAGACCTTGAGTATAGGCGTTCAGTAAACTAAATTTCGAGTTAATTTGGCATGTCTTAGAAAGCGGGAATGTTATCAAGCAATAATTGATTGGCTTCTCAACTTGGTGATTGAGGGCCTAAATATGAGTAAGAAGGGTGTTAAGAAAATCTTTCCCAAACCAAAACTTGAAGGACAGATCAGAATGAATGCGAACACTTTAGATAACCTCGGGTATTAGTGCCAGCTACTTCGGTTCTTAGGGGTTCGATCTTAGGGGAAATTAAATATGAACCCCTTTTAACAGTAATGCAATATTTTTCTTATTTTGAACCGCACCCAGCAAAATTAAAATCTGGTACCTTTGCCAGATAGATTGTAGATTTTGATAAAGCTTTATAATTATTTGTTAATGGAGTATGTTTGTAACCATGTAACATCCAGTATCGATTCTTTTAACGATAATATTTTTAGCGGCGGCATAATGGGAAAGAACATATCATTCAATCATAATTCCTTTACTGCGTTCGAGGTCCAAGCCAGTCAACAAACAGTAAAGCCCTACTTACACTACACAAACTAACCCGGGTTCACCCCAGGTTAAGCTAGCCCGGGTTACTTTTTCGTAGTGTTAATGCAACTAACCCGGGTTCACTCAGGGTTAAACCAACCCAGTTTGAACTAACCGGGTAAACTTTTCAAAAATTTAATCTAAGCGCGAAACTGGGGCGAACCCGGGTTAGTTTTTATGATGAGCATCCGCACTCCTGTTTGAAACGAAAAGGCGGCATTTTGACGAACTATCAGGCATGCGTGTTATTGTTAACCCAGTTATGCCCCAGGTCAGCGCTTACACTATAAACCAAAACCAACCCGGGCTAACGTAATCCGGGGCGAACCCGGGTTAAGTTGTGTAGTGTAAATAGGGCTAATGATTGTTATTCTACACCATAGGTTTTGAATAGAAAGAAAAGATTAACCTACCGTAATCTTTGATACATTCAAGAGAGCTCACAAAGTTGTTTTGCTGGACCAGTAAAACAAAGATAATTGCAAAGGCCATCATTCTAAAATAAAGAGTAACGTGTACAGCCTTGTTCTAGACAAAAATTTTGACACTGCTATAAACTTCACCTGTGTGAGCAGATCGAAAAAAATCAGCATAACTACTCATCTAAATGTCACAGAGCTGATTCAAAAGGCATTGAATAAGCTCACTCATTGCAACTATAGTTGCATATATAAATAAGCTCATGCAGGGTATAATCTTGTCAGTACTTAAAGGTAATGTTATCAATTTGGGGCGTGCTAAAATGAAGAATTAATGAAAATGACGAGAAAATTGTTAAGAAATTGCTGAAAAACATTTGTTCCCGGCTCATGCACGCGCGAGGTCAGGATAGTGCTGCACGCTAAAATTTTCTGATTGAACTCCAAATTCAATAAAGCGCTATTAAATAAACTTAAATTTGCACGCAAAATGAATAGAAAAGAAAGGTTTGCACGCAGAATTTGCCCGCAAAATGAATAGTAAAGAAAGGTTTGCACGCAGAATTTGCCCGCAAAATGAATAGTAAAGAGACCTTTGCACGCAGAGTTTGCCCGCAAAATGAATAGTAAAGAGACGTTTGCACGCAGAAAACATGGCATGAATGATTACTACACGCGTGAGATCTCCTCGAGAACTGCAATACTCAGCAGACAGGAGCAGTGGCAAACAGAGAAATGTGCAATTGTGAAAGAAAGGGTTGCGTTTGCAAAGCTACGGTCTTATAAAAAGAAATGTGTAGTTGAAGATTCGACAACACTGCTTTCAATTTCTGTTGGTTTCGTTCAGTCACGCCTATGCAATTAAGTTCAGTTTACTGTCACAATCTGCTTACAGACAACTTCTCGCGCAAAATTTGTCGAGTGTACCTTTTTGATGTCATTTTGGCGATGGAAATTTCATTCGCTTCCGAATTAGGTTATCTTTTTACCTTCGAGCTTTTGATAGATTAAGCAAACTTTGTTTACTTGCCAATAACCTCTCTTGTGATGTACCTGCCTATGTACATTTACTTAAATGAACACGTAGAGAAGATGTAAAGGAATTTTCATAAAATATCTCAATGGCATTAATCCATTTGTTATATACCTAATGCCTTATAATAGTCGTTAACTCTTGTGTAATCCTTCAAAAGTATAGAAAAACAGAAGGGACTTACTTAGGCCATGATTCAATTCCACATGCCATCTTAACATTGCGAACGATATGGTGCGATAATTCTTCCCCGTTCACAATCATGAGTACATACTTTAATTCCAGCATAAAATAAATGTACATTCAATATTGTCTTCAAAAATGCACAAGAGACAGGTGGACCTTTAAGGTAATGAACGATCCTCGACTTGCACCGCAAATATTTGCGTAGACATGGAACTGTTTCTTGGAATTGCTTTGTTCTAAAACAATAGGAATTGTATAGGTTTCGATCAAAAACCATCAATTCTTCATCCCAGTTTGTTTATATGCTTGCTCTTTCTAGAGATTAGCTTTTGCGATAAAAGGCGTCTGATAAAAGTAGAGCCAGTGTTTCTAGTTTGTAAGAGGTGATACATCACAAAATAGCTTAACATCGCGTGAAATGATATGTACATGCAGGCCCGTAGACAGCTAAACTGGATTGGGGGAGGGGGGGGTCATGGATAGAAATATAGCTTTGGCAATGGGAGGAATTTGTTTTTCGGAGAAGCGGGAATCAAAGAGATCGGGGATTGAAGTTCGAGAATCGGGCGAATCGGGTTAAAAATGTAGCAGGAACTCGGAAATCAGGGGACCTATAACGGTTTATCGTCTGTTCCCAAACTCTGTAGGGGGGGGGCATTAAAATTTCGAATAAAAATCATGCCCGAATAAAGTCATCTCGATGTATATTTGCAAACTATGTACTTAAATTAAGGTTCAGAATGAGTGCAATGTGGTACAGCTAGAGCAGTCTCAGATAAAGGAAGCAGGGGGTAAGAATAAACTAATCCTCGAAGAGAATCTTCAAAACTCGAAGAGAAACAGCAGTTTGTCTACCACAAATTTAAGTCTTGGGGCCTCCGCTGCTCAATATATACCTACATTACCCTTTTATACTAGTGAGACATTGAAGTTTGTAACTTTGCAGATAAAGCAACAATCTATGCTTGTGATAGCAGTATCGAATGTGGCATCAAAACATTAGAGAGAACAATGAAAAAAAATGAAAAAACATCGCCAGCTTGAAAAAACTGGGGTGGACAAATACAAATTTTCTCGTCCACGCCCTTCAGACTCTTGGAAAATTCTTTTTAAGTATTTTTATCTATTTTGAACTGTTTGGACAAGCAGCTTTCTCAAGCAGCATTTTCCTTAACGGTGGCTTTTTTGCCAGTGCAAAAATCGAAATCAGCCCAATTCACGTCCACCCCAGTGCACCCCCAGCCCACCTCGTGGCGACGCCACTGAGAGAGATACATTTAAGATTGCACAAGTGTCACATTATGGTATTTGGTGATGAAAATAAAAATGTTTCTTTGGATAATAGAAGTTGAGAAATAATTTTTTTGCATCCTATTTCCTAACGCATTTGCACCTTTCTGAGAAAAATTACATCTAAGACAAAGTTTAGCAAAAATTTAACATTTGTCTGTCAAAATTGTTTCTGTTTCATTCCGAAAGGACCCAGAATGGGGACTTTAGATCCTACTACCCCTCCTATAATACCTTGCTCGCTTTTCGAGAAAATTGATAGCAACATTCGATGGTGTTTAAACAGGGTTCGACATGAAATCAATGTTTTATATTATAATGAAAGAACAATACATGGTTAGGTGGTACGAAATGAGTAAAAAGTTACCAGGAGTTTCTCACAGTTTAAAAGAGGGTCAAAAGAACGAAGTGAGAGAAGAAGGGAACGATTGGATTCAGACAAATCGAATAAGCCTTAACTTTTGTATAGGAAAAAATAAAGGACGCCCCTTCTTAAATGACAACCGTCGAATCTTTTATGGTAAAAAGTATTTAAATATGATCGTATAGTGAGGTAGCGGCCCCTTATCCATGCCCTCCCACCACTAATTGTGAGTATCGGAGATTGAGTTCTGAAATATCACCCTTGGACCTTGACAAAGAAACACATCTTACACCCTGTTTTAGTTCGGAGTATTTTAAAAATTCATGAACTTGGCATAGGTAGTTTAGGATCCCGCATTTGCTATTCATGCTAGTGGCGAAGAGATCATTTAACTCAAGAACATGCGTGTCATCTTGATAGCCGTTTTACAAACATATCTTGTTGCAACCCTGATTTTTATTGTAACAGAAAATGACGTCGCAGCATTTTCCACAGGGCTAGGAGGGCAGTTCTTTGGAAAGAAAGAGCTCAAGGTATATAAACATTCACTATTTCACTTCTAGGTAAATCCATAATTAGTTCATACTTATTCATTTGGCTTATCATTTGGCGTATAAAAATTGATCAATACAATTTAACTCTTGACGTGCAAATGGCAACGGAAAGATTGAGACAAATCATTATGTAAACAGCAAATCCGATCCCCTTCACATTTCTTGTTATCGAATGTGAACAATCAGTAAAGGTACAGCATGAAGGCAGTAGTAGATCAGTGAGTCTTTAAAAGTTTACTGTTTCCTAGAAGCAAATTTAAAATTTCATGGGACCTGTTTTGAGCAAAGAATTAGCATTCGTGTAGCGAACGTAAATACAAAGCTCGAATATATGCTTAAATTCAAAGTAGGAAGCAATAGATTGAAAGAAATACTGATTTTGATGAACTTGCCATCACATTCCTATACGGGATTCCAGGAGAGACCTCACTTTCTTCCCGTTGTTTCCCAGGTTCCAAAGAAACCGAGTTCAAAGCAGGAAAATAGGAATAGAAGATTGAGAATAACAAGTACAAAGATTTCGAGAAGATGTCAAGTTGCAATGCAGCTATTCTTACGGGGACTTCTCGGTGAAGATGTCAACATTGCAGGCAAAGGAAACTTGGACAAAGCATAATCACATTATGGTCTGAAAATGGTGATTTCGGATCGTATCATGCCCAATTTGTTAGTCATGGATTACTGATTTAGAACCTCATTGGTGTAGTATTAAAATTTCTCCATAAAAATCTGGTGTTGAATGTGATTCTAAATTAGATGACCTAAAAAGTCTGATTTGATCGGAGTACATTTTAATTGAGCTGTAACTCTGCAAGGCTCGAATGCTGAAAATAATTGAATCTCATGAATCGGTACGTAGATGTTTTGCGCAGCAGAGTATTAATAATGCTCAGGGCAAATGATGCACGTGTGACCTGTCTTGTATTTGTTACTGGCTAGCCTCCCAAGGTAGGTTTGAGAGACACTGAGAAGCTATGCTTATAGAGCAATGTCCTGTTCCTTTCAATTTGACCATACCTCGTGAATTCTACGCCTGGAATCAGAGAAACCTGGCGAATCCCTAAGGAAAAGTTTGGTCACGTTATAGTCTCGAACTTTTTGATCTGTTGTCCGCGACGCTAACCACAGATCTTCATATATGACATAAACTCCTTTTTTACAAGAAAGATTACATAAGGACACGAGCCTCAAAACTGGCAAAAATTTGAGAACAAATTAAGAACACGCTGAGGCTGATCTACTTGAAAATGTTATGTTCAAGCAATGTTTCATCTCAAAAACGAGAAGTTCTTGCCATCTAGGGTTGACTTTTCGATGCATTTACTAACTTGTTAGCAAATACAGGATATCTCGGTCATTTTGCTGGCAAACGAGGCTTGAGAATCTCCCTAGATTGCAATAGCTAGCAATTGCACTGCTTAGACCCTATTAATTTAAGAACAAATTAAGAACAATACAGTCTCAGTTTGTCGAAAAAATTAAGAACAGCCAGCCTGAACTTACATTGCAGATTTCAAAAGCAAACGGTTCTTTAAATTATACATCGGCCAGTTGCGAGAGGTGTTTTCGAAAATACCTCAACAGAGAGAATCTCGCCTTTACAAGGGAAGTATTGTCTGTAATGACTCAATTCGAGGGCTGCGTACAGATTTTGCGAGCTTTGACAATTTACTGTTGAATAAGTAAAAACCCAATATTGCAGAAATTGTTATGAAATAATGTCTAACAACACTTATCTGGATGTATTAACACCAGCCATCTAATTCTAGCCTAACACAAACTAAAATTATGGCAACATGCTAATTCTTTCCCCCAAAGAAACAGTAAGAAACCGAATATAGTTACCCAATATTGATAAATTTTTCATAGTATTTGAAAACATCATGCATGCTAAACTTTTCTAAAAAGGCCCCTTACGGTTTGAAGGTTTAATGAAAGCAGTGGCGGAGATAAGGGGGAGGGCAACTAGGGGAGGTGCCCCTCCCTCACCGAGTTGAAGCAAGTCTGGCGCCCCTTTTTGGAAATGGTTTGGCACAATAATTGTGAAAATTCCCTTTAGAACGTGAATTGAGAGCCTTCTGTCAATAGTTAGGATCTGAAATTATTGTATATAGCGCCCCCACTACCAACTGCCCCTCTTTCAAATTTGTTCTGGATCCGCCCCTGAATGAAAGTACATCTCTAGTCTAGTGCCAAATTGACTTTGTAAGTACCCTGGGTACCAGAGCCTCATTGAATGAGATAGTCGAGCAGTGGTCAGCGCTGCCCTATTCCCTCACTGAGGCTCTGGCACCAAGGGTACTTTGTAAGATACATAATGTCGCAAGTTACTACAAGTTCAACGTCAGTCCAGTCACTTTATGCTCAAATACACCCAAAACCCTAAAGGCATTTGATACAGATAAAAGTGGCTTACAGCCAATCGACCATCAGCGGTTGACCAATCGAATTGCGCAGGGAGAATACCATGTGAACAGTTTACGCCTTTCTGTAAATAGGGGAAATCCCAGCGCAGCGCAGTGGCTCAAAATGGTGGATGAAGTTATGGCTTCGTCTCCACCAGAGACTATCGAGAATCACCAGAGTATCGATCTATCGTTTCAAAATCATCAATATCGGTTGTCTGGAATCTTCGAGCAGCCATTTTCTCACTTAGTGTCTTTGGCAATGGTCTGAGTTTTTCCCTTTCACGTGCTCTGACTAATTTAGTCTAAGTCATTTTTGAATTTGCTGTATTTATGCATGTCAAATGCGTTTAATTGAATCACAAGCAATTATGATTCGATCTAAAGCTGAAAACGTGCTTCTCGCTAGAAAAAGCAGCTGAAAATCAAACTTACGTTAGTACCAGAAAAGACTTCTGTGACATTAGCAAATATAAGAAATTAAACAATTTCTTCTGTATAGAATAAAAACGTAAAAACATTATCGTTACTGTTCGATTTCCCTAAAAATCAAATGAAATAACAAAACCGTCACCTTAATTGAACTTGAAAAACACCATAAAGACATGGCTGTCGTCACTTGCAAACAGCACAGCTAGGAAACAAATTAGCAGTGGGCAGATTTAATGAATGTACATTTTCGGGTTGTAAAAACGAGGTCAACAAATCATCCGGCGATAGATTTGTAGTTCATGTAGGCCGTTCGAAACGTTTACGGGCGGGATTTTTCAGAAAGGGTCAATCGACACGAGGAAGTGGAATGCCAGATAGTTTGAGGTTTGCGTGGCTGCTTTCGATGCCAGCGTCAGCTGTAGTTTTTATAAGTATCTTATGAATCATAAACGTAAAAGATTGCTCTAATCATGAATAAAAGTCTTACATAATCCACCATAACTGTTCTTTAAGGCAATAAATAAAGTGATTATTGTTTATACAAAAACTAATGTTGGCACAGTAAAAGAAACCAGGCTTGGCAGGGAATCTCAGGCCTCCCAAAGACGGAAGGCCTCCCAAAAAGCAAGCAAGCAAGCAAGCAAGCAAGCAAGCAAGCAAGCAAGCAAGCAAGTAAACAAGCAAGCAAGCAAGTAAGCAAACAAGCAAGCAAGCAAGCCAGTTTGTGCAGAAGCAATATTAAGGGCCCTTGATGCTGATGTAAATTGTCTAATTACACTTTTCCCGCAAATTATCGATTGGGACTCTGGCAGCCTTTGCCATACAAATGAGAAAATTTTAAATCAATATGTATTGTAAATGAAGAAATGATACGAAGAAGGAATGACATTTTCTTGATACAGGAAACAAATGATTTCACTCCGTAAACAACAAAAGTCTAATAGGTTTGAAATCAAGATCAAGTAGCCCATTCCCCTTTCATAAACAAACTGAATGTTTGTGAAATGAAAAAAATGATGGCACAGAGCGAGAACATCTAGGGCTTTAGTGATCTGCTGGGGTTAAAACTGGAAAAAGGGGGCTGATGCTTGTGAAGGTGACCATTAATGGACCAGGTGATATGAAAACCGGAATTATATTAGGACATTGGCCATTAGATTGACTCCTTTCATTTGACCTAGGATTAGCGCTGTCCATTTAATTATTCGGTCCAAAACCTTACGGTAATTCGTTTATTCAGCTAATATGAGCGTGGCAAACATAGGTGTGGCAGGGTAGGGTAAAAAACTACCCACATCTGAAAATGTATTGTCATTTGACGAAAATAACCAATAGCAATTAGTCATAACTCTTCGATCAGTCAGACCTGTTAATTGTTTTGGTTTTATTATTGATACAGTATTTGATCAACCCTTCCGTGCGCATTGTATTCGTGTGTATTCGCAAAGTACTATTTTTATAATTTCAAAAGGTATGGTGCATAAGTATTTTGAAAACATACATGCTATCTTTCTGTCTATGCAAACGAAAACCACGTTCAGATATTCTTTTTAAAAAATTAATGTTTCTTCAATCTTCTCAAAATTGCAGAGAGGCTAAAATCAAAATTGAGCTGATGCGAGCCCAATGGCATACATTACTTATGACTAGTTTTAAAATAGTCGTTTTCCAGCATTTTGAAGGGTGAAGTCACAAAAGTGTCCCAAGAAAAAGCCCCCTGACCTCCACCCGTTAAGCTCGCTCTACTCTCCCTGCACCCAAAAGCCCCTCGCTTTATATTCATAGGTATGATAGCGAAATGCTCAGAGAATTTTCGGGTTTACAGCACGTTGGGATTCATGAGGACCTTTTCTGGACATGTTATGGAACTCTGGCTAGTAAACTTACCAAATATTTTTGGAACTGTAATTTGTTGCGAGTCAAACTAGACATTGAGCGATAAACGTAGCAAGCTTGGAGAAATGCTCACAAGGTAATCTACTGAATGAACAAATATCATATTCCTGATAATATTAGTTATTCAGTCTTAAAGAGGTATAAATCAAGATAAAGTACACAGACTGTTTCTGAACATACAAGGTTTTAGCTTTGCATACATGCTTGTACATTTTCTCGTTACCGAAGCCACCCTATTTATCATTCAAAATCACATAATCAGTCAAGAGGAGTCCGGTGTCTTCTATCTCCACCGAAAATATGACAAATAAGAAATAAATGCTTTCAGCTAGTACCAACCAATCAGCGGCCTGCAGCTGACTCAACAGTACATTGATACTTGAATGAACTGTAAAAGGAAAATGGTCAAGATGATTAATTTGTCAAAAAAACTTAACCGCCACATTCAAATTTGGAGATTGATGCCTTAAAAATTATTCCCTCCTCTCTCCGGGCAATGAAAATTATTTAACAACAAACGTTTATAAAACCATGCCATTCAGGTAGACGAATAAGATATTGCTGAAGAAAGAGTTGTTAATACAGTCAGAAAGATAACAATGGGACTTATGAAGACCACCCGGTTATCATAAATTGTTTCTGTATAGACCAATTCGACTAACGGCCTCATTTTGAAAAATTCTTCAAATTATTTTGTACCAAAATTTTTGACCTCAGATTCGGATTGCGAGCAATGATTTTAGTATACTTGGAAGTTTTCATTATGGTATTGCTCACGATATTGATTTTATGACGACAAAAAGATAAAAAATTATAAGGGATTTGACCGTGATTGGCGACTAGGGGGGTAAAGTTTCCCCCGAAAGATTTTTGCGGTCAAATCTCTTACAAGTTTTCAAACTTCATTTCTCCGTAAAATCTAAAATACAAGCACAAACAATATGAAATGTATCCGGCTTAAGATTATGGTGATAAAACCAGATTAGGAGACATTTTCAAAACGAGGCCGTAAGTCGAATTGGTGTATTAATAGCAAGGGGCTCAAACAGACAATAATTAATTCCGGGGCTGGGGACTGGGGACTGGGGGCTGCAATGATAAAAAAGTTATAGCATTCAGGCTCCATTCGGGCAAGATCTATACTAAGCCCCCTCCCCTGCTCCTCAAACGTGTACCATCCGCTACGTCCAAGCAGAAACCAGCCCTTTTTGCGAATCCAAAATCGTTTCGAATAACATAAAACCAGTTCGTAACGGCAAAACTGCGACCTGATATAGCTACAGGCATTTTTGCGATTAAATGGCTCCAAAGTGCTGGCTTACATCATCATATGTGAACTGGGCGTGTCCTGTTTGGGTTGCATCACGTCTTCTGAAATGATCTGAAGGAAAGGAATAGAAAAATGACAAAGACCATGACGCTTCAAAATTTCAAAGTTTTGAATAAATAGTCTGAGGTCACAATTTGTATGGAATGAGCAACTCAACAAAGGCAATACACTATAATAGCAACGAAGTCTTCTAAGTTCTTCTTTCAAACAGAAAACACAAGATCCGTTGAAGGTTTTTAAAACTCGTTTTATAAAAAGATGATGGAACACTTGGAAAGGGCGGAGGGTAGATTACATTTGATGTATACACAAAGCAACTTGGGTATTAAAAAATTACAGGATTTGCGTTTCACGAACTATTTGACAATAAAATCAATTCAGCAACGACTCTAGCCTTTCTGTCATCAAAAGGTAACGAAGAGATTAGCAAATATAGCGGTCAGACATCGTAAGATCTTACATACCTGTCATTAACCTTAAACGAACAGCAATGGCAATGAAATTGTCAAATGAGATTCTTGAATCTGTTGAATAACGCTTGACTGTTATGTTCAAGGCTTGAGGAGACAGATTGTAGCCTACAAAACAGAGAATGAAAGATAAAGGATGAGAAAAGGATTAAGTAAACATGGTTAAAAAACAATAATTGTCAAATTACAAGAAAAAGACAAATTCTTTACCCAGCTATTCCGTTTACGCCTGAATTTCTGACTATCTAATGCAAAAAACAACAGATTCAAATTTAATAAAACTCAAACAATTTTGCCGAGATTCGGCTCTCCTTGCCTAGCGGAATCAATAACGTCACTACCATATGTTCATAAAATTTCCGCTGCATCAAGTTAACAACAATTACTGCGTATTGCTGAGACGGTAACGCGGTCACAAGGGAGGAGGCGCTCTCTAATAGTTGATTACTCATTGGTTTTTCAAAAGCACACACCTAGAAGTTTAAAGAAAATTTCTACTCTGTGCCAGGAAATTCCATGTGCTTTAAAAAACAAGTAAACGACCAATCACACATGCCATTCACCTTAATGTTAACGCTTAAAGTCATAAATACTCTGCTCTTGGTGTTTTAGGGGCCCTTTACATGAGACCCGAAACGAAACTCATGCCGGCACGAGTTTTCATGCCGGCACGAGTTTCATGTCGGGTGCTGGTCTGAGCTACTATTGTGATTACATGGCGTTGACCGAAATGAAACTCATGCCGGCACGAAAATCTCATGTCGCTTTTTCGTGCCGGTGTAATATGCGTTTTGGTACCCTATGCAAAAGTGTAACATTGTGAAACGCAATGTGTTTCAAATCAAGTGATTTCATCGTAGTGCGATATTATGACAAATTATAATTAATAAATAGAACACAATGCTTTTTATTTTGTATTTGTTTGTATTACACACAGAACAAAATTTCACACTTTTTAATCAAGAAAACTTTGGAGTCGCCATTAATGTTGTACTTTTTTGCATAAACTTAACAAGGGAAATCACAGCACCGCTTCTTGTTAGTACCTCCTTGTTAGAAATAGTTCGATTGTTCTTTACATTCTGAACATTATGAATCAGAACATTTGTGTTCCCAGACCAGGTCGCATGCTAAATTCCACCATTTGTTTCAGTTCCCTGTCTTTTAAAAGTTTAGGTACGTTTTTGTATAAGCAAAATTGTTATGCGTTTCTGTACCAGGACCATTTTGCATGCTAAATTCCACCATTCGTTTTGGTACCCTATTGTTTAAGTGCTTGGGTACGATTTTGCATAACCAAAATTGCCATGCGTTTGAGTACCCGGACCGAAATGCATAAGGTTACCGAAACGCATATGACACCGGCATGAAGTTTCATGCCGGCACGAAAGTGTCGTGTAAACAGATCAGTTTTTCATATCGGGGGGAATCAGTGATAAAATCGCCTCCGTTGCACAAATGCTGCATTTGGATTTGGTGAAATGTATGGCCTAAATTCTGACAACAAGTCTGAAAAAAATTCCCTTGACATTCTAAAGTTAACATGCCATTCTCCATCGCTTAAAATTCCATCCCAAACATTTAACCACCATGCACTTGTGCGACCAGGCTTTTTCCATTGTCGTCTTTTTTTCCTCAAAAATCTATTTCTTATGGCTCTGTAACGGCAAAGGGCGCGATTTTATCTTCAACCGCAGCTCTTAACTTTTCCTTAATTTCTTGCTGTTGCAAGAATACCTGTATAGCTAGAAGCATTTGGCATTGTAGCGCAATGCAACCAGTTGTAAAAACTAGATAATTTAGGACTGTGATCAAAAGAAGTTTCCTTGGATCCTCTGCCGCCATTTTAAAAATTTACTCTCAAACTTTCCCGCTCTTTTTTGAGAAGCACGAAGTCACGTGAATATCATGCGAAAGAATTCGACAGTTTCATGTCGGGTTTCATGTAACGGCGAGCAAATTTCACCGAATTTTCATGCCGGCACGAACTCGTGCCGGCATGAGTTCATTTCGGGTCTCATGTAAAGGGCCCCTTAGTAGACAGGTTGAGTGTAAAAAAATACAAGTAGTACTTCTCGATTCCATAGAAAAATGGAAATGCAACCTTATTTCAAATTTATACTGGTTTGATATCAATTATTCCCAAAATGACTAACAAACAGTGGAAAGAGCAAGTAGAATCAACGAAACAAATATATTTATAATTGTCATAACAACCATCAATACAACCAGTTCCGAACCTCCATCTGTCACAGTCAATTTGCAGTTAAAAAATTAATTTTGCAGGCATAAAATAAAACTTTTTACAACTTATCAACTGTATCTAATTTTCTCTGACGATTTCTTTTATTTATCATCTATCGTCAATCCATATCATTCCGTCTTTCTGACCTTCTCTCCGCATTTCCACGCCTATTTTCCATGACTATAAACAAAACAACTGAACCACGACACATGACGTAATCAATATTGCCTCCATTGAGTAGCTTTAAATGTTCTGCCGCAGATACAGTTCTGATTCTCGCATCAAACGCACAGTTGTGGACAGGGTCTCAAACACTTTTTTCTCTTCTCGATGTTTTATAGTTTCGTAGCTTGTGGAGGATTTCCAAATTTAACTGTGTTAGGAATCTTCATTGGTTATCTCTATTCCTATTTTATTCCTAATTAACAATCCAAATAAAACAATCTGAAGTTAGCTGCATGTTGCGAAAAAGCCAAATTCACTCACCCCAGCTCTGTATAGCTCGGTGTAGCTCATGAGGTTCCACCGTTCCTGACCGATCAGAATCATACTGATAGAATGTGCCCTAAAAATTGATTTTGACGACATAAGTTTATGTTCGTGCATAGAAGCACAGGTTCAGTACATGACTGTCCTAAAGGAACACATTTTAGATGTTCATTAATGCCTTTCTTTCAATTAAACTTTCATTCCAAAATTGTGTTAGCAGCCTGACGAGTGCAGCCCACGTGTTTCAGAATCAATCTTATAAAAACGAGGCAGAAAAGCCTGAGAATAAAACGTACATGATCCTGTTAATAACGCTTGTAAAAAGATATCTCGATACATAGCAGGATTAAAATAGGTTTCAAAGGACAACTGCAGCAACTAGAATACTGTAGTTATCCAACATTGCAATATTGCAAAATGGCCGACATAAAGAGAGTAAATAACCAACCCTCCACTGATTGAGGCAAGTCCACAGCTCTTTGAACTCGTTGAATCCCATTTTACCACTGTAATCTCTCTGTTAGCATGTCAAGGAAATCAGATATGTGTTGACTGAAAGTTGCAATAGGTTGAAAAATATTCCTGCAAGCTAAAAAAACTTGTGGGAATCAAATGTGGACCAAGAGGTGTCTATAAAAAGCTTGAAGCATGACGCATCTGCCAAAGAAACTACACCATGCCTAATCTATAAAAGAAACATGCAAAATAATCCCTTGCAAAATAAAATTCAGGGCTGATTATCTTGCTTTAACAACATGCGGTATTCATTATTTACTAGCTTTTCTGGAAAAGAATCCGTGAAAAAGATACATCCAGCATACTTATCATAATCCTGCATGTTTCCAAGCTGAACACTAAAAAATAAAGTACTTTAGTTCAATACTGCAACAGACAAATTCTCATTTCTTTGCCACATAAGAGCTGCTTTTACAAGAGGGAAGAATAAAGGGAGGGGGGAGGGTTGGTGTCTATGATTGGTGTTTGTCACAATCAAATGTGAAAGACGGGCTAAAATACATGCAGGGGGTTAAAAAAATTAAAACAAATAGCGAAGGGTTCAAATTCCAGAGGTGTGGAGTCTATCAATTCAGGACTGCAGGTAAAAGCCTCTTCAATAAAAAAACTGAATCTGAATCCAAACCAGTAAATCAAACATTTAAAATGCCATAAACACTACAAAAAGGTAGACAAACTTTGATAGGTTCCAGCGATTCCAGACTGAGTTAAACATCTTTGCAGTTCCAAAGCATCAATCTGTTGATCCTAAGGTGCAAATAAAAGAACAAGATGAGACAAAAAAGTTGTAAGACCAAACATATGAAGATGCTTCAATCCTAGTTCAGTGTTTCAAGTCTCCACAAGACATGTTTGTGGAAAATCCTAGTTTGATGAACAATGGAGAAATAAAATATCACTCAAAAAACTGTACAAGCTTTTGTAGAATCTCATGCTCTATGTCAATGGGACTTTTGAATTGGATGAGGCGTGCTTTAAATAGTTAAGAAAATGATATTAGCTTTTCAATGGGGTTTCAGTAAATCTCGATATCAGTGGTATATGCTAGAAGGACTGGGGTGTGGTGAAGCCCCTAATTCTTCATTAGTTAGTCCTATTCTTCAGATGGTCCACACAATTCTTAGTTGGTTGATCAAATCTCCTATAGGTAGAGGTGGATAATTACTTTATCTGTTTTATCCATACCTTGGTCAGAATTTTACCCAAATGATCGACCCCCCTCTAGCCTGGGAGAACAAGCTACGCATCTGCTCAATATGCTGGAATGACCTTGCTAAATGGAATAGCTATTGGAGGTTTAGTGGATTTTATTGAATACTTTATACATTACTTTCAACTTACATAAAATATTTGTACCCTGAAAAATGGAGAAGCAAAAGTAATGCCTAGACAAAAGCTAAGGTGGCAGAATTTTTGAGGAGATTTATAGTTGCTTAATATCAAACTTGACCGAAGAGATTCATATCAAACTTGACCGACTTGCAATTCGTATTTCCCCAGCATAGGTTATCTATATTGCCTAACCACAAAAAACTTTTTCAGGTTTAACATAACATATGTTGCAAAGATCAGTCAAATTACAAGGAGCAAGCTAAAATTGCACTTACAGCACCAGCAACTGCTGAGAAATAGCCCCAGAGTGGGTCTGCGCCACCCTACATGAAACAAGTGACGATAAATAATTAAGTCACGATACTATTTCTTGAGATTTAAATGGTTTTTAGGATGCAAGATGTACTGTACTATACCATGAAATGTCACATGCAAAGAATTAAATTAAAACATTACTGCTGATATTGGTATAAAAAAAGCAAAAATAGCTTCAAGCATCTGATTTCATATTACAAGATTCCTTGAAAGCCTTGGCAAGGAAAAATATTTCACTAAAACATGTATTAGAGAAAACATAGGGAATAAAGTGGCAACAATACTGGGGAAAAGAGATTTAAACAAGAATTTCCCTATCCTCTCGCACCATTTGTGCCATTTTCCAACTACATTTTGATATTCCCCTCCCAAAAAGGTCTGTCTACTTTTGGGTAGCTTGGCTTATCTTAACAGTTGTTGTAAAATGGTCAGATGCTTGAAGCTTTTTTGAAATTTACCAAATAATATGTTTACTACAACAGACAACCATACAGAATTGATAGAACACATCTGCGTTGAAACATTTAAACATAATAAATCCTGCTCTGCAAACAAATAAAGGTTCTCTTGCAGTTTTGTGTGGATCATTTTGTGTTGAGAAACAGGTGAAGTAAATTTATCCACTCATAATACTGACAATTGTTTCTTAATTTACATACAGGGAATTGTCCAGGGTAACCTCCAGGATATCCACCAGTCATCTAATCAAAATGAGAGTTAAGTTTGATAGGACAAAGACACACCAGCAGCATAATAATTGACATTACAAATTGAAGAATAATTTAACATTATTTATACAGCACGATGTTGTCCAAAAATAAATTAAGAGCACATGAAACTTAAAAAGGTACTTGTAAAATGTAAAGCATGTAAAATATTACACAAACACATGACTCACAATAAACTTTTTCTTCAGCCAGGAATCTTATTAAAATCAGAGACCTTTTTTGCAAAAGACTAGGTAGGTCCTTTTGGAACTATCAGTTTCATAATTGGCATGGTAATTGGGATAAGAGGATCTGGGGCAAAGGCTAAACAAGACTTTAGGGTAGGAAATTTGCAAAAAAAAGCCTATCAATAGAGGAAAAATTGCACAAATGGACAAACTTTATGTGATAAATGTCAGCAAATGTCCTTATTTTCAATCACTCTTATCTTACTGTAGTGACAAAAGTTTGAAAATATGTAAGAACAATGTACTTGAATAGAAATCTTCAGAAAATCAATAGAAAAGATCTCAAGTGCTCAACATACAGGTTGTCCAGGATAACCTCCTCCAGGATAACCACCAGGTGCCTAATTCGAAAAACATAATTATCCTTCATAAATATGAATAATGGTATGACAAGGAATTCTTTTGAAACTTAAGGTCGTAAATTTTAGCAAACAACTGACCATTAAAGCATTATCTGAAATGTTACTGGCGAATTCTTAAGTTTTACTTTACTTTTTTATGAAATACCCCTTGCTTTCAATCAAATTTTGCACCCCATGAAAATTATTTCAATTATATATTATGACAGCTCACCAAATTGCCTCATTGCAGGTTTTGCTTACCAGAAGCTTTGGCTTCATTTACTTAAATTACTTCACTTGAATTTCAAATTGCAGGTAGTAAGCAATAATTCATGCAGAGGAAAGGTTTGCCTTTTTATTTTTATACAGTTTTCATGTTTTTATCTAGAATGTTTAAAAAGTAGGCTTTAGGTCAGTAAGCAGCAAAGCTTATCAGTCAGTGACTCAGCCATTCCTTTTGAGCTGCAAGCCTCATGTTGGAAATGAGATAAAGGACAACGTGTAGGCCTTAACACAACCTATGGTCCCATGGGTTTGCTTTTAATCACCCATCCTCAACCAGGTTTTGACCGATCATTCTGGCTTCTCTTCTTTTTTCTTTAATTTCTTATTGCTTTTCCTTTCTTTAATCATCTTCATAGCAACTCTGGAGGGCATAATCACTCTTCAAAATCTTGTATTATTTTTGCTAAATTATTTTGCTTTCAAGAAACTTGATTGAGACTTCCTCCAAAATTTATTTGGTTTGTAAAAACCTCATACACTTTTTCTAACAGTAATACCTCCCTCAAGCATGTTCACAAGAGTATAAGGCTATTAGGTCTTCATAAAAATTGTGAGGCCTTCATTTAAAGGTCATTGCATGCCTTTACTTTTCATGTGGTGTGATTACCAGCATGACTGAAATTGTGCAACCTTCAAGGACTATTGTCTTTGAAGATACCATTCAAAAATAGAATGTTCATTGAGAAAAGGTTGGTTTGACAACAGTTAGTAAAAAGGAAAATGAAACTGAGTTATGATGATAACAACACACTTGAATTGATTACCGGACCATTACTTGATTTTCAATTTTTACTTTCAAGTGCAAGAAATTTAGTGCTTAGGAAGAGGCGTCCTGATAACACAAATCCAAAGGATCTATGTCCACAAGATCACTTTATCACAAATTAGTTAATTAGAATAATCCATGTTACTCATATTTTTCAGATGAATATTCCAACATTTGAGCTATTTTGAAAATTAGACAGATAATAACTAGTTTATTTATTTTCATACTAATCCTGTAGTACAACACAATTCAAAATGAATGGAAACAAAAATGGGATTACAAATTATATATACTTCCAGAATTAACAAGCTTTGACTGTTGTAAAGTGTGATATATATGTGATTTCTGAAAATTCAAGATTTAATTTGGGTATTTAGCTGGAATACTGTTTATAGCAGTCTGTGCAGCAGAATTTTTTAGATATTGTCTCCAATTTTCCTCTACACTCAACATTTATTATATATGCTTATTATGTTAATGGGCTTACAATTTAAACAACCAAGCAAAATACATAAAATTATAAACTAAATACACATATAACCATGAAAAAAATTCATCACATCAATAATAAAGATGCAAGGAAATTGCAAAATTTTAAAAAAATGCAAAAACTAAGATATTAGACAACAGATATGTTTATAAGTCTAGTACATAATTCACTGAAAAGATAATGAATTCATTCAGCCACGAGAGATAAAAGAAGGGAAACACCTTGTGTCCTAAAAGGTGTAGAATCTTTATAAAGTTTCCTTTTCTGATGTATACAAATATCACATGCTCTCTGGAGGTTTAAACAATGGTACAGGCATACCCATGTTTAAAGGTGAAGTGACTTCATGGCCCATCATTTAATTTACCTGTTTCTTCGTGTTACAAATTTCAAAGGGTAAAAATGATAAAAAATAGTGCTGTTTGAAAACACATTGAAAAAGAAATACAGATTTTATTTAACCATTTGTGGTTTTATATTAAATATTCCAAATGTTCTTCCATATAGGGTTTCTACAATATGAACCTATAAAGAACATATAAATTCATTTGTTAAAAAGCTCTCAGCATGCATTGCCAGTTAAAGCAGGATTTTCTCACATTGCTTTGGACGATGTTATGATTCTGATAGGTCAGCAGGAATCCCAGATTTGGTTGTTTTTATTTTTGCAGGTGTGAATAACTCACCTCATTAGTTTATAGCAAATATCATATATACTGCAAATGGCCTAGAAGTTGATCAAAATAAGAAAAATCAATGTGTCATTTTTGTTGAAGTTCTCTTCAATCTCTGAAGTTAACAATTTTGTTACCATCTCTTCTCAAGATACATGTAAGCAGATCCTGAAAATGAATTGAACTTTGAGGGGAGCAAATCTTTATTAGTGGTTATGAAGTGACCCACAGTTTCCCTCAGCTTTGGGATGAGAACATGAAGGAGAGCAAAGTGTTGCTTGCTTCAAAAAGGCATACTCTGATTTGATAAACCAAGAAAAAGGGATACCTTTGCCATATGTCGTTCATTGAGGAAATAAGTGACCTCTGTACCTATGAAGCAATTCACTTTCTTTGCAAAAGAAAAAATAGACAGTTAGGAGCACACCCAAGTTTACAGAACTCCGACACATCTGGCCAGGAAAATATTTGCCTTTTATACTTGAACAGCTAGCTACACCATGCTGGAAGCATGTTGAATTTTGTGGATGCAAAACCATTGTAAACCTATGCAAGGTTCATGTTTGGGGGAAGGGTACACTGGAGTCGCAATTCTACGTTAGTCCCCCCCACTTTTTGCAAAAAATGCCAAATACTGAGTATCAAACTACCAGAAAAGCCTCTTTTTATACGGTTTAAAACCCTCCCCCCCACTTTTCCCCCCACTTTCTTTAGACCCCCCACTTTTCTCAACGCTCCGCGGTGCCTGAACTGGATGTTTTATTATTTGTCATGAAAATGATCACCAATTTGAGGACAATACTGCGATAAAATTTAATTCTTTCCACCGTGCTGTCAATCAAAGATTTATACATTTACAATATTTCTTCTAAGCATACACTAAGTTTTCATTCTACTTCACTGAATGCTCGCGAGTTCGTGGCGTCTTAACACAAATGACTAACTGATGGAGCGTTCATTTACAACAAGCGTGCTACTTCATATCGGATAATATAGCAATCTTAACAGTTAAATTCTTACTCTACACATATCTGCTTAGTTTGGTAACATGAAATACTCACGCCATAGCCAGGATATGCCATTATTGAAATGCTATTTCCTCAACCTCTATAAGAATATTGCAAACGTTGCACTCTGAAGAAAGGATGGAATGGACAAGGAACAATTTCAAACAAACCCAGGGCGTAGTTGTAGTCTCTCATCAGACAGTGGCCTCGTTTTCCAAACTCCATGACAACCAAAGACCTGCGCTTCGTTATTAAAATGGCGGAACATCAAACTACCTTGAAAATTGACAGCTATGGTGCTGCATCCATTGATGCATATCTTGAATATAAGAGGTAAATAACAGGTCAAACATATTATAGAGTACAGCTATGCTCATGCTCATGGCGTTCAAAGCAAATTGTTTAGTTTTAATTTATTCTTATGCTAAAAATAGACTTAGGCCTACTATCGGTAATTATGTAATTATTATACACTAGGGTATCAAAAGTATTGCACCACCCTGCTAAAAATGGCGGCTCTTTTTGTCGACTTTTTGACCATGCAAAACATTTGAATGCATTAATTGGGTGAAGTAAGCGCATTCCAGAGCAAACTTTGGCGGGAAAAGTTTTCCAATCTTGCTGACGCCCGGTCTGCAGAGTATGGCACTTTTCGACGAGATCTCCGGTGTGCACGAGCAAAAAGCCTGGTGTGCCGGTGTGCACCACCAAAAATGTCTGGTGTGCTGGTGTGCACCGACTATTTTCCCCTGTTGTGGTTAAAATTTGTGAATTTGCATTTCACCGTAAAAATGCGTGTGAAGTACACTGTTGAAGATAGCCCAAGTTTTTATTTGTATATTTGTCAAGTAAGATTCATGATACCTAAAATTGTTCACACAAAACTGTGCTTGTTTTTATCAGCTGACATTTTCTATGGGACCACACCAAGCCACACCCATCTTAGTTGCCACACCCAAAAATACCTGGTGTGCAACAGGTTTTGCACAAAAATATCTCCGGTGTGCACATGCCATACTCTGCAGACTGGGCTGACGCCATAGAAAACTTAGTTAGAAATGTATAAATTACGCAAAAACATTTTTATCTGTAAAAATGTAGCCCATGCCTGAGAAAACAAAATTGTCAAATGAAAGGCGAGTCGCTATAAAATATTCACAGGGAAGTGGTCTTCAGTTTTCAAAAAAATGTTGACCAAGATAGATGCCGTCACACAACAGCTGTGGGAAACTAAAAAAGATTTCTCGAGAGTGTTACAGTAGTAAAGAAACAGAGAAGTGGGCGACCAAAAATAAATTGATGTTAGAGGGGAATGAATTTGTCGGTTTTATTTCACTGCGTGTGCACCTAAGGGCAGTAAAAGACATGAAACTCGAAACTGGGCAAGGTTTTGCAGCTTAAAATCCGTCCACAGAGAATATAATGAGTGTTTTGAAAAAATACAAAAGAAAAATTTACCTGAGTAAACGGAAATTATTTTTACAAAGAATTATTTCCAAACAAAAGAAATTCAAGCTTTGACATAGTCAGAGTAAAGTGCAATTTTTAACATCACTTAAAAAGTTTGACTTCAAATGAAAAAGGTTACAAACCGTGATCCAAATGGTGGTCAAAAGACCAGAGAATCATTAATTATGAGAGGTTTCCAGGCCTATTGCGAAATTCCACAAGAATACGTTGGCCAAATGTATGGATCCATTTCAAGGAGGCTTTTTGCGGTTTCAAAAGTTTGCAGCTACCCGTCAAATTATTGAAATTTGAAACTGTTAAAAGACGTTTTCTACTGTTTTTTTTAAAACATATGCTCTAAATAGATTGAAGTTTTGATTGGTGGTTGTTTTGCTTTCGACCAATTGCCATTGGCCCTTTAAAAACGGAATTAATTTGCATAACAATAGCTTTCGATCATTCATGCGCCATTTCTCCTCCTTCGAGGTGGTGCAATACTTTTGATACCCTAGTGTATAATTCATTGTTACATTATTCATCATAAACACTAAATGGATTAAAAAATATTTATACTTAAGAGGAATAGGTAGATCAGATTGCAGCTGGCTAGCATCCGTTACCTATACAACCATTATATGAGAAACAGACAGACTGAGCTATTTTGAGAAAAATTGATAAAAATTACAATGTAACAGTTGTTGAATTTCTGGATTGGTCTGTTTTCCAGTTCTACAACAATAGATATAATTAATGGTACGAAAACCTATGACAGAAAGTTTGAGATATAATATAATAGCATTTGTGTTTCTGATAAATAGAGAGAATCACAGATTTTGCTGAGAGGGTTTTATTAAAACTTCTAAAATCTGAACGGAACAGAGTTGCAAAACTCAATGAGATAGATTAATGAGTAAGACAAATTTGAGCTGATGTTATAATTCGGAAAGAAACAATTTATATTCCTTTTGTTTCCTTGCATTGTTAGTGTCAATATTTGTTTCAAAGCTGATAGGTAACTTGATGGAAAGGATACTGAGACACATTTATCAGGGCTGTCGAAGGAGAAGCTTGTGGGATTGAAGCCCCCCAATAATTGTCAAGCTGTACTTTATTCCCTTCATGACAGGGTACTGAATTGGAAGCAATACAATGAGCAGCTCCCCCTCAATATGAATTTCGTTCCAACTGCACTAGTTTATATAAATTTATCAAGGCAATTTTTTCAAATGTTAAAGTTATTGATGAAGTAAAGCAAGGAAAATTGGCAACGAGAAAGAAAGGAAACACGAATGGGGTAGCAGGAAAAGTCAAGATAAAATTGAAATGTTATCAATTTTGCACAGGAAGATTTTTTACGACCAGTTAATGAAGTTTTGGTTAGGTTTTTATTTCCATGTTCTTACCAATAGGAAGGACGTTTTTAAGGTTCAAGAGAGTAAAAATGAAATAGTTGTTTTGTAGAAAAAGGAAAAATAGTTGTTTTTTGGGATAAAATTAATGTTCTTTTGTAGAATTGTTGGTGATGATGATGGGGGAGTTCACTTCACACCTCAACAATATGAAGCATACAAAAAGAAAGTTATCCCACTGAGAATGAAAAACAGATTATTTGTAAGCTGGGTTTCACCAACTGGCATTGAATGCAAGATGATAGGTCCTGAAACTATGTGTTTTTGCAGACACAGGTATAACAAATTGACAAGCATTTTTTTTCTAAAATACTTTCTCAGTTAAAGGGGCTGTGTCACGGTTTTGTAAACAAACCAAATCCATGATAAATTGTGCGTTTTTTGCACATTGGAATAAGGCAGATGGTGCCCTGGTGCTTCAACATGTTTGATAAATTGCATCTTAAGAAGGTATTTACCGAAAATGGAAAAGCAATTACTATATTTCCAGATTTGTATTGACTATCGACACAAAATCTGTAAAGCAATTTGTCAAGGAAATGAAGCTTCATTCAATCAATGGCGAAAATATTCAATTTCTCTTGGTGAATCTTGATGGTATTAGACACTTTACAACAAATGATCACTCCAAAATTGTCCTGCAAACTTTAAAACATGTTCTTGCTCATAATTTGCTCCAGTAATGTAGGTTTTTGGTGTCATGTCAGCCCATTTCTATTAACTGCTCCTTTCCAGTTGCTGCATCAAGGCTGTAAAGTAGCCTTTGTTTTGTGCATTACCATCATTTATCCAAAGAAATCTGGTGATAAGACTGAATAAAGGGCCCTTATTATTTGTTTCCTTTCATAAAACATACAAAAAATGCAAAAGCTTAGCATGATGTGCTCGGATACAAAACACTGTTTTGCTCCATATTTATTTTCCAATTAATGCTTTCACCCAAACAACTTTTGCTCAACTGGCATGTTACCACACAGGATGTCCTTTGTGACACAGCCCCTTTAAGTTTGCTTAAGATGGTACCAATCTGCAGAGTTTGCTTGCTGGAAATAGTTATTGTGTGATGAGAATTTTTTAATTTGAACTACATTAACCTATTAAATACCTATGTGTTGCAGATTTGAAATTTGGTCACATAAGCATAGACTATTTCCCCACTAAGTCATTTTTAACTTGGTCTTCATTATACAGTCTACCAACCAGGCTAAAATACAGAGTATAACCTAAAAGCCAATTCTTTCACAATCCATATTTTGTTCAATCTCAAACAAAATTAACCAGCTAAAATTTTATCGAAAGTACTTAATTATTTTTATTCAGGCTATGTAGTCAAAAAAAAGAATTACAAAGACTTGACATCAAATTTTAGTACTCTAAAGCATAGCTGTGAAATTAATTTGATATAACAACATTTGACATAGAAATTAACAACCAAAAGTTGACTTTCTAGGTTGCATGAGCTGAACCTATCTAGATTTGCTTTGGAGTTGTTTCATCATAAGAATAAAAGCAATAGGATTTTAGTAATATCAATTTATTCAGCATATCCCAAATTATATTTATTTGTAGGCCTTTGAAAGGTTCTGTTTAGTTTTGACTCAATCACCTGGTTGATTAATCGCAAAAATTGTTAGATCTTTAAACTTTTAGTTGTGGTCAATGAGGTTGATAGGCCATATCTTTGTTTCAAAGAACTGGATATCTACTTGCATAAACATTCAATATGCTTCAATCTCAATTTGACTTGAAGAAGCTCCTTTGACATTAAAAAGGTTCTTTGTAGATACCGACAACACAAAACTGATCTAGAGAAAATCCCTGAAACAAGGCCAATTCATGTACCATGTAAAATTCGAGGTTGTGGTTGCAAATCTTATGAATATGTCCCATTAAATGGGTCAAGGACAATCAAATGCAAATGTAAGCATTTTGCTGATGAGCATGCTGAAAGGGCACCACACAAATGTAAAAATGATTGTGGATGTAAAGCATTTCATAGCTCATATACTTGTGGGTGTGGAGAACCAACATACAAGCATTCAGTAAGTGTTATTTTGATTAAAAACTTTTCCAAAACATGATTTCTAAAGTTCCATAATACATGAGGCATGAAAATAATAGATATGGGTATAGAAAAGGGATGTTATAGGCTGGCTTTTTCCAAAAATTAATAAGCAGAAGTATTGGACATTTATTCTTCAGTTAAGAGTGAGTAAGAATGGTAATTTCCTGTGGATTAATCGGCAGATAAATTGACAAGTAGGTTCTAGATGATGCTTTCCTGCATGATACTCAAAAGTACTGTCTACTTCCCAACCTGTTGCTTTAAACAAACCTACTGCTAAAAATTTAAACAGATAAATTTAAAGGCTTATATATTGGAAACAACATTTGGATATCAGGAAACACTTATACTCTATCTACTCTATTAATCTAGTTATGAAAAACTTTAGGGAAGAGCTGGGAATTTTAAAACTTTGAAAATCTGAATTTGAAAGGGCCAATGGTTTAACATATTTCCTATATATTTGGTTAATTTGCAGATGCTCATAGAAACTAAAGAAGAGAGGGCAGCTAGAGGGCGACCAATAGGAAATGCTGTGCCTTACCAAGCAATGGGTGGCTTGACTGGATTCAGTTCACTAGCAGATGGTTATATGAGATTAGATGACAGTGGGGTAGGAATCCCTTCAAAAGAATTCTTAGAACAGCCAATTGGTAAGAGTAAAGATTTCTCCTTAATTGGGGTCATGTTATCCCTCAAAAAATAAAACTGAAAAAAGTTTCTCAATCATCTACTCGATAGGCTACAACATTTTATGTGGATTCAATCTAACTCTATAGATATCTGGCATCCTCTTTTCCTTATCCTCTAAGAACCCAGTTTTGCCAAGTTGCAACTTTACTTGGGATTTTTTTTTTCCTCAACAAGTCATTTAACTACCACTGCATCAAAATATTTGTAGAAATTCACATATGTAGAAATATCACTTTAACTGTAGAAAAAACTACTCTAAATCTATCTCACTGCATCTAAATATTCAAATATGTAGAAATTCAAATATCTACTATCATTTATTTTCCAAAGTCAACCATGTACAAAGAGAAATCTGCTGCAAACAAGTTTGTAACTGTGGGAAGTTATTGGAGGAAGGCAAAAATGGGGACGACCCCCTCTGGATGCCCTTAGAGTGCCTTATTTTACTTTGATATCGCAATGTTAGTAAATGTTATTCTCTTTGCAACTTTCATTCAGCCTTTTATAATTCATCAATTGGTTCCTGGAAATTTTTACAGGTGCAGGGGATCATCCTTTTTTGCGCATGTATAAAGGAATGGAAAAACTTGGAATAGAAGATAAAAAAGGTGTTGCTGGCCCTTTGGTCCGAAAGCAAACTACAGAAGAAGAGGACATGGCATTCTTTGAGAAGAGATACCAAGAAAGGGTACCCAATTTAAACTATTTCAATCAGTAGAACAGGAAGGTTAAAATATTAAGACAGGTTTAATCGTGTTAACAATGGAAAAGAACACTTGCCTGTGAGTAGACTTTACAAGTAATCCCAGAGAAGATGAATTAAAACAAGATAAGGGTAAGAGATCAAGGGTCTCCAGGATGTTATGCCTTGCTGTAAATGAAACTTAGCTCATAGTCACTACTTTTGCAAATAAATTGAAGTTATGCAAGTCAGAGATCTATGGATATACAGCAAAACACTGTGCAAAACGTCATTTCTTCACAGTTATTTTTGATTCTGCATTTCTGAGTTTCTACCACAGAAAATTCTTTTACTTTACATTCAAAATTAACTTATAGACCAAATTGGTAATATATATATATTTCATTTTCCCTGGAACCTGGTAAAGTTTGGCATTGTTAAATTTTGCAGCTTCGACTTGAAAAAGAAAAAGCAAGAGAACAGGCACAAAAAGTTGCAGCTAGTCGAAGAGAGAGGGCCAATGCTGACAGAGCAAAGACAAAAGCACAACATAAAGGAAGTGCTGTTAAATGATAGCACCAGTATAAAAGAGGACCCAAAGAAAGAAGTTTTCAGCATTCATATTTTGAAAAACAGTGTTGTCAACAAAAACAGCATTTCTATGCAACATTTAACCCAGTCAAACTGTTTCCAGATGATGTTATTGTAATGGCTATGGCAGTCATTATAATAATCATATCTGTTACATAATTAATTGTTGTAAAATACGTTATGTTGATTAGTTTGAAGCTGAATGATTCTTTAAGGGAACAAACCAAAGAAACAGAACCATATTTAAGATAGAATTTATTAATTTTAAAATTGGCTATAAGAATATAACTTTTTACAAAGAAAAATTATCAACAGCCCTTTGATTTGCTATGAAGCAAAGCCGCATAATTTACCTATGGTAACACAATATCTAACAAGTTGAGGAAAATCCTCCAAGGCATGTACTAACAATTTGCTGCTTTGCTTTGTTGCCAAAATAGCTTGAAGATGACCAAAGAGGATAGCATCTGCTTCAGTCGCACTGTAAGTCAAATAAAGCTCTATCAAATGTTAAATTAACCTTCTACAGCTTCTACAACACAGGGTTAGCAAAAAAAATTAATCTTACCTCAAGAAAAGACAGATCTATGAAGAAAAATTTTCATATGGCCAAAAAAATTTAATCCATAAAAGTTTAGATTAACATTAAGCAAGGGATTGCTATTCAGTAACAACTTTAAATTCAGAGAGGTATCAAAAGATAATTAGACACTGCTAAATAGGTTTAAGTGTTTACATTGCTAAATATTTTGTTAGTAGTTTAAGTGACCTAGTATACTGTAGTTGCATAATGTAGATAATTTTATATAACTTCACTTCATAGCTAAACTATTTGTTCTTTGGTGTTTGCTATTCTACTTAAAATCAAGGCACAATTTGAATAAATGGGATGTTAGTATGATGTATTTTTCATTAATGAATTTTCTAAACCTACTATCTCTACTTTCCCTTATTCTATACTGTAAAACAGGGTTCAAGAGGTTTGGTATGAAATGTACATATAACATACTGGTCTCCAGTAAGAAATACATTCTGATCCAGTTTCACTGATGCCACACTGAGAACTGTTATTAGTTCCTTCTCAACCTAGATGAATGAAAAGTTTACAGTGAGGTGCCAAAGGTTATGTTATCACCACTTTTTGATAAAGATTAATCTATATGCTTACACTAAATTTAAGCCCCGGTCAAACAAACCAAACATTGAACCCAACAGTTCAATGACACAGTAAGAGGGTTTTAGTGAGCACAATGTCAACAAAATCTCTCAATGTTTTCTTGGTGCGAAACTTGAATTCACCAAGCGAGCTAGGCATGCGCGAGTTGAGCAAAGTTCAGCTGGGTTGTCAAACAAACTGAGTATCAGTCAACGACACCCGGAACAAAATAAATGTTTAACGACTCTCTCAACATTTTTTATCGCTGTCAAACATCCTGAGCAGAACTGAGCAAGACTGAGCATCGCTGAGCACAGCTATGGTCAAATAAACTGAACTTTTCACTAAGCAGGCATGCCGAGTGTTGCTCAGTGAAATGTTAAGTTCGTTTGACCGGGGTTCTAAGTTTTTTATCAAACATACACAAAGTTGTGCAAAACGTTTTTTGAATAAGGTGGTATAAAGAAAGAAGATATGGAAAATCATTGTACAACCCACTTGAAAACCAGCACAAAATTTTAACCTAAAAATTTTGTATATAAAATAATTGAAACAAAATTTTCTATACAGAAATACTTGATCATAACAGAGACAGTCCTAGAACAATTTTTTAGGGGGGTGTCAAGTGAAGTCGAAAGTGAAGGGGACTTCTGCCCTGTTCCCGTTGTCATTCTTGAACAAATTTCCTACACTTTAGCGCAAATAAAAATTTGAAAAATTTTCCATTTATTTTGAAAGTTGGCTCTTTTTCAAACCCTCATTTTATCACCAACCTTGAAACATCATCTGAATAATATCTTAATAATAACAGTCTAAAGCAACATAAAATAAAAAAAATTAAGCATTGGCTACTATTCATTCATTTTAGGCATAATCGTAATGTTGAGTTGGTTCTCACTGGCTTTAGTTTCCCAATTAACAGGTTGAAATGTTAACATGTTGAGGAGCGAAGAAGATCAAATGTACTTGAATTTAATGAAGAACAAAAAATTATTTAGGGGGGAGGGGAGGGGAAGTTGTAACCCCCTACACTGTGGATAAATTTGTCTCTGTTCATCATCGTTTGACAGTAATTTTGAGTTGAAAATATATAAAACACATACAGCTTATGTTTTAAAACTGACATCAACTTACATCTTCCTTTGTCTTTTTATCCCATCCCCTTGCCTTCAATAATGATTTGACTGCTGCTTCCTTTTTATGTGTAAGTAGATATTTTAATGGCTGGGGATACACAGATCCATATGTAGCCTTTGTCTAAAATGGGGAAATCCTAAAATTCTTATTGAAATTCAAATTTAGTAAAATGAAGCAACGCTTTACAATAGACAATAACTCTAATGAAAATTAAATAACATTGGCGAACAAATAGTGGAATTTACACCCTTAGCATAATTATTTGTTACAGATTTTAAGTGTGGTGAAGAATGTGTGGTGAAGTAGAAAGAGCTCTCTTGAAATCTAGAAAGTCTTTTGTTGTGAGCACCACGTTTTAACAGCCCTTCTAGTCAAAAGCAAATAGTTAAGGCACATAACTGTTTTTGTTTTTCTTTCAGAATTGAGTATTCTTTTGTACATTATAAAATACGATTTTACCATGATAATAAGATGATAAAGGTTTTCAAATGGGTGATCACAGTTGATTGAAAAATAAACCTCATTCCTTCTCATTTAAATTTACTTGGAGGTCTGGCTGAACAGGGAATAGTTATTCTAGTTAGTACCTCTTTGGTATTTCCAGTGTCAAGCCAAGTGCAATACAACTATAAATAAGAAAGGATCAAACAAGTGAAAGACAAAGTGTAAAAAAGACAATAAATAAGCACCATAATTATTTGCAACAATTGATAATCAAATAATTTTTTGTTAATAATGTTAGGATAAGGCCCAAAGCAAAGTACTAACAAAGGAAACAAGGGAGGGGTTCAGAAGAGAGGAAGGAAAGATTAAGTTTTTAGTTTAATTTTTGAATATAGACATGTTACAAGGGTCTGGGAAGCAGGAAGAAGGAAAAGTGCTCAAAATTTTACAAGATCTAGGTTGGAAGGATGTGTTGTGGAAAAGAGTTCACAAATAAGGCAAAGAGACTTGAAAAAGGTGAGCACTAGAAGAGTTTTTGGTATTCTGTCCATGTCTCAGTGGTTAGGGGTCAGTGGTTAGGGGTCATAGATCTCCTGAAAGCAATTTCCATGTTAAAATATTTTTCAAATCAAAAGACTGACAACATAGCATCAATGAGAGAGAAGTTGGAAAGACTTTTTAGGGGTTGCAATTGCTGATGAGGCGAATGGCTTTTGGTTGGATTTTGTCATGGAGACACAGGGAAGGTTTAGTACACAATCCCAAATATGAAAATTGTTAAAAGTTATGATGGTGAGAAGAATACTTGCTCTAGAAAGGAACCAAAGTTTTTAAGATGAATGATTAGCAATAGAAGAAATGTAAGAGTTCCAGTTAAGGTTGGAAGTAGAAATTTCTAAATCAGCCACAAATAAAGCCTAGCAATTGAAATAGAAATTGAAATGTTTATTTATGAAAATTTCAAAAGAATGCAATCATACCTCTGCAGGCACAAGTACTGTTTCAAACAGAGAAATCAAGGCCTTCACTTGTAGCTTTTGACTGTCAGGTAACTGATTCATCAGAGAGAATCCCTGTTCAAAAAAACATATCATTTCTTATTCTGAAAGACTCAAAACTAAATTATATCAGTTATTTCATTATCCAGTTTCCATAGAGTAATAATAGGTTTTGGCTTTTGCTAGATTATTTTAAAAAATGGAAGCTAGCCCCCTCACAAAAATTACTTTGAAGTAGTTTTTATAAAACATATTGGATATAATACACAATTTGTAACCTATCCAAAACAAGATTTATAACAGAGCATAGAATCACAAATTGATTATCACACTTATGTATACTTTCACAATTGATCACAGATGTTGTTCTGTTAACCATGGGAGTTTAGCAAAGGTGGCTAATTTTCCTGTACCTCCCTAGTACCAAACAGACTGGGTGAAATAAATAAAGAGGTCATTGATGAAATTCCTAACAAAAATAATAGATTCAGCATAGCTTGGACTGGAATTTCAAAATACTAATAAGGGTGAATGGAATTTCAAAAACTTACCATCATTCCTACTTGAAAAATTTCAAGGCAATAAGTCTATTCAATATAAAAAACAGTCATTGAAATATTTTATTTCATTCACCTTCTTCTGCAGCCAAGAAAGAATTGACTCTTCTGAAACTACCTCATCATCTATTCGCAATAAGGGTACCTTTCCTGTCATTAAAGATATCTAAATATAAACTTGCTGTAACAATACAACTGGCTTCCACATTAGTAGTTTCAAGGACTAGTTTTTCTAACAATGTTTTATTTGAAATATATTTTCAGACTGAATTAAAGTCATTAAAACAAGTCAAAAAATGTTTTGAATTTTGCGGTCATAAGGCTACAAAGCAGCAATTTACAGCTCCTCTTTTCTACACACAAAAGCATTAAATGCCAACATGCACTTAGAGAGAGACTGGGAAACAGTAATTTTCATTAATACCTGATGGAGAAATATATTCTGCATTTGATCTCATCACCAAATCATATTTCAGGTTTTGAAGTCTGAGAAGAGCCTACAAAGTGATAATGAGCAAACATAATAACATGCATTGTAATGCCAACTACAATTAATCAACTAATTTCACTCCCATAAAAACTTGTTCCAAATGCCCCTCAGTTACTATAATTCAAACAAGAAAATTTTTCGAAATACAACCATGGGTCTTATAACGAAATCTCATATTGAACAATTAAAAATGGGATAGATTATTCCTGTCAATATAAATTCACAACATAAAAGTTGTGTCTTCAACAAAAACATTTTTAACAAACTTACCTCAATTCCATAGCATTTTGCTTGCTCAGGTAAAGTCATTTGACCTAAAAGAATTTAAAATTCTTAACATCTGTTTTTATGTTCTTAAAGCATCAAGGTTATAGCAAGCAACAGGTTTTCTGCATTACTAAATAGTTATCAAATAATAAGAAAAATAAGGTTTTTTTCTCAAACAAATATAGATTGATACTTATTTCCCCTACAGGCTCTGAAAACTATCGTGTTAACCTGAAAAAGTTTACTTTCAATTAACAGAGGAAGCAGAAACAACAGTTTGGGTAGACCTTTTTTATTCATTATAATAAGGTTTATCGTCATCTTTGTAAAGAAGATCACTATATGCTTCTCAATCGGTAAGCCACAAAAACTTGAGACCAATACTAACTACATGGACAGCCATTTCAAAAGAAACAAAGGATAAAGAATGGTGTTTTAATCAACCTTTTTTCTAACTCTATCAACATTTAAGTATGAATTTACCTATACCCAACAACAAAGATAAATATTTTTCTCCAATACAACCCTGTAAAATACAATTACACGCCACCTACCCAGTAAAAGGTAAAGGTTAGTCCCATATTTGATATCAATTGTTGGGGAATATGCTGTTGGGGGCACATAATCCTGGGTCAGAGCAATGTGTGGTAGAGTGACCAGTTCCTTCCCATGCTGCATTTTACCTCCCTAGTATGTTTCAACTCATTGAAATTCGGTTAATTAAAATATAGGTTGATAAATACCGACCTACCTAGAAGAGGTTGGTAAATCTGTGCATCTTCAGGCCATTCACTGGCATTGTCTCCTATGGAAGAAATTATAGTCTACAAATTTGCTAGAACAGATAACAAAAAAGAATACAGATAAAAAAATTGCAGTTCAGAAAAAGGCTAACACATATTTACAGTGAAGCAATAAGATTATCAAATTTAATTCATCAAGCTTTTTAAAAAAACTATGAGATATCTGAAAGAAATAATGCAACCTAATGGGTAACGCAGCCCCAACACCATTAGATACTGAAATTCTTCCCTTTCCTTGAAACTGGGTGAAAGGATCTTTGGTTATTACCTTTTTCGGTTGGTTTTGGTCAAGAAGACTCCAAAATCATTTATCAAACCAAATCTACCTCATTTGAGAGGACATTAATTGCCCCAGTTTGTGCGGTTATTTGCTGAAAAATTAGCCCGTTTTTGAACTGATATTGGTCATAAAGCTTCATTAATTCCACGCAGGGTTAGATTACAGCTTTATTAGTGTTATTAGTCTAAAAACGTACTTTTCCATTGCTTTTGGCGTTTTATTTGATAGTTTTTACCTGGCCGTCAAAAGTTGCAATCACACTTACACAACCAAAGCAGGTTAAAAAGGAGTAAAATTTCACAAAAATACTAATAGGTTCAAATGTTCTATAACAGAATCTATGAAGAATACCTTTAGATGTAGCAATGAATGCTTGGGATAAAAGGGAAGAACTGCTCATCTTCGACCTTTTGACTCTTGTTAATTTTTTATTAATTTTGCTAGCATCCTGAAGTGACCTCGTTCAGGTGATGTCTGCCATGATGATTTGACCTCGTTAAAAATGGCCTCGTTCTTTGCACATGTTTAGAGAATTCCTTTTCCCATGGCCAACGTAGAGAAGGATTGAAAATGGCCACACAGTACAACTTTAAGAAGATCCAGGTCGTTCCGACCTCAAAGGTAATACAGAACTTTATATTTTTAAAACAAAATCCTGGTAACATCTTTACACTGACTGATCTCTATTACACACTTTGGCCAATTAGATTTTTCAATTTTGGTGGGTTTTTGTTTTTCCATAAAATTTATTTTTCTGTTCCTCCAAATCGTTTACTTTTTACTGTAATTGACGAACCGTTGCTAAAAATCGTTGGAATATCAAGATTCCTGTGCAATTTTTAAAGACTGCCGTAAAGTAAAGTGACAATCTGATGTCCTATCAAGTTTCTTCGTAAGTATCCTCTTCGTGCGACTTGTATTGTAGTCTGACAGTTATGTCCGAGTGCTCTACAGAAAACACAAAACAACAAGTAAAATTCACCACAACAATGCAGAATCTGATCAGGATATGAATCATCCTGTGAAGAAGTTTTTTGGCTGAAGTAGCAAAATAACGATCGTCAAAAGTCAAGAAGCTAGAGAGATCAAAATTTTGTTTTACCAAAGGCTTAAGCTGTTGTTGAAATGCCAGTGAGAATGATTGAGCTACAAGTTTAGACCCTTAACGTTATATGTACATGTAGTAAATGTAAGTTTTGCAGCTTGGGTAACAGTCAAGATATTGTTACAAATTGCTACCAATTTGTATAATTATAAATAGTTTCTGAGAGAAGCTGCAATGATGGGGGAAATCTCAGCAAACACGAGTCTTATATAAACGCCTTTTTACTCAAATTAATCTTACTTGTTCTAGGATTTTATTGACATAATTTTGTCAAAAACTCAACGAAAGACACCAACAGTTGTTCATAAGTAAGTTTGCTTATAAATTTATCAAAGGGTTCCTCTGTTTTTAAGGTTCATGTTTTCAAAATAGACTTATGGCTGATAGTTGATGACTGAACATATTTTTTGATTACTCTATGATACCAATTCATTTAGCACAATAATGTATTCTCTGAATAATATTACCATTAAGTGTTAAGTCAATCATTGTTCATTTTTATTGTTTAAGTACCACAGTAATCTCATAAGCAGAGCCTAGTCCTTCTTCAAACAACAGTATGCAGATAGAAATCTTACTTTTGTTCTCTCTGAAAATTTTATGAAATTCAGGATACCTATAGAAGTATATTATCTTCAACAGGAAGATATATCTATTTGTACTTGGGGCGACAAGGACTCATACCTTTTGTTATTTTCATGATGCTACTGATTTTTTTTGTTTCTTTAGACATTACAAAATTTCAAGGATCAGACAGTTTTATACTAAAAAGATCAAGTTCACTCAGCAAAACTACCATGACAAGCTAACTCAAATAATTACAGATTTTCCAAGACTTGAGGTAGATTTAACTTTATTTTTGAAATGATGAAACAGTTTTTTCTAAGGATTGTTATTTTCTATAGCATTATCCACATACAACCACTGTATCAATGAGCCAATGGTCACATTTAAATGATAGTTACATTAAATAATTTTTTTTATGGAGTTGTATTTCTTTAACTCAAGTAACTAAATGATATAAGTGGAGTCATTTTCATTAAATATAGCTTTGAAAAATGAGGCATTGAATCTCTTTGTCTAATACTTTCCAGAAGCTCTAGAGCAATCCTGCTACTTTTTTCTTCAGGCAAAGGGCACTGATTATTTTATTGTATACCTGACCTGATCTAATCAATCTGTTCTAGGACATCCATCCATTTTACAGTGATCTCCTCAACATTCTGTATGACAAAGATCATTACAAGCTTGCTCTTGGACAGATTAACACAGCAAGACATTTGATTGACAAGTAGGTAGCACAACTTCATCTGTGCCAGGGGGCAGCAGGGGCAGTGGCTTCCCTTCCCTTCAGGAATTTGAGCATTTTTCTTTGTTTTACTATTGTTTTACCCTTTGTTGGTGCTTTGCCCCTGTTGCCCTCTTTGTGTGCAGGCTTCTTTGGGTAGCACCAAAAATAACATAATGACCTTTCTGATTGATATGCTTGTTTGTTATGTCAAAATTTGTATTTGGTGGGCTTTGAAACTAATAATTTTTATTGTTGGTGCTATTTGAACAATTTTGGTCTTTTTTCTAGTGTTGCCAAGGATTACACAAGGCTGATGAAATATGGTGATTCACTGTATAGATGCAAGCAACTGAAAAAAGCTGCACTCGGAAGGTTTGTACTGTTTGCCTTTCAGTGAATAAGGAAACACAAATTTAAGTCCCTTTCAGAATTACATTTATTACCTATTGTTATATGTAATCTTAAATATCATGTTTATTACTCTAAATGCATGTTATATATTAAAAGTAACTTTGAGTTTCATTTACTTAATTTCTTTTGCTCTACCATAATATCCAGAAATGAATGACACAGGTTTAGACAACTGTTGGACTCGTAAAGAATTTTAGTTGCATTAAAAAAGTATAAATATCATTGCCCTGTTTCATTTGAAGTGCATAGCTATTCATAAGGCTATTTCAAGTTCAATGAATCTAATTATGCCTCAATTACTTTTTAATTCTCTCCTACAGAATGTGTACAATAATGAAAAGACAAAATCAAAGCTTACAATATTTGGAGCAAGGTATTTATCCAAGATCTGTAGATCAATATCGCCTAGTAAACCTATTTAATGAAATAAATTGAGATTGGTCAATTAAGAAAGAAAATTTTTGCTTTTGCTGTTTAACTCTTTGCTATGATTTTTTGTTTTAATCGTTCACAAATTATTTCAGCTTTCAGTACAAAATCAATTTTAATGAATTCTTTCTAGTAAGGCAACACTTGTCAAGATTACCCTCCATAGATCCAAACACCAGAACTCTCCTCATGTGTGGGTAAGTATGGTCACTATTGTGTAGAATATTTGTTTTGATTATTTTTTTAAACTAATCAAATTGATGGTATTTTGTTATTCATTATCAGCCAACACATAGTGTCAAGATATAGGGTAACAAGGATGTCACACCTATCTAAAATCTTTATGTTACTGAATGTAGACTGTTTACAATTTCTTGAAAACAAGAATGGGAAAGGATCAATTTTGCCCATCAGCAGGGCTGTAGGCAAATACATGTTTTATCAGACAACAAAATTTTGCCTTGAAAATTCCTAATATTAATGAATTATATTTCTGTTAGTAGTCTTAACAAAATTGTATGGAGTGCTCGGCTAACATTGGAATGTTTGTTTTTTATTTCACTGACAGGTTCCCTAATGTTGGAAAGTCAAGTTTCATGAATAAAGTAACAAGAGCTGATGTTGAGGTACAGCCATATGCCTTCACTACAAAGTCACTTTATGTTGGACACATGGATTACAAATACTTAAGGTGGCAAGTTATTGACACACCTGGTATTCTTGATCATTCCCTGGAAGAAAGAAATACAATTGAAATGCAGGTAAAGAAACAGTAAACCAGAGAAATTTTCTATATTTTGCTTTTTCAAAACCATTTTCCAAATTGTGTACTGCAAAAAGATTGCAAATTTCAAGCAGAGCTGAATTAAACTATATTACTGGCTCCCTACTTCTTTTGAAAATGCTTCATTTGAATTTTTATAAACTTTTATAAATTTTTATAAACTATTTTTAAATTTTATGAATATGTAATGACAGAACTTGTATTTTTTAAAAAAAATTATCTTCATTTAGAAACTGTTTTGCATACTGTTTTCCTTATTATTCAGGCCATCACAGCTCTTGCTCACATTAGGGCAGCAGTTTTATATGTCATGGACCTCTCAGAGCAGTGTAACCATTCTATCGAAGAGCAAATTGCCTTATTCAACAACATAAAACCGTTGTTCACAAACAAACCAATCATTGTTTGTTTGAATAAAATTGACATTGTTGGAGTTGATGAGCTATCAGAAGAGAAAAAGAAGTTACTAGAAGTTCTCGATGAGGACGGTAAGTTTCAATAGAAAATGATTTAAGCCACCATTTAAGCTTTTATTAGGAACTCTTTTTAGTAGTAAATATATATAGGATTTTTGTTCATGCATAGAGATGAGAACGTCTTTTGCACTGATGATGTCATATGGGCACTCTTATAACCCTCTGACTATTAACTTACCACATGCAGAGACCGCAGAAGCGGGGGGCTATGGGGGCTCTAGCCCTAGCCCTTTTTCTAAAAAAACTCCGTCTGTAGTAATTCATTGTGAGTTTCATGATTAGATCATGTTTAACGGTAAGATGCCATCAGATCCAAGTTTGTATGTTTAGAAACATTTAAACAAAAAACAACATTATTTCAAGGTGTTTCTGTGATACCAATGAGCAATGTAACTGAAGAAGGTGTGATGCAGGTGAAGACAGATGCTTGCGAGAGACTTCTTGCCCATAGAGTAGAGGTGAAAATGAAAAGCAAAAAGATGGGAGACATCGTGAATAGGCTGCATGTTGCAGTGCCAAAGCCACGAGACAACAAAGACAGGCCAGCTTGTATTCCCGAGAGTGCATTAAAGAAAGGTACTGTAGCTTGATTTTAATTGATGCCTCAAACCTCTTATTTATTTGCCTTTATGCCTGAAAACTAATGCTGTCAACTTTCGTGGAAATAGTGGAACTGTTTATAAAATCCTCAAAAATTACCATTTAACTACACGGGATAAAAGTGAAAGGTTAACACAACACCGTTAACATTAGCATTAATGTTAACATTAGTTAACATTAATGTTAGTGAAAGGTTAACATTAGCTTTTTTTCCATTTTTCGTTAAAAATGAGGAAAATTCAATTTGTTTTCTTAATTATGCAATTATTGATTGTGCTTCAAGGCAAAAGCATGGATGTTGATAAACAGTACAAGAAGCTTCAGAAGGACTATGAAAAGGAACTCGGTGACGAGTACAAATTCGATGATAGAAAACTTTATGTTTTGCAACCGGAAGAAAAGTATGACGTTATTCCAGAACTTGTTAATGGGAAGAACATCGCCGATTTTATTGACCCAGAAATTCTTGCGAAATTGGATGAACTTGAAAGAGAAGAAGAACTGAGGGAAGCTGCTGGAGTTTATGACTCGGACATTGACGATTTGAATTCTGAAGAAGAAGAAACGCAGAAACTCGCTGGAGAGTATGTAAAGCAACCTTTTTAATTATGTGTTACCTATAGGTATTACCTATCTGTATTACCTAATGAGTTGCATTCTAGGGTAGTAGAAAAAATATAGAGCTGTATTCTTTGCATGGCGATTATTGGTAAAAAAACCGTGGTTGCCACTTCAGTTTCTAGATTCACAACTTTTGGTTAAAGTTTCCTTGATTTTTCAAAGTTACTAAGTAAAGGGTTTGCCACATTGGTTTTGTAGGGGCTTAATTAGCCTAAGAACATTTGAAATCGGATATTTTTAACATGTCAAGAGTCTATTTAGGTTATTTTGTTATTATTTGGTCGTATGATTGATAATTGTGTTCCAATGATGACTGATCTATTTTCAGAGAAACCTTTCTCAATAAATTTAAGCGAGGACAGTTTTTGTTGAAAATTTTTCTTTATATCATATATGAAATTAAAGATGTCTCAAAATCCTTCCCATTTCAATTTCAGAATCAGAAAAAAGAAAAAGATCAGAGTCCAAGAGAACAGAGAGAAGAAAAGGAGAAATTACCCGACCCTTCCAAGAAAAGCTTCCCTCAAGGTATGTTCAAAATAAAAGAATTATTTCTCTTTGACATGATACATCTACACGATCTCGGTTACATCTTTAATATCAAATAGAAATATAATGTCTACATCATCTAAAATATAAATATCTTACCCATTAACGGTATATATAAAATAACTTTTGTCCCCTTTTAGCACCTATTAGGTTACTAAATGTTTTTATATAAACTGTTTTCCCTCGATTAGTCAGTGGTCAGTTGTATAGAAATCTTTCGTTTCTTTTTATAGGTTGATAAGTTCGGGAAAACTCGGAAAAAACCTGATGACGATTTTGATGATGATATGGAATACAACCTTGATGGAGATATAAATATGATGGTATGGATTTTAAATAAACAATCAGCAATTTTTGAAAATATCATCTATTATGAGATTTTATTGAAAGAACCAATTTTGTATTTGGAATCCCAATGTTTCAATTTTTTGCCATGGAAATTCCACCTAGAGTTTGAGATACTTTCGTCCTTGCCTTCTCTTTCCCTTAAAACCTGTCTACTCTCTAGTTTGACTGACAGTCATAATACTAGGGATGTTTTGAAAATTTTAGGCATCTTTGGCACTTCAATTAAGATATTTTTATTATGGTTTACAGATTGAGCTTTTTATTTGAGCGTTTTAAGTTTTTATTAATCTATTGGTTTTTCTGCTACCTCAATTTAATCGTATTTTTATCTACCGCATAATGTTTTCTTTTAGAACACCGACTCCAGTCGAGCGCGATCCCTGAGTCGTAAGAACAGAAAGCGGAAACATGAAGCAAGCGTCCAGGCCAGTATGTCCCGTGCACATAGCTCATCTAAAGTGCCTCGAGACCAATCTGGCATTCCAGATCCTAAGGTAACAAAATTGTCTTCTAACTCTTCCGGGAATCGTTATGCCCGCATGCCTTATATTGTTTTATTTCTTCTTGAAATGACGATTTAAAAACCTTAAACATTAATTTAACCATTTTTCTCTTTTAGAAGCGTGCTAAAGTACGGAAATTGGCCAAGGTATCGCAAAGAAAGTTAAACCAATTTGGTAAAGCAGGTAAGTGTTTTTCTTTTCAAAACTTTTCCTCTCGTTGTGATTTTAATAAAACATTCCTTTATAGATAAGATAGATATAGATAAATATGAAAAACAACATTTCTATGGAGGTCTTTTTTAAATTAACCTAAAATGGAGTCAAAACAAAGTAAATTTCTTGGCAAGGGAAAAATTTCTCTTCAAACTGCACTAGTTTTTATTAGGTATACATGTAGGAAGTCGTGCTGAATTTTATATTTTCATTTGTAAGCAATATTACTTTTTGTAGATGTAATATTTCAAATGGCTTGAATTATAGGAGAGGCTGACAGAAAAATTCAATCGAAGATGCCAAAACATTTGTTCTCTGGAAAAAGAAAACAAGGAAAGACTCAGAGACGATGATCTTGAACTGGTATCGAAACCAATCTTTGAAAAACCTTTTTCAATTGTAAACCAGACATAAATGTATTTGCGTTCAAATTAACCGGATAAAGTCGCATTAATTTGTAATATGCTATTTTTAATTGATACTTCCAGGAACTTTGGCAAATTATTTTTCTCTAGGCTGTTGACTGGACGTGTTTACTATTTTTCTGTCTGTCTATTTGGCTCTATATATTTTTAAAGGGGTAGGCCTTATAATTTATTGTAAAATATTTTTTGTGGGGGTACAGAACGAAAAAGCCGCTATTATTTAGACAGAAGGAGTTCGTTATCTCTCTTGGACTCCAGTGGTAATTTTTCTATAGTCAGGCGGCACAGATTGGGCAGCTTTACCGGTCTTGTGCTTGCGTTTTCTGATTGGCCTACCGTATTTGATCTATTTAACGGGGCGTTAATTTAATTTGTTAATTTTTAGGGCGGATGTAATTAGAAAGGGCGTTAATTAGAAAGTGGGCGTTAAATTAAAAATTCCCGAAAGCAAATTTGTGTACCTTATCCTCTGAATTTCTTCCAAGAATCTCAGAAAAAATATACAACGGAGAAAATAGAACAACCTCAAAACAACCAAACAATAATTTATCAAACATTTTTATAAAGGGCGTTAAATAGAAAAGGGGCGATAAAAAGGAAGTGGGCGTTTATTAACTTTTTTCACTTTTAAAGGGACGTTAAAAAGAAGAGGGCGTTAAATAGATTAGATATGGTGTTTCGATCCAGAACTGGGAATATGTTTTTCATCGTGTTCTTTCAGACCATAATTCTGACGTTCTATATTCTGAGGAGTATCCTCGAAAAAGCTTTTCGTATGTTTGCCTTTTTCAAAGCCATTTTCAAATTTATTGTACCATAGAAACACATGGTGTGCTTATTTGATAGGTAACACTCGGACAAAATAGAAATTACCGCCAAAACCATGAAAGTCTCTGGATAGATGTACAAATTGAAATTCATCGTTACATTTTACAGATCGTATTGCTATTCTTTTATTAACAAAAACGAGCGCGTCTTCTTATGAATTCGCAGTGCAGCAAAAAGTTGTACGAAATATACTTACTATTCTTAAATAGCCGGAATGTAATCAAAAATTTCTAACTATTCTAACAAGCAAAATTTAAGGATAAATTCCAGAATTTTCTATATAAATTAGGTAATAAAATAATGGTATTACAATTTCATGTTTTTAAAATTCAGCAGTTTATTCTCAGAGGTGCCCAGTACACGTGGAAAAAAGACAGCAAACGATTCCGGTACTTCTTAGATTAATTGGTTCTACATAAATCAAAAACGATTCTTTTCAGAAGTAGCTAAAATGACATAAAACGAAAACTGTAATGAAAAGAAAACAAGCGCATACCAAGAACTTCCTAGGAAGGATTAGGCCAACTTGAAAATGTTAGCAAATTCGAGCACCAGCCCTGCCCAGCCTACGACTCTTGTCCTCAAACAAAAACCTAGCTTGGTGGTAATTACAGAAAGTTGTTTATTTTAGAACAGCAATCACAACAAAGTTATTCATTTGTGTTCTGAACTTCTTTGTTTGATAGCTGACAAACGCCATCTTGGGAATTGCAACGGCATGGGCATCCAGTCACAGGGCATTCTGTTTCCTCCCTAAGGACACAAAGAACAAGTTAAATTCTCGCCATGAGTACTCTGCCTCGCAGACCCAGTTCTGAAGTAGAATATGGTCTGTGACGCAGGCTACGCCATGTGTGCTTTGGAAGAATTAGTGATTTGGAAAATTTCACAGTTACAACAATTCAAGGGCAATTCCATTAGCATTAAAGGCAAAGCTCTATCATCTTCACGAGGTGTGTAATAGAATTTGATTTCACTTGGGGTTCTTATTTACTTGAATTTGGGTGTTAAGGTTCATTCTTGATTGAGCCTTTATATGCTTCTATTGATGCCTTTGGGAATAATAGAAAAGTAAGAATTCGTTAGTTTGGGTTTCTTTACGAAATGTTGTCCCTTTACTCAGATGAGTGCATTGAAGTGTTTTGGGTTTTGGGTAGTTCTTATAATGTCTGGTTGACCCGCTCCACCCACGCTGTTCTGTTCTCGGTGATTTAAGAATGCCATCTGCAATTAAGGTGAAATAAGAGCCAGTTCGAAAATAACGAAAAGTAATGCATACTTGAACCAATCGATTAGATGCACTGCATGTCCTCCATGCTTGCAGTTCTGACACCACGTGAACCAGTTGTCAAAGGGGTTGTGCTGGAAGTCTGTTTTTGGTTTCGTTCCAGCTAAGATTGATAGCAAACAATGTTAAGAAACCTAAAAAAACCTATAAAGTAGACACATGAAGGACTAAAGTTACACTTCGTTGTAGATATGTGTATGTTATCCGAAAGAGCTGTTTTCTTTTTAGGCCGGGTAGAGGTGCATTAATTAACTTGGCCTTTACAAATGTATACGATTTTTAATTCCATTTTTCACTTTAACCAGTTGTGAATCTGATTCGACACGATTTAGTATTGTACGTGAATGAATGATTAATACTTTTATGCACAAGGTGATTATTGTCTGTGCAATGTATTGTATCGTTTAAGAAGACTCACTTTGTCGCTGCATATGAGATGAAGAAGTGCCCATATTGATAAGGCAAACAGCACAACGGGGAAGGGGTCTTCTGCAGCTAGGGCAAGCCATAACCTAAAATACACAAAAACCCGATAAGCGAGAGAAACGCAATACAAAAATATCCAAGCATATATTTTAAAACAAAAAATTAATTTCATTTTGAAGACCAAATTCAAAATTATCTGATCGCTCACTTTCTCTGCACTGAAATCAAGTTTTTATTTTCAGTGCCATTGGACCTGTGTAACAGCAAGAAATATTGGCCGATGTCTCGCTAACTGTGCAAAATCTAACAACAGTCGTCCCTCATACCTTTGGTTTACTTGATGACATCCCTGCATATCTTGAAGATCTGAACATACCTATAGACCAGGAAAACAAATATATAGGTTCTTTCTCTAGGTCAACAAAACAAACCACAATCGAAACTCTCTTTTAACACTTTAATTGAAAACTTTTAAGTTTAGTGCAGATCAAGATTTTTCATCAACTGTATATTTCAGACATATACTTGAACGGCTCAAATGTTTAATTCACTTTCCTAATAGCATTACATTCCGCAGAGATGGCGTTGCAAATATGCTGCAAGTGCATTTAGAGCTATTCATGCTAATTTTTGTAAGGATCCGAATTGGTCCGGTACTGTGTAAAAAAGGTCACCACTATTGACTGATGGGAAATATGATAACAATACCAAATGACCGCTGCTGCGATCAGGGCGAACTTTCACAAGTTGGACATGCAGATAAAATGACAATATACCTCGTTGGCATTTATTTTTTATTTTGATGGCATTTATTTTAAAATTTATTTTGACGAATAAATTTGCCAGACGTAAAAGTGAGAAGACACAGCTTTTAAGTTTTCCAAGTAAAGAGTACTAACACAGGGTATGAAGTTTTAGGAATAACGAAATTTCAATAAATTATACTTTTATGATATCAATGATATAGTGATCAGAGAATGTGTTTTGTTGTTAGCAAATATAATTATATGATTATATCATATCAATATAAGGTCAACAAATCCAAATATTGTAATGGGTGGTATATTGTTAAGCATCTCTCATAGTAGAAACAAAATAACATCGGGTCTCTCTCACTGAGTAGCACAGCTAAATTTAAATGTAGGTCTGCTGAAAAATGCTTTTAAATTCAATAAACAGTATATCCTCTAGCCACCATGAAGTAGATGTTTATAAAATTAGTGTGATCCTGATTGACTACCTGATTATTTTAGAAAATCCATGAAAATGAGAAAAGACACAATGTAACAGAAAAATAAATCTTTCATACTAGCTCCTACCTCCAGATGAAAAAAGGTTCGCCGAAACAGGTTTCCCGCAATAATTACAGCTGATACAAATTTGGTGAGGCACCTTCTTGCCAGACTCAGCGCCGTAAATAAACGCATCCAATTTTGCTCTAGAAATAAAATAAATTTTACTCCATTAGTATAGCACAATCTCTGTTCTGTTTCAACAATCTTATTTCCTATGAAGTGAAGCCAGGAAATGGAATCCTTGGTCACAGTATAGTTCAAATCAAAGATCACGTGACTATCGATAACATAACTAGTAAGGCTACATTCCAGACTAGGGTTTTCATTTGTCTTGGAGAGACGGGCCTAAAAAAACAGTGCCAGAGCATGTGCTTGAAACTTTCGAAAAATTTATTTTCTTTAGGAACATTCCCTCTTGTAATTCTTTAAAGGCATCCCATTGACATGAAACTACTGCTGACGTAACGACGGTAGAAAAATAAAAGGTACTTAATAGCATATACATCCAGTTCCTTTTACATCTAAGAACATTTAACAAAAAGACAACGTTTCCTTCGAAGAAGACACTCGCTCTCAAAACTTCATTCTCAGAAATAGCACGTATCTTAAGTTCCACATACCTCTGATGCCACAAGCGCCAGGTATCCAAAATGTCTCGATAGCTAGAAGTGGAAAAATTAGCGTTATCTACCTGGTTTAATAATTTTTTTACTAAACAACACATTGTGTATACCGTCCAATAACCTCAACGGTAGAATGAAATAGGGTACGTCCCATTTTCCATTTCCCCAAACTGTGCATGATGTGCATTGGTGAAAGCAAGTGAACACTCATCTGAAAATAACAATTGTTTGAAAAGATCATTTTGCATCAAAAAAGGGCTCCATAAATTGTTACCTGTCCAGCCAGCAAATGACTCTGGGATCTCGTAATGTTTCTGATACTTTTGTGTTTACTATGATTAAACTCGCAGTTTGTACATCTGAAGTCTGTGATAAAATAGACAGAGAAAGGTGGATTAGAAAGGCAGGATCAAATGTCTAGCTACACAGAATAACAGTCCTACGATTACCCTAAATGAATAAAGAAAGAACTTGAGTGTCAAAAATATTGAAATGTCCAGCAACAAAAAAAATAGCCGGCAACATTCTAATTTGTAGACACAGGGCCAAAAACAGGGTTTTAAACAACATTTGATTTCAAACAGGATGAAGTTTGAGATAATATTCTCTTTTTCTTAGTATGAAAATGCATCGGCAACATATCCAATAGTTACTTCAAAATGAAAATATTTTTGCAAACAAGAAAAAAATTGGGATATAAGAAATATTCTGTAATCCCGAAAAGACTGGACGTGTCACATTTGACTAGCCTATGTTAACATGAGGGAGAACATGTTATATTTTCAGATAATAAGATTCTCATTCGTAGATACTCATGGGCAGGAAAGACATTCGAAATAAACCACAATTTTCACTGATTTAGCACAGTTTTAGAGCAGGATGGGTCATTTCATATTTGTCTATAAGTATTAAGATCGGAAACATAATTATATCAACGAGGTGTATCTGTACAAAGCACAAAAATCATACATGAACATAATACAATGGATCTAGTAAGGACCACAGTGAATAATTCCGATAATGTTGCGAGTTACCTTTGTGACGTATTTTTCCAACAAATTCAAGCCATCAGAAGTTAGCCCTAAAAATGAAATCCACAGTTCAGAAGAGAAAATCCCGAGAAATAAACTAAGTACCCTACATGAAAATGAGAAAAAAATGTGTCTCATCCAAAAAGAAGAATCTAGCAATGTCATTACAGAAATACTAAAGTAAAAGTTGGGGGAAATCATGAAAAATACTCAGGGAAATCAGAGCTCTTGATGTTATTGCATCAAACGATATCACGATTGAATGCCATTCAAAAACAGATTCATGCATCTAAAAAAGTAACCAGCAAGTGGCACAGAAGAATTCATTTGATTGACATACCATCAATAGGCATAAAGTAAACGTAAGAATAAAGCACAAACCAGTCAATAAAAGTCCTTCTAAGCAGCCTTCTTCGACCAATGTTGCAGTTAAAGAGTCAATAAAGGTGACAAGCTTTAACGGAAAAGACGAAACTTCATAACAGTATTCATTTCTCAAAAGAACCAATTAAGGAAAGACAAACGAACGGAGATGATCAATACTTCTATATCGAATAGTTGCCCACAAAGTTTTTAAATTTATCCGAATTTCTCTTATAAACTCATTGGTTTGTTTGAAAGAGTTATAAATGGTTCAAACAGGATAAAGACATTAGTGTAAAATGCATGCAAATTTTATCAAATATTTTAGGACATATTTCAAATCTTAAAAAAATTATGAAAAAAACAATAAGGTTACCTCCTTCAATTAAAAATTAAGATAGGTTGCTAGAGAGAAAGTATTAAATGATAGGTACTAACAATTTCAAGGTAAAAACACATGTCCCGCTCATCATTATAAAAAGTAGATAGGAAGATGTATAAACTGTGTGAAGAATTTATCTTTCAGCAAATAAAATCCGCTGCCATTCACCGTAACTAGTATCGATTGCAGATTTTGAAATTTTGAACGAAAAATTCCCGGTTTCAATAGCTGGACTGTCATGCTATATAAAAAGATTACTAACAGGTATGTTATAGACAAAGCTGTACGTGATCTGGTATGCAGAACATAGCTGTTCTAAATTGCTATTCAGAGATTCAAGCCCATCATCATCAACAGTGCTGTAACCAAGTAACTAGTCCAGTTTTGTACTGCATAAAGCGTGATAATTCTATATACATAAGGTTTTGAGAGCAGCAAAAGGGATCATGGGTAGAAATCGTTAATGCTAGGCTCTCATCTCGAGCCAGGTTCCCTTAACAATGCCTGAAATATTGAATGCAAGCATTTGAACAGTGTTCTGAGCTGAATAAAGCATAAATGATTTCATACCGTGGAATCTGGGAGGTATTTACAAGCAAATGCCACACGGTCCTCTAAATGAATTCCAGGTTCTCGCTGCAAATTAAACAGATTTTAAAACTTATCTCATTGTTATAACGAAAGCCAGCTAGCGTTTCGTCTGTTTTTTTCTTGTGTTCTGCAGAGTGTGGGGAAACTGGAGAAGGGTCTTTGTCTCAGAAAAGCTAGATATCTGCAGTTTTTAGCATCTCTACAATACTTGGGCTACATTTACATGCAAACAGGCTGTACAAATGTAAGTTAAATTAGATCTATTACCCACCACACGAAGTCTAGGCTAGATTAAATCAAATTATCAGAAAACGGAGTAATTTGCGCAACGAGAACAACAAGATAAATGCAAACCAACACGCAACGAAATTATTTTACAAATGGGCCTTCAACTTAATTCTTGACACAATATGATTATTAACAGAATTGGTAGCTTATTATTTCCGAAAATATGCATTAAAACTATTTATATCAGACTTTGTGTAAAATTCATAATATCTTTGGGAACAAAATGTCGGCTCGATGCTTAAAAGAAAGATTAAGAAAAACGTAAAAAGCAAATTAAGCTATTTTCTAATTACAATGAAAAAGTTGCTTCAATGTAGGAAATCTTCGAAAAAATTCATTTAATTACAAACAGTAAGCTAAAAAAAACAAAGGTTGGAATATCAAACAATTAATTACCAGTATTGAATTGAAATTGTCATCCTCTTGCGTAAGAAATGCAAAAACAGCGCGTAAATACGGATTTTTCAGCTACAAAACGAAAAATAGAAGGGTGTTGCGAAATTAAGTTTGTTCATAAATGGTACCACTATAGAATAAATATTCTCAATGAAATAGGCTTGCATTATAAAAGTTAGAAAACCGAAATTATGCAATATACAGATCTTTCAAGCATGTTTATATTCTTATTGTTTGCCAAAATGTGGTAGAAGCCCAAAGTCTGCAATACCATCATTCAGTTCCATGTTTGACGGTTATAATTGGCTCCGGTTATCACCTCAAAATCTGACGTTAGGACAGTTATGTATTCTATAAGACATTTTCTCTAATCCTCCTCTTTATCGTCACATTCGTCATTATGCCACAGTAATATTCATATGTCTTTATAGTTAGAATTTATAACCCTGATTAAAGAAAATAACTTAAATTAAATTAAGCAACTGAAAGCAATATACAGAAATCAGACAGAAAAAACCAGAGGGTAGTAGCGAGGGCAAATTCAAAACCTAGAATAATCGATTAACAACGTGTGTAGGCAATTTAGGTAAGCTCTTAACGATACGATGTGATGAAGTTTTATCATCTAAAAATCAAATGAAGCAGAAAAACGATACAAGATACACGCAAGAAACCATTAGATTAAATCAACTATTCAGAAATCACAACTTAAATGTTTACTTAAGTTTCTTCTTTAAAGCAAACAATAAAAATTGTGATAAAGCAATAATAAAATTCTCAAACCTGAGGACTGAGTGCTCCACACATTTCTCGCCAAAGAGAGCGTTTTTCTGTTGAGTAGCCTGATAGAGCCATTGCCACAAGATTCATGGGCGAGTCTGTAAAAAAGGGCCAAAAACAAAATTAGACAATTACAAAATTCAGTTCTTCAGTTGAAAGGAAAGTCTTGATATTATGGTTCATTTACCAATCTAAGCAGGAATATTCTAAAAAAATCAAAACATTTGACAAGTTATCTGTTACGGTATTCAGGACTTCCGGGGTTTTTTCCTGAGAGCTTCGGGTAAGATTTTTTATGCAGTACTTCAGATTTTTCAAGTATGATATAAGTCTATCGCCAGATGTTCCTCGAATAGCTACAGGGTTAGGCTTTTCCTTTAGAGCAGCAAAAATTACAGAAAAGTAACCTTGGCTAGGCCGTCCTTCCCGTGGCCCATTGTCAGACTTGTTTTCGCGGGTGTTTCTCCCACTTAGGATGTTGATTGCCAGCCTCATTTGGTTGTTGAACAATGCTGTTGCTGCTGCCCTTTCGTATTCACCGGCTCGTTCTAACCTGTCATTGGTCGAAACGAACTAGGTCTCAAAACAAGTTTAATAATAACAAGAAGATAAATCATATGCATATTTTGCTGGGCTTTTTACGACGACATTTAAAGCAGGGTGCTTGTAGAAAGTTAAATATGAAAACAACATTTCGGTGGCATAAATTGCAACAGTGGCACAAAAAGTTCAATATCACAAAGCCAAAGAATCAGTCATATCCGCAAAATTTTAGACTTCTTGCGAAATTTACAGTTTCCCCATTAAAAATCCTTTTTTCTCCATCTTGTTAATTGGGAAGAGATTGTTGATAAAAGCTATGAATTTCTGAGAGATTCGCGAGAAGAAGCTAAAAAAGCAGCATCAAGGATAAATTGACACGAGAAAGGCAATGGCAGGCAATAACAAAATTATAAATGTAGTACTTATCGAAAAGTTCATACTTGGTCAAATGTTCTGTCAATGAGCTTCCACTGAAATCCCAAAGACAAAGCTGCAATGCCAGCTTCCTGAAAGAAGGGAAACAAGATGGTTGTGGTAATGGATTCTTCAATATTCTAAAATTTAAATAATATAGGATCAAATAGGTCTTGAAGGTTTGCTGTGCCAAGCCAAGTTCTTAAATTAACGCAACTAGTAACGAACAATACTGGTCGGCTAATGAATGGCATATGAAGCCAAAATGATATTTTTATCTGCATGTTTTGAGAATGTAAGACCTCGCATGAGAAAGAAAGAAAAAAATAGGGACACGAAAGGATGCAGAACTCGAAGAGACAATACCTGTCTTCGCTAAAATATGGACTTGCTGCATACTGACTCCCTCCTTTACTCGACTCCTCCTGTTGGCCTTTCTCACATTTACCTAGAAAGATTTAAAACAAACCTTAGAAAGAGCATATGAACGAATAATAGTAGTTTTCTAATAAGTTATTTCCTTCCTTAACTGTGAACTGTTATCACTAAATAAGCTTTTAACATTATTTACAAATGCTATAAATTAAAGGTTTATATAATCAAAATTCCATGTACAATACGATTAGCTGATGGCTATACGTTTAACAGTTTGCTTCGTTTAAAGTGAAAAAATTCTACTTTATTTGATACACAAAATTCTTGGTGAGGCAAACAGGCTGTTTAAAATTAAGGATTTTGGCAAAGTTACTCAATTTCATATTAATTGTTAACATGTTAATAGCTTTTTGATTCAATATTTTAGATTAAATTAATTTCATTTTAAATCATTAAAATTGTTATCAACAGTACCTTCATTTTTATTTCTACTTCTCGCCTTCAATCTAAGCTTGTCAGCTGGTAAAATAGAATATTTACATTAATATAATATTTTAATATGAATATAATATTTATAGATCGATTTAAATATTAATTTATCAGAAAGAAAATTTATTCAATATATATTAATTTAAGAGACAAAAATAAGATTGTAACTGCCAGTATAGCATGATCTTATAAAGGGATCATATAAAGACACTTTTCATAAAAAATATAATAATTATAAAAAAACAAAATAAAACTGATAATAATTGATAAAATTAAGAAACTTGAAAGTGAGAGAGAAAAGCTCTTAACAGTTATAAAAGTAGTTAAATCAAAATTTGCAGCAATATTTTTTTGAGTATTGCTTTTGTATGATCTTTCAGAAAAATACATTACAGGTTCAAGAAAAGCAAACATGGCTTTGTAATGGCTTTTCTCGAATAGGTTCTCCTATCATCATTGTTTCATTTCTCAAATACTTAAGAACAAAAAGTCCTACTCGTATAATAAAAGGCATGTCTGTTTACCACTCATATTCATCTCTCCTTTGATGATTGACCTCACACCGTAGAATCTTCTTCCCTTTCGAGTATCTAAGCATAGAAAATACGTTAATATACAACGTAAAGGGCAAATGTGGTTTAGGTGTGTATGAATGGTAAATTTGTATGAATATTTCATCAATAGACAGACAGACAGTGTTGTTTTGTTGACTCGCTTACTTCTTGAAGAGTGATGAAAAAGAAAAAGGAACATACTATGTATTACAATAAAAGTATTTTATTTCGTTTGAAGATCCAGCGGAGCATTTTCGAGTCATAAAACTAATGAGTACTTCGATATCGTACGAATGTTATACAAAAATCAATATGAAAAGTTGTCTCAGAAAACGTTACCTTGGTCTTTTGGTTTTCTAACATCTGTTAACATTTTCGTTAAGGCTAATCAACAAAATAGTGCCATTGTCCTTATTTAAATATAATCTACTTTGCAGGCTCGATCACCATAATTACAAGTCTTAAAGGCTCATCAACAACTTAAGAAAATACGAAAAAGTTATCTTGGCACTATCTTTAGGGCCTTTTACAAGCAAAATTGCATCTGAGGGAGGGGTAGTGGAAGTGTAAAGCTGTGTGACAGTTGTCATAGGTTGATCGGGAAAATCATTAGATGATCGGCAAATCGCAGTGAGTAAAAAACAAAACTGTTTCCTCTATGTCTTCAAGGTGAATTTTATTTCTAAGAAAAGAACAAAAGATTAATGAAAATTTGAAAGGATACGCTTCAGCCACGTCCATAGTTTTATCAAAAAAGGATCATTCAGTATTTCTCGCAGCTTTTCAAGGTCTTTCATCTAGGAAAGATTGTAAAGGGAAACAAAGTAAAATCAACCCTGGTGGTACAATATTCCTATTGATAGACTGCTTCACATTTTCCAGCCTATTTGACATTACATCACTTGAAGCATGTCAACAGAAATAAGTGAAGTTACCAGAGTTGCCAGAGGAATGCTCCCTAAAGATCATAGAGAATAATCAAGTACCCATAGCTCAAATATTCAGGTCAAAAGCTTAGATTTATCAACCTGCATAAAATTTTCAAATTATTTTGCTTATCATTGTACCTCTTTTTTTTTTGAACAGCATCCATTAAGCTTTCCCTATTACTTAACATACGCTTAAAAAGGCTTCTCTTACAGGAACACAATAAAAACAATCCATTAATTCTAATTTTCGATGTTTGGAAGAATGAGATAAGGGTGTGAGATCGGAAGCGATTGTATAACAACATCTCAAAAAAACATACCACCGACTTTTCGCCATAGCCACGAATCGCTCTTTCTTTCATAATTGAAGAAATATCTTTAAAATCTTTGAATGATTCTTCATTCTGTTCAAAAAATTGATTTGAATATGCATTTGCTAACATATTTTTAGTGATAACTGCTAAAATGACTCTGTAAAAAACTTAATAGTGAGCAATACGAGCACTTAGGTTGGTAGGCTATAAAGGTCATCATTTTCACTTCCTCGTGCAAAACTGCGAGCTACCAACGATTGTCTATCAAACAGGTTAGGACCCTGACCACTAGGACCCCCCGATCACTCCCAGGGACTTGAGAGTAGTAATAGGGTAGTTTGACATTGGGGAACCCCTGCCTCGGTGGCAATTACCCAGTAAGATATTGGACTGGTGGTGATAAACGAATGTTAAGTTAAGCCGGTAAAGAGATCCTGCAAACGTCAATTATAAAGCACTAGTTAAAGGTTGCCTTGCGTTCACACTACTCTGCTACGAAAACGGAGTCATATGAATACGCAAATGAGAACGGACACTTTTGAATACGAAGCGTATTGAATACGCTCCGTTTCCAGTGTGAACACCAAAAACGGAGACATTTGAATATGCTAACATCGGCAACAAAATAGGTGCATTCTAGCACGCCTAATCTCAAAAAGTTTGAAATTGAGAATTCACAATGGACTGGTAGCTGTTACAACAAAGTTTTTCACGATTTGCTCTTATTTAATTTCATTCATTGAAGCCAATTTGTTGAGGATTCGTGAACGCCTCTTTTCAAAAATGAGGCGACCAACAGCGTTTTTGTTGGAGTAGTGTGAGCATTTACCGTATTCAAATCGTATTTATTTGAAAACGGATAAGTGTGAACGGACAGCGTTTTCATCAACGAAAACGGAGCGAAGCAAATACGGAGTAGTTTGAACGTAGCCTGAATTTACTGGAGAAAGTTTCGGACGTAGATTATTTCACTTGGGAGCACTGGACTGGGCAAAACGATTCTTGAAAATCGAGTCTATATGGTTAAAATTTTTTAATGATACTGAATCAAATCACATCAAAGCGACTAGACGCTTTTACTCTCATGTTGTTTAAAATTGAAAATTGAACAGGAGAAATACTTGTACTTGCAATCTTAAAGGATTGTATACAACCTAAGTAATAAACCTGAGAGCGACTGGACAGTCAAAATTCCACATAGTTCAATGAAAAAATTCCAAACATTCGAGGAGTTAAATTAACCTTTATGAGGAGCTGAAACTGAGCATGGAAATGATTCGGGCGTTCCTGCAGAGGAATATTACTAGATATCCAGTGTCGTAACGGCGATACACCAAAAAGCGACCTACATTCTTGCAATTCTAAGGTGATTTCCGTATATACTAATACTCGTAGTGTTTCTAATAAACTAACTCACGTTCTCTTTGCAAGCCAGCATTTCTTTTCCACATCCCCAAACAAGACCATTGCCTGATGACCAACTCTGTGAAACAGAGATATCAAAAGACTAAAACTGCATCTTAGTTCGAAATGAAAACTCTTGTTTCCAAAAGAGGAGTATAACGATTGGTAAAGGCTGAAGTTAGGTGAACCTTGTCAAAGTGAAGTGAACCTTACAAAATATGTCATTGTTGCTAAAACAGTCAGATTAGGCAAGCTTGACAAACTTTAGCGGCTAGTCAGTGCCTTTTTGACTTACTGACCGGCTCAAACTGCAGAACATTTACAGAAAGATTCTTTCGAACTAACCATTGTAATTCTTTCGTAAATTTTCGTGTAATTAACATTTCCTGTAAAAGTAAAAGATCACATTATTAAGTCGTTATGTAATGACACCAGAGATTGTCTGAAGTTTCGAATTTCGAACATGTTATCTAATAGAATGTATTGATCAAAAATCGGCTAGAATATGGCAACATGATCTAAGGTTTCTTCCCTTCAAATCACTGTACTTAGCTCTGAAATCTTAAGCCAAGCTAAAACAAAAGTAGTAATCCTTCAGCAAAGTTAATTTCTTTCACTGCCCAATGGCACTTTTCTCGTTTGACTTTATCGTAGTAAACAAAAAAGAATGTTATCAACAGAATTAAAAACATCTGGTTATTAAACATGCACATAATTTCGAAATTATCTTTTAAACTGGGGAAGGAGCCTATCTTTCAAAAACAAAATATTGAAATGTTGACTACATGTCTTTATTCCTTATCGGTTGAAATTTTATTACTCGTTGACTTTGAAAAACAAATTTAAAACAAACCTGTAGCATTCGCAGACAGCATCACGTTTTCTTTCGTAGGATGCCAGCTGAACGACGACAATGCCCCTTTCGATGCTAAAAATTGGTGGTGATATTTACAATTAGTATATTTTTGGAAATAAGGGTACGCGGTCAAAGAAGAGAGGAAATTTGGGTGTAGAACGTTCATGTCTAGGTTCGTTTTCATCGTGCCTCCCAAACATATTCTAGAGGTCTTGAATGTCAGATCTTAAGCATTTTCTTTAAATGAATCAATCAATCCTCTCGCAAATCCCTTCCTCATTCTTGGGAGCCTCTTGGCGCTGTAGAAGGTTGCTGGTCAATTTCATAAATGCCATTAATGCTCGAAAGTTTGCTGACGCTGTCGGTTTATTATGCTTTCGTTCGGTTGGAGGTCAGAATTATGATCGACAGTGAAATACCTAAGTTTTAACCTAGATGTCGATCGAAAAATTAAACTGACTTTTGTTTGAGGTAGTCAATCATTGTCGCCAGTACAAGTGCTAGACCAATGGCAGCGTAGAGGACCCCAAAGAGACTAACATTGTACATTGAACTAACTTCCTTCACGATAATTTCATCTTGAAGAATTTCACAAAAAGCAGCAAATAATTTCAAGAATACGAGGAGACATACGCTGAATTTTACGCTCCATTATAAGGGATTCACTTTCCTCGTCCATCACAGAAGGGAAAGGCATCGATTGCTCTGTGAGAGAATAAAGACATTATGATCAACGTCAAAGGCATCACTGAAATTTTCTATCAGTTCGTCATGTAATCACTTGAATTATGTACCAGTTTATCACAGAAGGTATCTAAAATTCATTCATTTAATCACTGAAAGTTTCTACCAGTTTGCAGATCAACAGATTAGGCGTAACAATCTAAGCTTCAAACAGAAATCTGATTTTGGGAAACCACATTATTACAAATAAAAGAAATGACAAAGATTAAAGTTAATGGGCTGGAGTAAAAGTAAAAGGCAGTGGTTTTCTCAAAATAAGTGGTTCACAATTATCAGGACATTAAGTGGTTACGACGCGTAGTTGTATCACAATCTGGATATGGCCGGCAGTGAACTTGTTTTGCTGATTAGAAAGATAATATTTGATATGATTGAATGAGTGTGCTTCAAGGAGTAATAATTAAAAAGCAGACGAACCAGTGGGCAAGTGTATCAAGTCTGACAACTTAATCACAGGACTGTTCCTCTGTAAGACTGCAAGCATGTGACTCCTGGAAATGGAACATTAAAGAAAATTGTTTACAAGTGATGTAGGAAAAAAAATCGCTAATACAAAATTGGGTTGACATTAAAGGTTCTTGCACAACCGGCATGCTTTGCGACTATATTCTCAAAACCGGCCTAATATCATACTGCATGAAAATACCAAATTCTGATTATGCCGTAATGATTTTGCCGTACTAATTTGGTTGAACTTTGGTAAAAGGTGGTTACAATAATTTATGTCTGAACAAAAACATATATCTTTTTTCGACGTAGTGGCTATTCTGTTTATTATCAAGCTGCGCTTCCCAAGATCTGAAAATACCAAATACAATGTGGAAGAAAATACCGCAGATCATGCCAGTTGCGCCTAAATAGGGCAAGAATTTGCAGAAGAACCAAACATTACGTCACTGATGCAGACTAGCGTTTGCAAATAAGACAGAAGACTCAAAGCATAATTTTTCTACTATTTTGTTTTTCCCCAGGATACATCTAAAATATTAGAAACTAAAAAGGTTTTATACAAAATTACTTTCAAATGGGTATTGTGATTGTTAATAGTAGCATTGAAAGAGTATGAATTTTTGGTTAACAAATGAGTTTTAAGATTGTTTCTGGGGAATACAAAGAGAAAACATATAAATATAGACGCTATATGGCCATGTTGATAGCATTAGCATCAAAGGATGGGGAGTGGGGGCGTTGGGGTCGAGAGGTGTATCACCCTCTCCCAAACAGTGATTTTTCTAGAAAACAAAAGGGTTTTTGCAAAAAGTTGTACGATGATTTCGTAGAGTAACATACAACTCAGTTGGGGCAAAATTTTGTCAATAAAGTTGAAAATTCAATGATGCAAAAAAAAAGAGAAACTCTTTTTAACTTTACGTACACAAAACTGCAAAGAGCGATAGAGGAAAAATTGTCTGAACACGCATAAACTGATCACAATTAAAAAAGTTAACTACTAAAAAAGCCTTCATTTTCTTTTCTCTGCTTGCTAGCTTAGACTATAGCAACAGAGGTAAAAAAGCAAAGAAATGATGAATGTTGGTACAGCAGGAGCTATAAGCTGCAAGACAATGCGAAGGGTGGTGTCGTTGGCTACGCGTGTAGATCTTGTGATAAACAGAAAAATAAATTGCCAGTGAATAATGACGCAGCATTCTGGTCTTTGATTGACGTTTCAAGTACAAAAGTAGACTATCACAAATGCTTCTGTATAAACGTAGAAGGATGAAGGCAGGATGCATCTAGTTCTACGAGAAGCTATATTTTATGTAATTAACGCTCCGGCGTTTATTTAATGTATTAATAACTAAACTTAAGCTATTACATGGGGCAATATTTAACATGAAATGTATGCATAAAAGTTAGTGGGTAAATTGTTAAAATAATCTAATGTGTAACTATAAAGCTATCATATTCAACAGGGCAAAGGATCTCGTTAGGTCCAGAGAACCGTTTTCACTCGTAACGACTTAGTGGCATAGGTATTAAATACTATTGTATTCAGTCTGGGGATGTATCCTTACAAAATGAGAAAAAAGGCTTGTCATTTCTGTACTGTGTACTGTTTTTACTTCAAAATCGATTGCAATGACCCGTACATTTATACAGAAAAGAAAAAACTGTGATAATTTGGAATGAGATATGAACTACATAAAGCGGGATTCAAAAACACCTCATTTCGTTTCATTTTTATCACAAGGAAATGAAGAATAGATCTGACATTTTTAGTATATATACTCCTTCTTGCGTTTTCTGTAATTGTTCTAATACAGCATGGTTCGTTTGCTGAGTGTTTATTAGAAAGAGGCGTGTGTTTACATTATTCAGTGCAAAGGAAAGTAAGTTGCTTATTTGAAAGTGGCATTAATTTGCGCCCCAACTCGAGCCTTCTTGAAAAATAGCTACGCAATTGCTAAGTGTCACTTTGCAACTTTTTTAATAAAACGTTGATCAAAATTGGTGACTAGAAAAGAAAATTACACCATCCGTGGCACGATTTCTACAAGTAGATGAGGAAAAGATACGTCATAACTATGAATGGCCACTGCTGCAAAACCATGGCTGCAAATGCACTAGACAAGAGCAGTACTATGCTTCGATTACCTATCAAAACATTAATTAACATCCTTTAAAGCCTTTGTTTATACAGCATTGATAGCGATTGCGATTTGAACAGCTGTTTGTATAAATTAAAATCCTTTGATATCGCACAGTATGTCACAGAATAACATCTCTTCGTAACACGACGTCAACAAACAACTTTCTGCATGCATCATGTTACCGTAGGCTATGATGCAACTAACAATTTCGATTAACAGCTCGATAAAAAAAAAAGATCAATAAAAGCTTCAAAATACACATGCCCCTGCACAATAAGCGCATGTCACGTGGGCTTCCGTTGACGGGGGAGGGTAACGAAATGCTTGCAGTTCGTGCATATTACAACGTCACTTACCAGACCCTTTGTTTTGGTAATCCATTTCATACCAGAGCTATATATAGATATTAGGTATTGATACCAACGTAACAGACAAAGTCTTATCTTATGTAGCAAAGATGTTGATCATCAAATTGAGTGTATCTTTAGCGGCGTTCTAGTTGTATGTCTACCTTTTGATTCTTCTCTTTTGCTTTGGTCGTTTTATAACAAATAATTACCCTTCACATCTTTCATATCATTCATTTCATATCCGAGAATCGAAAAATATCCTACTCCAGATAGTATCTTGCAGTTAAACGTATTAAGAAGGTAAAGTGATGTATGGCTACTTGTAGCACGGCATCAGTTACCAGAGCATTCATGTTTAGCTGAAAATGAAAACTCCTGATCAAAGTTAGGGTGACATTGCTTTACCATTTAGGTATATTGTGTTTTGATAGCGATTATGGCCAAACCGATTACAATTTCTACACAGTGGAAGATTTGGAAGCAGTTGTAGGCTGTAACTCACCTGGCATTCCACATCAGTCACGCGATGATTGGATATCTAAAATTACCCCCGGTACAATTAGAAACAGAGCTGAAGTGACGTAAGTTCAATGTTCCTTTGTCAAGTTGAAAAAAGGATTGATAGCTGTGCAATAAATAGGAGGCAAAATAACAAGGATAGTTCTCAAGAGAAAAGGCAAAAACAACAAACCAAAGATCAACAGCGCTGGACAGGAATAAATCTGGAGCATCGAGTGTTGTTAAAATAAGAGTTATACACATTGTGTATATGAATGATTGGCATTGTTACAAACATGGCTCAGCTTCAAAAGAAAATCTGGTCGATTTAGTTTAGAATGGTTTGAAACGGGTTTATATAAGTACAGACAGCCAGACAGATTCAGACAGACAGATAGAGTGGACCAATTTAATTGATTCTTGTTGTACAAATTGATGAAAATATTTTGAAGTGCTGTGGAAGAAAAACGACAGCACAGCTACAAAGTGTACCATCTAGCAATGATGTTAAATCCATCAACAACCTACTTAGCTGTTGATTGTCTGATAAACATATTAGTTGGAATCATTGGTTTTATTCTAAATGTAACTCAACTATTACTGCTCAAAAGGAAGAAAGAATGGAGAATGTTCGACTACACTCTAGTCAGCCTAGGCGCATCGGGCGTGATTGCCGCTCTTCTTTTTCAACTCAACGGAGTGATACTACTGTTGATGGCAGTTGATGTCGATCTAGGGCTTTCCCTCGCTGCATACAAATGCATACATCATGCAAAATTTTGTTTTGCCTTGAACTGCTCCTTCTTGCACGTTTTGTTTATAGCAGCACAGAGGTTGGTGGCTGTTATGTTCCCCTTGAAGTCCAACCTCATCATGACGAAAACACGTTGTGTCCTACTTCTCGTTTTCATCTGGGTGGTATCAATACTCTTTGATGCATGGAGCACATGGAAATTTGTCGGTGTCCCATTAAACAGCCTTCCTGCCATTTTGTTTACATACGTCTCTGTAACCACAGGTTTTTTGCTTCTCCTCGCATATATTTTCATTTGCTATCGACTAGCTAAACGGAGTAACATCATAAATACACAAAGTAACAGCAACCAACACCGCCGTGTTGTCAGTTACACGATTGCCATAACGATCCTGTTTTTCATCTCCATCATGCCAGCCGCAGTAATGATCTTCATGAGATATGAAACCGAAAATGCTTATCTGTCTGAATTCCCCTATTGGATGCTCGGGTTTAACGTACCTCTAAACCCAATTGTCTACTTTTGGCTTAGTTATTACAAGCGAGAGAGATGGTCTTCGTTATGTATCAGTTGCAGAGGAAAAACCGAGTTAATCGTACCAAAAACGACCGGCCACCATGCTTTTTCAATGCATACTGTCTTTTGAGGATAAACTCAAACTTACATTTCCAATTAGGTTAAGATCCTCAAGGGGCATTTACGTATCTGTGAACAAATTTAGAAGTTTGAGAAGACAAGATTATTACATTCCCTTACCTGGTAGGACACCAGCCAATCCGTGATATCTGCTTAGTCTGACTGGCTTGATTAATCGTAACAACATGACAATGATTAAGGAAAATTCACGGATGAAAATCCCAAGTCAGTTGAGTGTCAATCAGGCTACACTATGAAAGTGAACTGGCAAGGCGATGCTTGATAAAAATCTACAAAACTTCTCCGTTATCGAGGCAGCATCTGTTTGAGTAAGAATTGTAAAAAGCAAAGCCACATAAGCAGAAATAACTAGTTCAAATAACATACATACGATCACTTTACAACAAAAACAGTCGATAAAACAAGGCAGTCAAAAAGAGTTAGATTAATAGTAATCAAAAGAGATAACGATTGCAAATAATAACAGCAGTCACAAACTACGTCATCAAAACAGGCGAGAAAAAGGAAGATAAAGCCTATCTACGAATCTAGCTGGCATATGTTAATAACAGTAAAGACCAATGATCACGTGAGTTACAGGCAAAGAAATGCTTGGAGAGACTAATAATAATGATAATAATAATAATACTTATAATAGATATATATTCAAACTTGTTTTTAGATTGAAAAGATATTGGTTCCTTTAGGTTTCTGGTATCCCACACCAAAACAGGACCTTGTGCTGTCTAGAAATAAACATATATTTGTAACTTATACAGTATATCTAAGAATATAGTTTTATGTTATATTCAGAATATACAGTTTTATAAATCATCTTGAGAAGTTTAGGTCTAAAATATCGGGATAAATTGCCTTAAGCAAAGCAGATCTTCTTGGTATCAAAACAGTATTATTTTAATTAATGCCTTAAATAGTAATATATAATACCTGAGCAATGTCAAGGGAAAGCAAAAACGTTTTCTTCCCATACACAAAACCGAATTTGCCTTTACAAGGAAGGGAGATAGGATCGTGTGACAAAAATTCTTGTATTCAACACTTTTTAACGCATTAGGGGCAATGTTCATTTCAGTTCCTCGTTTGGATATAAAACTTTGTGAGGACTGGAAGGGGAAGACTATACGGTCAGCATGTAGTTAAAACATAAATTTGAAAATCCTACACTACCTCTGCGAATGAAGCGAATCTGTGTTCACTGAAAGGATCCACACATACGCCGTTCATTGCTTTGCAGTTCGTTACACCGAAGCTAACAAGTTTACCAGAGTCTGAATTAAAGAAAGCATCTGTTAATTTGTAGCAAATACCCAACGCAGAGAATTAGTTTCCGTTTCAATATATGGAGGCAAAAAGCTCAAGTGAAAACATAGCAAGCTTTGAAAATTCTACAATCATCTCTGAAGCAAAACTGACACCAAGTTATTGACTGAAAAAGTCATTTTTTTAAAAGGCCTTCTAGAACGTATGTCTTTAACAACCCGAATATCTCTGATAGCAGAGAATTTTTCATTTAAGAGTTGCATAGAGTTGTCTCCAAAACACATTATCCACATTAACCTTCTCTATAGAATTTACAGCGGATGGGATCAGCATTAAATAACAACATTCTAGTTACAACATTATGCATATTCTAATAATTGCCGGGTTTTGTTTCTAAGTATGATACTGTCAACACTTGCCAAAAAGGCAAGTATGAATGTGATTAAATACATATATCCTTATATTCTTAATATACATATTCTTAATATGTATTTGTATTGATAGATATTTATATAATGAAAATGTCAGTATAAACAGCATATATAAAGTACTTATTGTCTGCAATTTGCTTTGCCAGATTTTCTTTCTGTTATCCTCGAGCTAATATATTACCGTACGAACATATATCAAAATAAGGTTCCTTTGTTGTCACCTTCCGCATGATAACAACTTGTTAAATTACAATTCTCTAAACATATAGCGTAGTGGGATGTAATGGACGTTGCTCTAAAATTAAAGGGAAGACGACCTTCCTCTAAAAGGATCATATCAGAACCATGAATTCTCTACTCAAAAACATTGAACTTACCACGAAGATCGTAAACTCGCAAAAATTTTTGACCTTGACCAGCAACCAAAGTTTTTGGATGCCTTGGAAACCATGCGAGTGAAACCGTAGATTCCTTTAAGCCTGTGTTGAAGAACATAAATACATTAATCAAATGAGTTTACTCGGCCTCAAATTAATAAATATAGTTGCAAAATCTTTTAATCCAAGCTGAATGAATATCTATGAAAAGCGAAGATGAGAGATAGACTGTTTATGCATCTTCTAGGTTTGCTAAGGCAACTTTTAAGATATCGGCGTGTCTATTCTCATTGTGACACCACTTCAGGTTTTTTTGTTATTCATTGGTATATGTTGTTAGATCGGCATATAAAACACATCATAAACAACGCTGATGGGTGTTAAAAACATTTGTATGCACAAAAATGGTTATGCTTTTCAAAAAAATTAAAGAAACCAGCTCTCACCATTTTTCTGCGTTGGTGTCATAATCGAAGAGCCATCGCTTCTTGAATGTCTAAAATTATAACCGTGAGGAAGATATACTGTTTTATTTAATAAAAATTAAACTTTCCTCGGTGTTGCAACTCTACCATTACGTTGCTGTTTTTGTACAACTTTTTTTCAATTGTAAAATCATCATATACATGAAAATTTTCTACTTTAATAATGGCTGTTGAGTTTATGATACATTTAAATGAAAGCAGGAACCCTGTTTTTTCTTGTTATAAACAAATGGCTTCTCAACAAAACCTTAACATAGTACACAAGGACCTTAACATAGCTTTTCTGTTAACAAATCGTGCATTATATACTTCAGATAGCGCAATCAATAATTACATATCTTAATATATATAAATATAACAACAAACGATCCGAATTAATCTCGAAATGCCGACACGAAAACAAGTTTTATCTCAAGAACAAAAGAACTCTACCTAACTAATTAACCTCTATCTAATAAATTTCCTTTGTCAAACTTGATCACACCTTCTGTATATTTATACCGCGGTAGCAGGAATATTCTTCATTATAGTCTGTCTGATGAGTGCGCAAGCACGAAACTCGAAGTAACAGAGAACATGTCTCATGTCTAGCCTATCTTCTATTTTATTATAAATATAACAACATCAATACGAATTTACTAAGGCAGATTTTCGATATTTTGACGACATAATACTTGAATCTAGATTAATTCACACACAGAATACTAAAAACCGTAGACAATAGAGGATGAAAGGCACACGAAAGGAAAGATGGTAGCGACAGTTAAATAAAAGGATGAGAAAACCCATTGATAATAAAACAGAAGAAGGGGAAGGGCCTAAGCGATGTCACATCAACATCAGAAACATATTTTAGTTACCTTCCTTGCATACTTTTGGTGCCCATTGAAACTAAAACAACAAATAAAAACTTATTTATTTTCTAAAGCATTGAAAATTTCTAAAAGCATAATTTAACATTTAATTTAGCTTTGAAAAAATATTCATATGCATATTTCATCGAAATACTGTACAAAAATTTGGTTTTTCTACTCAACAAAATAAATAAATTACTACAGCCTTTATTATGGGAAACGTTTTAAAAGGTTGTGCGGTTTCACAAACACTTTGCAGCAGTTCTAGCAAACAAAAATCATTTAAACAGCTTAAACATTTAAACATTTTCTTACCAGGTGCTGATTCAACATCCCAGACAAGCAACGAGTGATCATCTCGCACTTTATCGAGAGCAACAGCAAGCTGAGAGTAAAAATGAATGAACTATTAGAAAAAATTGGTTACAGTGACAACAAGTGTTGGAATAACAAAGAGCAGGCTTTCAAGAGGGAAGACATACATGTTTAAATAAAAATTAAAGTAAAGACTTAACTACTGTTCAAGGAACAATATTAATTGATTTCAGAATGATAAAAGTTCACTTTAAAAATGACATTCAAACAAGCATACCAGATTATGTTCAACTGGATTCCATGCAAGATCGGTACATGTTCGATCTGATTTTGGTGCTAGAAATGAAATCCGAAATAAATATCTATCATCTTTATAATGGCTAGAATTACCTGCAGGGCATCAAACGATTTTCAAAGCTAAACTGTAACATGGATTTTTTTTAATCCATTTAACTTTGATTTGACTGATTAGCATTTAGATAATAACTTTAAGACAACACCTGTTTGCACCAGTTCCATCTATAACCAAGATTTCATAAAATACCATTTCTTGCTCTTTATAATTTTCAAGCAGATGAAAATACATATCACTTGTGCATACAAGCAGAGAAATAAGCACTATATTACATAATGACAAACTTCACATTGAGCAACCTCATCTCATCCTAAAAGCCATCCATAAATTTCCGTTGTTTTATCGAGTTCAAAAGCTTGTATTGAGTTATTCCAATCCATTCATTTGTTTTCATATTGGGTGGGCATATATTTTTTATTTCAATCGAAAATTTCATCCATTTTGTGTCCAGAATAAATTTTTCATTTTTCCCTAAAAATTCCTTCAAATATCCCTACTATTCTTACAATTTTGATATTTTCTCCTTCCAAAAAAGAAGTTTACTCACTTAGCTCAACTCCAAGAAGGTGGCTACCAGTTCCTGAAATTTCATGGCCAACACTGAAATAAAAGAATAATTAACATATATGTCTGGATGTTACTCATCACATTAAAATCATTTGGATCTATTTAGTGCAAAAATTTCTAGACATTAAAGTTCCAAACCAATACATCAGCAAAGTTATATTTGGAGGTTCCTTAGATTTTCAGACAAGTCAATTCTTTGGACAAAATTAAAAAATAAAACTTAATTAAACTTTTATATTAATGGATAAAAAAGACGTTTCAACTGTGGGAGAAAATACTAATAAATTTTGAAGGAATTTTTTACATCTTTAGGTATCTACTCAGTTCTACAGCAATTATAAATATTGATAAAATCTGGAGCAGTCATAAGAGGTTATTCAAAATTCTAGCTACTCATATTCATCTTAGACTCTTACCATCAACAAATCAACCCAAAATAAGGCAAAAAATTCAAAATAAGACATCATGCATACTTTGCTAGCACAACATGTCCATTTGACTGCCCAACAGCCAAGAGATGCTGTGCATCAGGCCTCCTACACCAAGACACCTCCTACGAAAACATGATTTTTTGGTCATTAATGCCATTATTGTCTTCTTCAGTGATTCATTGCACAAAGCAATAGAATTTTAAACAAAGGCATATCTATCATGACATTTATTTAACTAAATCTTGACAATAAAGGATGCCAGCTTTAAGGTCATACAATTGTAAGCAAAAAAGATAAAAGCAGATTCTTGCAAACAAAAACCTTAATCGCAGAAACTTCAGAGTTCACAGCAACAACTGTTCCAGACATGTCATCTGATAATTTCATCACTATAACAGATAGGAATAAGCCATTAAAACAAACAAGAAATCAAGTTAACATTTGGTTTTTAAACTAAAAGCCATCACATTTCAATATTTTTACAAGAACCGGCTTGTAATCAATGTAAATTTGAAGCTTTTTACTATGTCTTTCGTTATTCAATTAAAAGAAAAAAAGTTTGAATAGACAGTATTTTTCAATGCCAATACAGCTGAAATTGTCATTATAATTGAGACTATCATTAGATTCTATTAAAAGACTTGGAAAAGTTATGATTAATATCATAGTCAATAGAAAAACACTGGTCTGGAAGGCCGGCAAACATCAAAGGGCTTTTCGCATTATTTGAAAGCATGTTGAATTCTCCAGTCACGTGACAATATCCGTGCACAGCCTTGCACGGAAGTGTTTTATAATGGCAGAAAACAACGAACGTCGCAGATCTTCTCGTAGAATTTCCCAACATAATAAAAATTCAGAGGTATCTGATGAAAATTTGGACGCAATCCTTGAGGCTCTGGAGTTAGAGGAGAGTTTGCAAAATGAGTTTGACGATGAGGTAAGCCTGAGTAGAAGATTTAAACCGATCAAGGACTGATAAGGGTCCTACGTACGTATTTCTAACGACTACTGGTTGATTCTTTCCATCTTGCTTGGTCTCTCAACAAAATTTACCACTGACGAAAATACTTGCGTTTTTTAATTTTTTCCTGAAAGATCAGAAAATTGATTCCATTAACTCGGCAATGCTGTTCAGCTTTCTTTTTCCTTATCGGCCAAATTTCGGACCCTGATTGTTGGTATGTTTTCTGCATGGAGACATCAACATCGGTATAGAATAGATTTTGTAAGATCAAAGTAAATGTATACTTGAGAAAAATTAAATCCTTGATATCCAAGGTTTCAGCGAGAACCAATTCAATTTTCAATGTTGTTAGTTTCACATATTCAATAAATCAAATCTTTCAATTAGCTTGAGTAGCTTTCTCAGAATCGATCTTAGGCCCCCAGAGTTACCTTTGCTTTGTTTTATTCACTGTAATGAGATCGGTTAGGAATTTACATTGAATTATTTGTACCATTAACAAAATTGCAATTTTGAAATTGCATTTGATAAATATTCTTTAACATACTGTGAGAGGATTTGTTGAGTTTCTTATTGCAAATATTTATTTAAAGGCTGAAATTGACGATTACAAGTGTAAAAATTGTGAAAAAGTGTGCAAGAGCAAAGCAGGATTAAAAAGACACGCAACCCTGAAACACAAAGACACATCTTCAAAAGCTGAAACACAAAGTGAGCCAGAAACTGCAGCTTTATGTGTTGAAGATTTCAACAGTCTCGTCCAATTATCAAAAAAAGCTGCAGGAACAAATGGATGCTACCCAGACCTTATGATCAAGGAAATTGAATCACATCATGATGTGTATGGCCAGGACTCAAAGATTTTTCAGCAGTTTGTTCAAATATATGCAGAACTGTGTGCAGATGGAAACTCAGAGAAATTTTATTCAAATTTTTATGCAAAGATAGTCCTTGATGCACAACTATGCTTTCCAACCTTGACATGCCACTCTGCTACCCTGCTTGCAATGAAATTGGCCAATTGTTCACTTGCCCAGTATAAGAAAAAGATTCTTGAAGTTAATCTTCAAATTCCAACAGCAGCATTGACTGAAACTGAAAGGGCAGCAATACACTATCTTGGAGGGTATGTATACCACAACTTATATCGGAAACTCCAAAAGTCAAAACAATGGAAATCAGTGGACAGTCAACAATGTATGGCCATTCTAAAAGCTGAAAAAGCATTAAATGGCAGTGATCCTGACCAAGTTAATAATGCAAACCTGGTCACAATTCTCACCCGTGGCGGCTTGTGGGATATAACAGCACCAGCTTTGCAAATTTTTGAAGTGGTTGAGAAAACCTTTAAAGAAGAAATTAAAACTAGCGAAGAAAAAAATGTTATTCACATACACCAAATTTCTCAGAAGCTGCAAAAAGACCCGGATATTGTATGCAATTTCAATGCTATTGTTGCAGATGCAGAGATTCCTTGCAACTCTGAATCTCTGATCTCGGGCCTGTTGATGAGTGTTATTAACTTATATGTCAGAGTAAGAGCATTTTCACATGCAAAAAGTTTAATGCAAAAATTCAAAATGAAGAAAGGCATTGCAAAGGCAAAGGCCTTACGTACGGAAATCAAAAGGTCAACTGAACCAAGTGCAGTAAGGGACTGACCATACTTAAACTTCTTTAACTTAAAGGCATTGAGTCATGGTAAATAGGCTTTCTCTATAGGGGGTCATTTGGTTTCGGCGTGATCGCCTATTTATCATGACTCAATGCCTTTAAACTTTCTTTATTTAATCAATATTATTGTAGAATAATTTTTTCTGGTGAAGTTTCAGTTTAACTTAATTTTCAAAGAAATTGTTCAGGCATAAATGTTTTAAACTTTTTGCTTCTAACCCTTTTGAAAAACAGCTCATACATTTTGTAAAATCTTAATTTGGTTTTAAAACCTTAAGCTTCTATCTTAAAAAGTTATACAGAGTCTTTTGCTTCATACTTCCGTTTTGGTAGTTTTGTGTCATCAACTTCATTCCACTGTTGCCTTCTCCCAGCATGTTTACCCCTTGTGTTGCCAGTTACAGAGATTGTTTTTTGAATTCGCAAGGCATTGTTGTTGTATCCAAAGGTATAAATGTCTGGATTGTCACTTCTTCTTCCTAACTTTCGTTGTCCTCCAAAGTATTCCTCTACTGCATCTTGACACAGTTTTTCTGTCAAAACATATTCAAATCCTTGAGACAGGAGAAATTTGATGCATTCTGGAAGAGCTGCAACATCCATTTCAATTCCCTCCATGGTCTGCCAAGATATAAACATCTTATTCTTATCACCCTTAGAGAATTCTCCAGGGCGTTTTTCGATGCTTTCTTTCCATGAATTCAGGTATTGAAGCATGCCTTTTTCTAGCCATTCAAATCTCAGGTCATCATTACTTGTATATGGTGCAAGAAAGGGCTTGATTTTTCTTATATGCTCCTTTTTACTGCGAACATTGAAGCAATCAAAGAAAGAATCAAACATTTTGCAATAGAGTGCAGTTCCAGCAGCATTTTCTGAGCCATAATTCTTCAAAACAAGACTTGTTGTTTTGCTGAGTACTTGAGCTGCTAGATTTACTCTCATGATTGAGAATGGGGTCAACTTTATATGGTCATAGGACAGACGTGGTAATAATTTGATGTCCCTATCTAAATCTTCAAAAAAAAGCTTGAAAATATGTTCCCATAGTAAATAGGATCCATTGTTCCACATCAATCGTGAATGCTTTCCAGTGCCTGAATGGAAAAGACAATTTCTTGCTGTCTTGATTAGATGGGGGGCATCACTGAAAAAGTAGATAAACCTGTGTCTGGCATACAAATTCACAGTGCGATAACAGATATTTTTGTTAGAGCCCCCATCCAAAGCTTTGTGCAATTTAAAAAATGATCTGTTGGAAGATGCACCATCTGCAGTGATTGCCACAAGCCAGAGATTGCATTTCATTTCTAATATGCCCACCGCTTCCCAAAAAATTGGCATTAATTGCACACTTGTGACACTTGAAGTGGCAAAATAGGCAAGGCAAAAGTTCAAGTCTTTGCAAAGTCCTTTCACTATAATTGCAAGTGCATGAGTAGCCAATTCATCTGCCTTTTCGAGTGTGGCAAAGTTATGTTCTTCACAGCCAAGATCAACAAATCCAATAAGCTGCCCAGTGTGTTTATCAAAGACAAGGTTTGATTTCACTTTCATTTCATCAATCAGCACAACAACAAACCTTTCGATATCAAAATAATGATCAGTAAGCCTGATAAGCTCATCCACAACTTTCTTATCAAAACCTGTTGTGGGACGTATCCAATTTTTATAATCCCGCAGTGTTCTTCTACTTGGTAGTTTAATGACATCCCCAAATGTATTTCTTAGCTCATCATATGAAGATGCTGATTTCTGTGACATTGACAAGCAGAATTTGATAATCATGGGGTGAAATCTTGCTCCACAATTGGATGTTTTTCTCATTTTGACTTGCTGCTCCCAAAACAGTTTCAGAAAAGGTGTCATCTTCTCAGATGAAGTGTCAAGAATATCAAGGAAATCTCCTTCTAAACTTTGATCAACCTGGATCGATGACTTTTCAAGCTCAACTTGCATGTCTTGAATTTGTTTTTCCAATTGTGCGCTTTTCAATCTTTGCTCTCGAAGGGATAGCAAAACTCTGTGTGGGTTTGTTGCAGAAATAGGTGCTTTTAGTTTGGCTGGTGTGGTCAGCTGTTGATTTTTTCTGACTGCAAAACTTTCAAGAGATTTGTCTGCCTTTATGCAGCTATCACATTTAGCTGTATCAGTCAGAACAACACAGTTGATTGATCTGGTATACTCCTTACAACTAAAATGCTCATCATCTTCCATTAGAAGTGGGTCAAATTGCATTGGTACAACATGATTGACCACTTTAGAGGAAATTTCTTTGTTTGTCATACCACAGCAAATTTCATATGACTCAACCATTTTCAACAAGTTGGAAACAGTTATATTTTGCATTGATCTTCTGTTCACTTTGTAGATATGATGGTCATCAGGCAGAAGCCATCCATAAATTGAAACAGAAAAACCCAAGCTTGCATCAATTATAATTTCGTATTTGGGCAGTATGAAAGGAAATTCAAATTTCTTGATTCTTGCCATATCACAGGAGATATCAGGGGACCAAATTCCATCAAATCTTTGTGCCTTCACCCTCTGGCATAACTCATCAAAAGATTTATAAATCATGTTTTTGGATTCCTCTTCCGGTAACAAATCTCTCCCCATAGGAATGTGCCTTCGTTCTTTTTTCTCTTTCTGGAAGCTTTTTATTGGCATATTGATACTTGGTAGAGCCCCAGGCTTCAGCCCTTTCCTCTTTGAATCAACTATAAAGGAACAAAATTAGTCACAATTTGATATTCTTTTAGACAGGCCACTATACACAATCCTAGGTCAATTCACACAATGCATAAGGTATATTTTTTATTTCAGATGTTCTGACAAAGTATCCGCAGGATAAGAAAATATCGTTTTGCAAACATGCAGTGCCTTCGGAACGAAATTCATATTGAAAGGGGTGGGCTTACAGTTTTAAAATTGTTTGGGGCCTGAAAAGTACTCATGATAAAATAGACAGGCCTAGGCTCCTACACCGCTGGCTTCAAGGTTCACTCGCGATCGATCTTTCAACGATCAAGTAAATGTTTATGAAAAAGGTATACTATAGGAAAATCACAAATTTAACTAGGCTATTAGCACCAAATCGAATGCTAGATACTTACAAATTTCTATTTGCTCTGGTAGGAAATGTTTTTCACATATAAAAACTCTGTCATTTTTCACTCTTTCTTTGAAGGCCTTGTCCAGTACCCTGCTCTTCGTTATTTCGTTCAGGAGAAGTTCCCTCCATTTCTTTTTTTCGTCGTTATTTGCCGCTGGAAGTTTGAAAATTCCAATACCTTTCGTTCTACGGCTGCTTCCACAATTAAAAACTGCACAATTATCGCCGGGCATGATAGAATTGACATGATATATATCCACGATCGAAGCATACAAGAGTAGTGGCCGAAGCAGTGTGCACGGATAATGTCACGTGACTTTTAAAAGTCCTAACAATAAGATATTCTTTTGATGTTTGCCGGCTTTCCAGACCAGTGTTTTTCTATTGACTATGTTAATATACAGTCAGCTCTAACAGAATTCAGGCTTAAAATAAGGATGAAGTAATTGAAAAGGACATCACAAGACTTACTCTGGTGTTTTGAACTTGAAGGCTTTTGAAGGTTCTCCTGAAGGTAAAATGAGGTATGGGTATTAAAATCCTATATAGCAAATTATGTATATTAAAACAAGCCAGCTGCAAACATACATGGGCTTCATCTAATGTTATAAAAATTGGTTTGTACATCATCTTTGCAAGAACTGATTTTATTTTTAACAAATTTTGCAATACCAACTACATTTCTAAGAAGTTAAGAGGGACAATCAAGCTGGTGTTATTCCATATAATTATTTTTTGATGGGTCACAGGAATAACAAGTGCTTATTGTCAAGCATCCTATTGAAACATGATGGAAATTGAGTTGAATGGTACCACTTGAAGGCTAGGGGGCTAGGCCCCTAAAGATGGAGATATAGCCAAATGCATATTATAAGTTTTTTTATCAGATGGTATTAGCAGGTATTCTCTGAGAACCCATCACTGCCTCCTACATCCTCCGTTCAAGGTTGGTTCATGCTTTCACTCCATAGTTTTAGAGAAAGTTCTAGTCCCTTAAAGTGCATGGGAAAAAATAGTTAAAAAAAACTTCAAATATACTTGGTAGGGTGAAAGCAAGGTTAGAATATCTTCTGTCTAAATATTTTGCACAATTGATTAAAACTAAAAAATTGGTTATTTTGGACATCATTGTGAGCATCATATCTTTTCTTCACTGTTCTAAGCACTTTTACACAAGCTTGTTTAACATTTCAATCACACTGGCAGAGTAATGATATCAATTTAAAACATATCTTGAGCTACCCTTTGTATAATTTTTATCTGGAAATATTCTATATCTGGAAAATTTTCTTAAGAGGACCTAAACTTTGTTGTCTTTAAAAGTGATATTGTCTATATGTATGTAACAATCAAGCTAGTTTGTCAGGTTAAGACCAAGAGGTTTTTATGATGTTACTCGCTTTAATACAACAAACGCTGGTGTGTGGGTGAAATGTAAAATATTCTTCCTCCGTTTTACTGTCAGCACTTTGCTCTTTGAAATTCCTCTTGCCAGTCATTCTTCCATTTACACATTTTGTCAAGATATATCTTGAGCTCCTGTGCATCCTGATTTGAAAATTCTAAAACTGTATGATCTTTTTCAGTTGAAATTGCTGTGTTCTGTATATGAGTCTGTTCAAAAAATCTCCCCTATTTGCTTTCATAATTTCTTTAAATCTTTGGAATCTGTTATTCAATATGGTACAAGACAGGCTGGCAAGGATGACATCTTTCTAACTAGGAAAAACACCAGTCAATACGGTATCAAATCAGTACATTACTATGGAGCAAAATGCTGGAATGACATTCCTGTAGAAATAAAAGGTCGCCATCATTAAAGATGTTTTGTCAGAAACTGAAAACTTCCCTGTTTGAGGATAACTATTGAATCAGATTATTGATAGTCATTAATTATCCATAGTTTCTTAAAATTTATCTGAAAAGAGGGGGTGTTCTCTCCTTGATTAGCTTAGCTATTGAGAGTTCCTCCTTAAGAATTCCCCTTCATACAAATCCTTTGGTGTCAAGTATCTTTATCCCTTTATGTGTGTCATTTTTTTTTAATTTATATGTGTTTATTAATTATTGTAAGTTTTTAATTTAGAGAGTGTTTGTATGTAGTGGAATTTAAAAATGGATGAACTGAACTGAGAATGTGGAATCTGCCATGAAAAAATCGTTTGCAGCTTTTCTTTCTAACAACAAAAAAGGAATTTAAGAAAAGGCCTCAGTGCTCTTGCAATAATAAGGTTTTATTACCCAACAAGCAAGCAAAAATTGAAAAACATAGGCACTTTTGATTTCATGAATTTAAACACAAAATAATGGGATTAAGCTTGTCAATATTTAGTCACATTTTAGTTGCTAGTGTTCCCAGCCCAAAGGCATTCCATTCCAGCCTGGCTTGTATGTGGATTAACAATTATCAAGCCAGATCTCCATAGAATCATGCTACTTGTAAAAACATACTGTTGTAAGTTGTTTCAAGACAAAAGTTTTCAATGTAATGAGTGGTACAGGGTGTTGAGAGAAAATTTTTAGTTAAGCAATAACCTTAGTCAAATTTATTGATGCTTTCAATGTTGTATTATCCCTGATAGCTTCAATTTCCAAAGACTTGGATTCAGCTTCACCCATACAATCATATACTGTTTATATTGTGTGTGGCATTTTCTATACAATCAGCATCATCCACTTAATTGAAATCATAACATTCAATGTAGACAAGTCAATCAATGTACATTCTATCAATCTTTAAACAACAAAATCAGTCTACTGTTGGAAAAAATGAAAATTTAATGGACTGATGAACATTTATCTGGCTGTGCAATCCTAACTGGAAAGAGCAAGATTAAATTATAACATTATGATATATCAAGTAAAAATGTACTCTAGCCATATCAAGAAAACATCATAAAATATCTAAAATATGCACAAACCTCTTCACTTATTATTTTGTATAGAAAAATGTCGTTACAATATCTGATGAACTCGTTTGGGTTGTGAGGTGACCATATGACCTCCCAACTTTTGGCAGCCATTTTGATTTAGAGAGTCTAAACACACGCTTATTCGAATCAATCCGGTGCCAACCAATCCTCTCAAGATAGGGCTAAACAGCCAATTCCTTCACGAAAGTCATTTCTTTAAGAATATGCTGTTACATAAAAGTTTTCTGGTCTGTTTCCTTATTCCTCAGGATGGGGTACAAATCTTTCCAGCCACCAAAGCCTTTGTAACATGAAGTACCTGTTAGATTAGTTACCAACTTCCCACACTGACAGTTTAGGGTGAAGGTTTAGGATATGTCCAGGTTCATTACTTTGGAATTCCACCCTATGTACTCCACAACACAGCTTTACAATGCAATAAATTTACAAAATATTGACAATAATATTAACAGATATTCTATTTATGGAAGCAACAAGATACTATGTAGAAACATTCTTAACGGATGAGCTCTCTCAGTAGATTAAAAAACTAGAAAATAGGCATGGGCAGACTACAGCTGACACTTACAGCTGAGGAAATCTATTTTAAAGGAATGTTAAGGCAGCATTGAACTATTACAGTCAATTGGCAATTTTTGTGTAGATATGGAAGATATCCCCGTACACATAATGTTGGGGGCAAGAAGCCCCTTCCCCTTCGTTAATGACAATGCTTTCAAAGTTTCTTGTATATATAACCATTCGTGTATTTGCTGCTAGTTGGAAAATCCTCTCAACATCTACTTGCTGAAGCAAGAATTTTTTTCCTAAATTGGTTGCAAATCGAGGAGAGAATTATGTCAGGGGGGAGGATGAACGATCATAGGGAGATCGCGGAAATGCGAAAGAACTCAAAGGGAGTAAATTTGTATTCGGTAGGCCCCAGGTGAGTGGTTCATTGTTGGTGCAGTGGTGTAAGATACGCGTTAAAGACGTGGGTAGGGATCATAGGAGCGAAGTAATGGTACGCCAGTTATTTGTGCGTCGTGTTAACATCAGTGATAGGATCTTCCTAGGAGTATATAACGACTTTGCGTTTGAAGATAATGCGTAGTAGAATCGTTTGTATGAGGAGGTGATGGTAGTTGCTATTATTGAAAGATCTGTGCGCTCGACACAGCTAGGCACGGCGGGAAGGAGTCACGCAATACAGTGCCCAACATCTTCAAGGGTAAGGAGGGAAGGCCTCGTAAAGATTAAATTGGATGGAAGAGGTAAAAATATGCCTACAAATAGTTAAGGGAGAGGCATAGAGAGTTAGATGCACGCACACAGAGAGAGCGCTGTGGATACTGTTATTAACGCGATTTGTCAGATGCGATTGGAATCTAGAGTTGAATGCGTACAGTTTGCAGAATACTAGTGATTATGCAGATAGCGCTGGTAGTTATGTATTTGCTTGCATCTGCACTCTACGACTAGGTATAAGTGAGGGTATAAACTCAGTTATATGGGCTTGCGCGAGGTCGAATGGATTAGGCTAGATATGATTAGATGGATCTGCTCATTACATGGTGGGTCGGGATTAATACGGGTGCGTACAGAATACACGTATGTCTTAGTCATAAGAAGAGTAGTAAGTGGACAGCCACATATTGTTCTAACCGAAGTAGACTGGATGGTGGTTGAAGAGTCTTGGGGTAGTCACGGGTAATCCACCGGGACAGGTGGCTTCTGGTATATACTTAGTGGGCGAGTGGTCTCTCTGCGTCAGCGGAGACATGTCACGATGTACTGGATTCGCTGAGATACTAAGATCTTTGGAAGTATCCAGTAGCGCAGTTCGGGTTGATAGACTATTGTGAGTAACGTATTCTGTTAACCCCCGTTTTTTGCGTCACATACACACACTTCATGGTGTGTACAATGCAAGACGTTGCTTACATAGTGGTGCCAAATTAGTTATCAAACATGTGTTAGCTTTGGTACGACGTCCAAATAACTCCTCAGTGGGTTAGATGCATGGCTCTTAAGTAAGGATAGGTGGAATCCAGGAATAAGTACTAGTCTGAGCTATCACTGTCGGTATGTTCTGGTGCGCGCTGGATGGCCCAGTTCGTGAGCGGACTGGACGGCTGAAGGTGGAAAGTACGAGCGCACGCGCGTTTGAACTCTGTGCGAGGCACCGTATCCTTGGTCAGGATAGGGGCGACGCTTAGTCATAAGGGGTTGCGAACCAAAGTAGGGAGAAGCGAGCGAGGGTTGAGGTCCGCACGTAGCATATGAACTGGTTCGGCATCAGATGGCACATCATTGTAATCTTTATATACGGTGGTGTCGAAAGCACACAGTGGTCCGATTTCGGTTTTAAATTACAAAACAAGAGGAAAAGTGTTCCAAGTATTTATAGAAAAGAGAGTTTATGAAATGGATGTAACTCACGTAATGTGAAGCGTGAGTTGACAGTGTTCTTCACGAGGCCCACACGGGCTCGCGCAGACACATTTATAGGTAATTGAGAATGAGATGATTAGTAGCCAATAAAATTCAAGGGATTGTGTAACAGTATTCATCACAATTGTGTGCCCGGGTGGCGCTAATATGGTATCAAAGGATAGAGATATCTGTTTGAGAGTGTTGCGAGGAATAAGGTCGGCTGTATGTTTCTAACAGTTTGGTCCACTGGTCATAACACACATATGAGTAGAAATAAGCGCTGTAGGCGAGGTGAATACTATGTCACACGTTATATGGCCTGAGCTCTAGGGTTTCCGTAACACGTTAAACTATCTACGAAGGAGGAATCTCGAGAGAGTCCCGTCAAAGGCACGCACTACGGCACTGCTAAGTCCTTTACATAAGCGCGTGAACCAGAATGGTGCGTAATGGGGCTAGTGTTAAGTCAGTGAGTGTTGCAGCCATCACTGGCAGATTATGCACTTCTAATGCTGATACTCGTATAGTGTGGGCAATCGGTGAAGGTGTCTGATCAGCGCGTTTACGAATGTGCGAGGCGATGCGAATGATAATTGGCAGAGGCAAGATGAATTCTAGCACGCGCGCGTTTTTTATCATAGGGTATGGGAGGACATGTTTCGTGAGAACGGTTAGAAGTAGAACTAATGAAACGGAAGCTTCAGCTGCACGCAGGTGAAACGGTATAATGGCAGGTTCTGCCTGTAGGTCGGCTGACGGGGTGTTTGCGTTTATACAATGTGACTTTTCAAAGAGTTGTTTCATGATTCGTGAGTTGAATTTGCGTGGTGAGGCTCACGTCGTTAACTTGAAGGCATTTGTGATACTGTGGAAGCAGCATTAACACCATAGCGAGCAGGGTTGCTCATATATGGGAGATTTGTCATAGATCTGTGGACATCTTCGGTGGCGGGAATACCATGTGAAGACACAATCTCAGTCATGATGTTAGAATCAGGACCTATCACACCTGCGTTCGTACGAGACGTGACAGCCTGAAGCTGCGGTTATTTTGCATATGTGATATATGTCTCCTCCGACAATTTTTGGTGTGATTGCGTCTAGTAGTATATCTTTACTAAAAGGCAGGCTTTCATAAGAAAAGGGGTGGATCGATTTAGCATCTTACTAAACACGTGTGGTATCCAAAAACAGCGACATCGTACAGCGCAATCTAATGGCACAAATGTTATTGTTAGCAAATCAGAAAAATTTAAAGATGCATGTTTGTATTTACTACGGCTTTGGCATCTTCTCGCAATTATTATTTCACACTCAGTAGATAGTCTTACGTCCGTACAGAGAGCGTTGAATTATCGCAGGCGGCCAGAGTCAAAATTCATCTCATAGAGATACTCATTACTAGTCTGGGTATTGGACAAGTGGGGACAGGGAGTCTTAATGCTGGGACCATTTTGCGGCGTAGAGAGACTTAGCACAGCTCGTAGAATCCAGATGGTCTATCAGGGGTGGCTTGGATACATAGTCTGGTTTGAGTGTCATCACTTATACGTCTATTATAACGGAATATGAGTATTCTGGATATAACACTGAGTAAGTGTGCAGTTCCTGTTTTGGGGAGGAAGAGCAGAATGTCAGGGATAAGTGGGATAGGGGGATGGCACAATGATTTTTTTTGGCACAATGCTAAATTAGCGAGAGCTAATGTTAGAAATGACTTTGGGACCAGTCCCATTGCTCTACTTAGACGATACCTCTCTATTTAAAAATCGAGCTGGGGCGATGTAAGCTTCTCATTTCTTGTCGAGTTCCCAGTAAAGCAAATTTTGAGATCGACCTGGCTTGAATCATTATCTAACTCAAATTTTGCTTTAGTTTACACCACGAAGCGGTATTCGGTACAGATGACTGGTTTTTAATATGCCAATCCTTATCCATATCCGTGACAGTGAAAAGGCTCTAAGCATAACAATATAAAAAAAGACCAATGATCAATTTCCAAATCAAGATAACATTCAAAAAGCTCGCCAAGCTGATAATCAATCGAAATTAATATTGAAAAGGTATTTACAAAAATAAAATATCATCCCAATATCCTATTAAAAACTCTGTCTATATGTTCCGAACGAAAATGACATGACAGATCCCAATAGCAGGCGAAGTTAATCAAAAATGAAATATTAATTAGATCTGATTTTGAAAATCTAAATCTAAGCAAGCAGAAATAAAATTAACATCCAATTGTTGTCGAAATTATTAAGCAAAAAGCGTAATTGATCAAAGGAGGTATAAAAAATTGGGCTCTTGGAAAGTATACGAAATTATATATACCGTAAATCCTCGAATTCCACCCTTGTAAAAATTGGCCCACCTTTCGAATAAGCCCCCACCATAGAACTAAGATTGTCAATAACCCCCATCTCCTCGAATAAGCCCCAAGTAAGAGAAAAATAATTAACGTCCAGTGACATATTCGAAACAGGAAAGCCTTTGTTCTTTGGGCGTTCATTATTGGTGACATCAATCATAAAAACAAATGTACGAAATGGCAGGCATCGCGGAGCGTTAAAAAGTAGGGGGAGGGGTCTATAAAAGTGGGGGATCTAAAAAGGTGAGGGGATAAACCGAAATAAAAAGTGACTTCTGAATTGGTGAAAATTTCATGGTAAATTTTTGGGCAAAAATGGGAGGCTTTTTTTAGCCCAAGCCCTATGCGATTTCACCGTCAGCGCGCAAGTTGCTCATGCGCGGCCTGCGGAGAATTGATATAGGTATATCGCTCTGGTTTCAAAAGTAAGCGATTGTTCTAGAGCTGACGAGAATGCAAAGAGCTGATCACACGTATTTAACACACACGCTGAGCACGCAATTAATAAGAATAGTAAGTCAAGTACACACTCCTTTGGAGTGGACAGGCATCGGGTGTCGCGGGTTTGTTTCGAATCTAGTAACGAAAGTATGGTTCGTGAAAAGAACAGTGAGGCTGATATATGGCGATGATGTTGTCGATTGACGTCAATTAAGTGTGCGAGTGAATTCGCTTAGCAGATAACTCGGACACTCACAGGCAGGAATAGCACAGTCGCGTTCAGTGAGCAGAAGCATGTATCGTATGTGATCTTTCCGTTTCAGGAATAATAGGATCAGTGCAGATACATAAGAAGTAATGGCACAGTCTATTGTGTAACGGGGGGCTTGTCCGTTACGCGAATGATTGACACTACGGATCCGGGTAGGTAGGTGTACCTGGTGAGAAGCGGAATTAGCTAGCGACACGCGTATAGGGTCGAGGTGCGATTCTTAATGAATAAGAGGGTGAAGGACACATATACATTAGATAGACTTAGGAAGCTTCGCAAGTACCTTGAGGCGGTAAAAGGATGTTGTATCTGACAAAGTATCAAATCATTTATCGCTTAAACTTTGTCTGTGTAGGTTTTTTCTTCCTGTTACTTCTATTTATTTGGGAAATATATGAGTGTTTTATTATTGCGGCGGCAGGCAAATAGAAACGTGCTAGAGATGTAGCTTCATTTTAACAAGGTACAAAGATGACTCATTGGGAGTGTGTAGTATATAGATAGCAGTACGGCATCGTGATGATAAACATGCTGAGATGTATTGTGCTAAGATGATCTATGTTCTAACTGAAGGAGTTGCAGTGGTCACAACTGAATGAAGTCAGCTAGAAGGACAGGAATATAATCATACCGATTTTTGGATTGGAAAAGGAAGATGGACACATGGGTTAAGATCGTGAATATGATGTTACGTGGTTCCTCCCTGTATTTCGAAGTCAGCCTATAAGGTGGATGGTCTAAATCTGTGTACAGTCACATATCAAGGCTATCTACGATAACGCAAAAATAAGTGATAGTACTTGATCGTCTTTTCTTATGGTGGTTTGTCGCGAAGACTGTAGACACACACGGTGCACACTGAAAATTTGAGATGCTAGGCTGGCTCACTGGTGCATTTGCTTAGAAAGTTTAATGGGATCGTCCAGGAAGCTAGGCGTGGGCAGCATTCTGATAGCAATTAGATATTGCAGGATAGTGTATTTTCTGATTCTTCGACACATGAATGCCGCAAACGGTCAGAAAATGATAATTGCTCCACTCATTGTAAGCTCGAACTAAACAATCTTTGCTTTGTATACCATAGTCTTAAACTGTGATGAGCCTGATAGGAGTCAAGTGACACTCACTGTTAGAGAGTGTTTGGGTGCGTTAATTCATATAGATTATGATCTCTGTCACCGTGTTGAGCTTTATGGTTATTCAGGTAGACTCGGATTGACGCTTCGAAACTCTCTCCAGTAGCAGGGGTCGATGTGTGGGACATATAGTCCTGTAATAAGCAGGATGGCGAGTCAAAGGGGCCGACGGGTAGAGGAAAAGTCTGCAGTAAGGTTGCTAAGGCAAAACTGCTTGGCCTATCCGCAGAATATTTCCCATACCAGTATTACCCAATCACCAGAACCAATATACCTCAATACTGCTGAAACAAAGGTTTGTAACATATTGCCCTGCCCTAAGCTCATTCCAGAATTGAATCAAAACAGCAAATCCTGTGAATTGACAGATAAATGTTGAGTTGATTAATTGTTTACAAAAGTTCCATTCATACTTCACTTTCAAAAAGCTAATTGATAAAAAATAGACCTATAATGAGGACTAAACATTTGAATCGATTTCAAGAATGTTGCCATTACTGGAATAATATATACAAAAATCAGTAAGAAAACTCATTTTTGGAAATACTCCTAGTGTTGCCAAATTTTGAAACTAGTAAAATTGTGACCTTAATAAACCAACTGAATGGTTTTAACACTTTGAATGAAGTTTTAATCTTATACTTAACATAGTAGTTGATAGGCTGTTTAATGGATTAGTCAATGGAGCTGAATACTGGCAGAATTAGTTGTGTTCGCTCGGCGGTTTCTGAGTTGTAACATATTTCGTTTATTTGTAAAATCACCACCGAAGCGTTATCAACATTCTAATGTCAAAATTCCAGACGAAGTGCATTAATTGGAAGTTCGTAGAGGGCAATGACAAAATGGAAGTTAGACCGAGCAAGAATCCTTTAAGTCACTTATTCGACATGGTCCAGGTTCATCTAGAAACCTATCAGCAGTCCTTAAATCTAACTAGCTGTATATCGACTTCTCATCTGTTTATTTGATTACGTTTATCTTGAAAATCCAGAAATCTATTTAGAGGTTTAACAGCTGCAAAGATGGAAAACGTAAGATATAAGTTCTCCAAAAGAAGGTACAAAATACTACAAAATCCAATAAGATTTTGTGATGCAAATTCCAAGAGGTTTATGCGGTAATAATCAAATTTTCATGAATGGTCATGAATGCCTCCTAGAAGAATCCGTGAACAAGAAGAGAATTTTAAGACAATGCATTCAAGTGCCAACCATGTTTCTGTGTGTTAAATAAGGCAAAGGTTTGCAGGAATTAGCATTGCTCGGGTATTCTTAAACTCCGGCATCCAAACAGCACTTGACCATGTTGACGGGACGGGTGCCGCAGGAAATACATATAATCAAGAAGAAACGAAAAACCGATTTTCAAAATTTCTTCAAAATTCTTTTTTGATAAAAGTTTACAGTTTTTCATCTGTCTTAAGAATCTTTGTTATAATCTGCAAAATTCTTGGAAAATTTGCAAATCTTTGCCATGTAGATGCGTGCAAGGCCCCTACATATCGCCTATCACAGTGATTTTTACTTATCAAAGCTTATTAAAGCAAATTTTCTCTAATGCTTTTTCCAATTGATTTCTTCTCAGGGAGCTGACCTATATCTTCATCAAACAGTTTGTTTAAAACTTCCATGGATACACTTCTAAAGATAATAGCCACCCCAATTTTTTCTGCAATTGTACTTTTCCACCTGCATTCTAGCAAATTTCAATATTCTGATTGTGAATATTCTCACCAGTTAGTAGGTAAATATTATAGCTAAGCCCCAATTCCAGATCAATTTTAGGCGTTAAAGAACAAAGAATAATTTTCAGTCACAAAAATAGAAAATGATTTTGAAGTGATAGTAAACGTTTAGTAAAGTGATAGTAATGCTTAAACATTTATAAATGTAGCTTCTACTTTCATAAAACTGTTGGCACATCATTACAGTTTTTGGAACGTTACCCTTTTGTTCTTTTATCTCCCCATTTTTGCAGGCAATTTATGGACGAAAAGTGTCTTCATGCCTTGACCAAAACCAGCAAATAGAGATCAAAACCTGATAATGGATCTAATTGTAACCATAAAAACGTGCAAACAAAGATTCGCGGTTACATTCTTCCATATTTTTCGATACGAGCGCAAATGGAAATGTATGATGGGCTCTTACAGTTATAACAAAACTACATTGTTCTACTACATTGGCATGGCTAAAAAAATTCGATGCTTCAGCAATAAAATTAATAGTAAGGTTAGGCAATACCGTCGATATACAAGGCTACTTGCTTAAAAAGACTTTGTTATTGATAGATAAAGAACTTGCCTAGTTCATGAGGAAGTTCATGGCAAAAAACAGCAATCGCTGTACTGATACCGCTTGAATACGAGGCAGCAAACGCAGCACCAATTGCGAGGCCATCGCTGAAATTGTGAAATCCATCGCCAACAATGACCATCCAAGCTACCGTCGCCACTGAAGTATTCTTATCAATCGTACCATGAGAATGACCATGGTCTATACCATGATCGTGTTCTAGATTGTGTACAGCCTAAAATTGCGTAGAAGAAGTATGAAATTAAACGTTTTGACAAAATAGAACTCAAAAACATTTGGGCGAGTGAAGAAAATCGATGCACCTTGACATTGAATACATGCAGTCAAAGCTTGACTATTCGAATGCCTCATGACTAAAAGTTTCCTGATTTGATAAAAAATATATTTTTGTTAATGATCCATATTTAGGCCAATTTTAGATAGTTCGAAAAAATGTGGCTTCACAAAATTCTATTTATGAAAGTTTTTAACAAACCGTTCTGCAAATATGAGCTGGTGGTTTTTATGATAACTAAAGCAGATTTACAAAGTTGGAATAAAAAAATTACAGAGAAAGGAAATTTCATAAATTAGATCACGTTGCATAGTTTTCATATAATAACTCCAAGCAATTTAATGTAGAAAATGGATTCCGTCCTATATCAAACTATGGATGGATATAACTTCAGATTTAACATAAAACTGTACATAGAAAGTAGAGCAGATAATATCAACGACGTTACGAGCATATCCCGTAATCACATGAAGACAGAAAACGATAAGCGAAACAAGGAATATGGGATAGTTTGTCAAAGTATGAAAGTTGTATAAAGATATAATTGTGAAATCACGTGACACAAATTATAGTTACAAACCTCGTGGTGGTCATGACGCTCAAGATGATTGTATGGGTCATGATCATTATGTTTTACAATTGGATATGTTAATAATTCTGTATTCGAGGCAGCGCTTGGTGACTTTTGCTCAGAAGGGTACGTCATAGGCTCGGTAGAGTCATCGCATAAAGAATTGTCCTTTCCGCCGATTGACATATCTTTTTTCTCCATGTCCCTTAAACTAACTGATGCGTTGTCTTCCAGCGCAAACTTTTCCTCCGTTTCATGACTATGTTCTCTCTTCAAAAAGAATATACGGCAATATACGAAATAGTAATTTCTCCCCATAAGCATCAGTATTCTTAACCATTTCCCTGAAGAATCAGCATTATGTAGGGTTAAGGGACCAGAGGGGGAGGTTGGAAGAAGTAATTCGGGGAAAGTATAGACACAAACCGTTGGCTGTTCTATGGAAGACATCGTTGTGACCTGAAGTACGGCAGACTTTGGAAATTGTAATTGAAAGAGACATATATACACCTTTTTCTGTAGAACGGAAAACGACAAACTTTGGAAATTGCAAATTAAGGGGACATATACCTTTTTTCTGCAGCATGGAAGATATTTCTTAGCTTTCATCATCTGTTCCACGAAAAAAAACGAGTACATTCCGAGAAGTATGAAGCAAGATTTCCAAATATTCCTCTTGTGGTCTTCTTCTGAACGTGCTAACAAACTTTCGAAGGCCTAAAAATATTTAGAAAATTGTTTTAGATGACTAAAAGTTGTAATTTTTTACAGTACCTAAAATCTAGTTTACCAAAAGAGTTTTGCTTTGTGGCATTATCGAAGGGAGTATGTATTTCTTGGAAGAAAGGTAAGTACAACCAGAGAGTAGGTTAAGGTGAGGAGAAGAAAACAAATTTAATAGTTTTGCTAACGGATGCTTACGTGAGGGATAAGATGTAGCAACGCATCGCCAGCCAGCGTGCCAACCGCTAGGGCAACCAGGTATCCCATAATCCTCTGGTAAAACCCTTTCTCCAGACATGGTATGACTGCAATTATGCATAAAGAAGCAAGGCTTACGAGTGTGATTGCCACAAATCCATAGGCCCAAACTGTAAAAAAATACAAAATATCTGTTTTTTATCTTAAACAAACGGATGTTGTATGATCAGCTTCCCGCCCTACGACAGCCACCAAGGTCATCTAAAAGCTGTGCTGCACATCCTGGGAGCTTATCACCCTTTTGCGATGTTTTCGGATGGGGAAGTATTTGAAGGGGCTTAACTGAAGCAGACGGGCTAATGGAAAACACCACAAAGTCGCCATACAAAGTCGCATGGCTATCAGTTTTCATCGTATAAGTCGGATCTTTTAACTTGGATATTTCGGCAGGTCAGACCTTTTTAAATCTGAACTTTAATGAACATAACCAATACATCTCAATGGCAAAAACTATATAATCTGATCATTTTTTGATTCTGTGAAGGTATTTCTGGTATAATTAACGCCTTTCACATAATGACATTTACCATAAATCCTCTTTTAAGCCCCCATCTCAATTACGCCCCCTCTCAATCAAGCCCCCCTCTTAATTAAGCCTCTCTTTCTTATTAGCCCCCCTTTTTCAGGAGGAAGAATTTAATTAGCCCCCCCCCCAATTTTCACTGATGCCGAAATAAGTAAACTTGACAAAAAACAGAGATTTTCATTTAATTCATTGGTCGTTCAATACTTTGCATCAAATCAATACTTTCAATACTTCGCATTCACCAAAATTACAGGCCGTTGGCATTCCAAGGGATGAAGTCGACCTTTTTGAATGCTCGATTTCAGAAGGCGACATGGCCCAAGAAGATATTTTAGAATCAAAAATTGATGACGATGACGGTGACAATATAGTTGATATAGAAGGCTGATTTGATGTTTTTTTATTTTGCAAATAACAAATAATTAGTTTAGCACAATAAAACGTTTACTAAAAAATTACAAAATATTTATTAAGCCCCCTCTCAATTTACCCCTCTCTTATAAGCCCCCCTTTAGAGTGCTATAAACAATAAGCCCCGGGGGGCTAAAAAGAGAATTTGCGGTATTCTGAAAATAAATTCAATTATAATGATAATGTTTTTACGTCAAATTTGGCTTTTATGCTGTGATAGTTCATTTTGGTTTTTCATACGCGTATACTCGTATGCACAAGTGCGGCTAGCTTGTCCTGTCAAAAGAGATCCGACTTTGACTGTAGAAAGTGACTTGAGAGGAATCGAGGCAACTATCGATTAAAACTCACCCATGTTGGGCTCAACCACAAGCCTCAGATAGTAAGGCTGCGAACAGTTGTGTCTATGGATACAGAAGTCCCCACTGATTTGCTGAATCAGTGCAGGACACATCTTAACGAAGGCACTCTTTGTTATAGGGTTTGTTGCATTAATACCATGCTTCTGCAGTAGTATCTTTTTCGACATGCACTAAAATGAATGAAAGTAACATGCAAATCAAGATCAATTTTCTACAAAAAACGTCAAGGTGCTATATTCTCAAGCTGATAGAAATTTAGAACTTAATTCCATTACAGCCTCGTATTGTGTTAATAAACATATACATAGTAACAAAAGGGGTTCTACTATAGTTTAAGGTTTTATAACTTGCAATTTTGAGGCACTCCGTGTTTTTCCAGGGCGTAGGAAAAAGAATTCATTGAAATAAAAAAGAAAGTGTTTATGATCAGTGGAACCCTTCTAAAACCATATCCCACTGGCAGGATGTCATCCTATTCTTAGAATTGAATATTATCGAAAGCCCAGTGAATAAAGAGGGTCTAAGCTTTGAATGGGTAAAGACGTTAAATCGTGCCTAACGGTTGAATAGCTGCATGTTGATAACAGAGATCTCAAATCCACTAGGTCAAATCAAACTACAATGACAAAAGAGCCGACAGCAGAAAAAGGTTTGAAACTCTTTAAGAGCATTATCTCTAGCTTCATTGGCAGAAATAATATTTGCATGTAAGGTGCACCTTCACCATGCTCTGCAAACTCTGCTAAAATGGGGTTAAATCTAATTTAGCTAGTTTCAAAAGTCGGACAGCAAATCTATCCATTGCTACTAAAAATATAACAAGCAAATTCTAGAATGGATTTTGACAAAGAGAGTATGGATTGAAAGAGTATCAAAGCTCTCTTTCTCGTTAATTCAAATGTTATTGTTTTCTATTAGAATTTGTTTAGCATTTTTTCTCGTTTTTTTATTATCGTTGCAAATGTTAGCCATCAATCTTCTCAAACATTTGATTTTTCTTTATTTTATGAACAACACTTGACATCACCCCATCGAAAAGGTACCAAAATGTTTCGTGAGAACCACCAGAACCACCAGAAGTTCAAGAAAGCGTATAAATAAGACATTTCCACTTTGTATAATTAATCCGTTCGGCATATGTATCGACTGCACGGAAACTTGATCTATTTACTAAATAACTAAACTATTCATTCGATTGTGGTTTTATTGAGGGTATAATGTCACAAATAAGAGAAAAAAAGACTTAGTTTGTCGATAAAAAGAAAGATTTGAGACAAAACAAAGTTGGGGGCACTGTTTTGCTTTGTCATTGGCGAAAGAGGCAAATGGAACATCAGACATTAAGTTAGTAAACAAAGAGATTGCACAATATCAAAGAATACTTGAAGTTTTGACAAACTGAATTACGCTTTGAACAAATCTGTAACGATAATTAAACAGCATGCGAAATGACCTGAAATCACCATAGACAGAGTGATTGTAGATTTTCAGCGTTCCTCACCTTGACAAGATGGAATATAAAACCACTTTCGTCATTTATTCATCAACAACGTTTATAAAACTCAGATAGCGTAACATAGGGGCCTAAACCATACTTTGAATGACTAAATATCTATATACATATATGTATAGATGTAACGATGGAGATATCTATATAAATTTTCCCCTTACAAAGATGTGCCGCGCAAAAAAAACAACATTGGAGTTGGATGTGAAATAATATAGTTAGGGTGTGGAGATATCTCTCCAAGATTATTATGTTTTTGTAAGGCTGGAATATGAGTTTCTGACCATGTTAGTAACAATGTTTTTTGAGGATTTGGCGAATGTGAACGGTGCGATTGTCATACTTTATAATGAAGGTAAAATAGGAGCCTTCGATGCAGACAAAGTCCCGTTATGTGTTTTACTAGATTCGAGTAATTGTGACTGTGATAGCCTGATGACCTTGTTGAATTTTTCATTTATATTATTGATCTTATATCCTCTTATGATCAGGTTGTTTTTTAAACCTGCTATCGTGGCCTCTCCTTTATTCGCACACTAAAATTAAGTGACAGCTAGGCTGAGTCTTGGACTGAGTTCAAGAACCCGAGGGGCAATTCACTCTTGAAAATAGCGTACGTGATTTCCCCTAAAACAAAAGGATTTCCACGGATTTTCAGATAAAACAATAAGATTTTCACAAAAGGTGTACGAGATTTTCTTGGAGTGATTTGCCCCTCGCAAGAACCCAAGGACGTGATATTAGAGCCTCCACTATAAATGCTACGAACATGAAGGGAATGCTACATGCATAATCTTGACGTCAGCTGCGCATCAGATAGGTTTAATTAACTTTGTTACTTCTTGCATAGAAATGAATGGACGGGCATACCTTACTGAAGTGCTCCTCCAAGTGCAACGAATGCCTCGGACTCTCTGTGGTTCCCTTCTCTTCGCCATGATTGCCCGACCTTCGCGTTCGCTTTAAGACGCTTTCCTTACCTCCTTCATTCGACAAGGGATCAGACCTTGATGGTTCTTGTGTAAAGCCATTGTGTTCTCCTTTGTGTAAACAAAACTTCTCCAATTTTTCTATGTACACATTTCCAAGAGTGAGTTGCTTAAGAAGGGCATTAAATCGTCCCTGAGACATAACAGTTCCATTTTTTTCACCGAATTGCTGAAATATTTGATTGAGATAAATCTTTGTTCCAGCAGAATCAACTACGTCGTCCACATTTTGTGCCATGGATTGAGCAAAATACAGTGCAGTAACAGCTACTGTGAGATATAATTGTCCAAGTGACTTCATCTTACGGCTTGGTTAGTTTTCCTTTTCGATGTTAATATTCTCCTAGTTTGATGCAAATGTGACGCTGAAATATTGTTCGGTTCTATCTGCAGAGCTTCGATAAAGGTACCGTGCCAATGCAGACAATAATATGGTTTCTTCCTTTTGAAACAGGCTCTAAAATTGACAAACAAACATAAATTAACTGTTTGTGGACACTGGCTACGATGGGGTGTGGTTGCAGCTCGTGTTACGACAAATAATCAAATACCAGCAAAAGTTTAGTATCTTCTTACATATCTAGATATTTACAAGAATCGCAAACAGTGGTGGCGACAAGGGGAGGGGAATGGGAGGGTAATTACCCCCTCGCTTTTGTCAAAACATGGTCTACATATTTCTTATAGAAATGGATAAAAAGCGCTAGGTAGAAGTGGATCATATTTCCAAAGAAAAATTAATCTTGAACAAAGAATGAAACGAGGCAACAGGCGTCCTGTCACTGGCCACACCCATTACCCACTGATCGCTAGCCGCCTGTTAACAAGTCTAATCCATTTTACCTTCCGCTTCATGCTTGGAAAAGCACTACGCTCCTCTCCCAATAAAACACAAGATTATATCTTTATTTCGCCAACAAAGGGTGTCTTTGAGAACTTCTGTGCAGAAGAGTTGATACGGTAAATGTGAAAAAAGTCCATGTGATTCAACAAATAAATACCCAATTTGGAGCTTTCCAGTGAGGAAACGCTAGAGCATCCACGTTGATGAGAGACATCTTGTTTCAAATTAGATTCAACGTTGTAAATTTTGTCACATTCTGGGAACTTAAATATGTGCTATTTTTTTCGTAGTAACAGGTATAGCTGTTTCCAGAATATAGCTCGAGATGATCTCTTTGTATGGAACTTAAATATACGCTTATAATGCCACATGGGTCTCTTTCTAAAGTTTCCTAATTCCTCCTTCATCGTGCTTTTGTTAATATGCAATTACTTTGCAAAACTTATTTCATTTATGTTTCATGTCATAGCTGCCTTTCATTTTATATAGTTTATTTGGAAACAGTCGGCCTGATGTATCTTTTTGCTAGGCGTGTTATTCCTATAAAGAAGTTTGAACATAATTGTCAACAATGGTTGAGAAAACTTTCATTTGCTGTTAATTATTGTGTTTTCCAAATAGTGTTAAGAATTTCGGTAGTTTTGCCAACCTTTATGCACCTTGGCAATTGGCTTTTGTCTCCGATTCAAAAACTTTAGGACCACAAGAGACTACCAGTTTAGTAGTAGATAACTTATCTGGCGATTATAAATGGCAGATGGCAACGCAAAATGAAAGTTTGTGCCGAAATTGTTCGATGAGAAAATAATAAATTCACTGTTGTCACCAACTAGATAGTTTTCTTTTGGGGCTGTTTAATAATTACGCCACGCCTTTGGGGGGGGGGGAGTTGGGGTAGGTGGCTCAACACAAATTTTCGCGATTCTCCGTGACAGTAAAATAAAGGGGGGGGGGGAG